TGTTGCTTTGGCTTGTGTTTCTGTATTAATTGTGTATTAATTTTTCTTTAATATCTATAATGTACAGACATCTGCTTGTTACAATTTTATTATATATACATACCTATACTTAGTTTTGCTAGAAGAAAGTACAAAACCAACAAATTTCAGGTAACGGATTAGTGCATACATACATTGATGGCAGAAATAATAGAAACTCGCAATTTTTTCTTGTGTTTATTTAATGTGTCATATTTTTTATAAAAGTCTGGCTTATTAAGTATATTATGAACTGCATATAAATCAACATTTCAAACTTTGTCAAAAATTAGAAAAATTCAAAAAATTTTCTTCAAAATTTCAAACTATTCATTCAAAATTTTTAGAACAATGTTAGGTATGCAGTTATATAGACCATTAAATTTGGAAAGTTTCAGGCAGCTAGAAAATCTCGGATTTTTTTCGATGTCGGACTTTTTCGGTTTTTTTTTATTTAACAAGTGCTATTTATAAAAACTGGAATGATATTATTTTTTATTTTTTTCGAGCGGTTTCGCGAAATTTTTTTCATAAAAAAGGATGTTTCGAGCATACTTTATATGGAAGAAAATATACAACATCGTCAAAACAAAAATTATAAAAATCAAAGTAAAACTTTTCGATAAAGTCAGCATAAGAAATATATGTATACATCGGGTCACAAATTAAAAGACGTGTGAAGGACAAAAATTATTATGACGCCAAAATTCTCTCAGAGTGTGCGTTCCGAATCGAAAGGGTAGTTAGAAACATATGTACGTAAATACATACGCACATTACGCACATATGTAAGTAGAGGATTCCCAAGACGTGTTAAGCGCAGTAATGTCTTATGGTCTGATTTTGCATAACTTCGCACAACTTCGCATAAACTTCAAACTGTAATTTCGTATATACTTTGCATGTAGCAGAACTTAAGTTCTTAAGTTACACATTTATTGCACTGGTACAAATAGTTGGCGAAGTTATGCGAAGTATGCATAATCAGGCCTTTAGTTTTAAATTTTTTATATAAAATGACTGTATAGTTAAATATCGACTAAACCATTTTAATCGTTATATATTCATATTTTCTCAAATGTACACATGTTTATTAAGGCGAGTCAATTTGTATAGGGGTTTTTTTTTTACTATGCACGTACATAATAGCAGAATTCTACGTGTAATTCTAAGCAAATTTGCCGAAGAAACCATGGGTGCAAAATCATTTTGGAGTTTGCTAAATTGCGAAAATAGGTTTCTTTTACTTAGCAATTTGCTGTAGTAAAATAAAGAAGTGATTGAATTTTTTATAACAAAAAAACATGCTCGAAAAGGGTTTTGGTACGAGGAATCCATTTCTGTACTTAAAGTTTTCTTAAAACTTCCACTGTTGCGCCCAGGAAACATTTTCACATTTTCCCATGTGTTAAAATAAAATTTGTATTTAATTGTTTTCATTCAACAAAAATCCCAATCAAAATTCATACGTATGTAGATATGTTCACAATAGTTTTCAAGTTAAAATTTTTTTTTTTAATTTTTTATTAAAATACGACTTATATTTTAACAAACACCATATGAGTAGTTCACTTGCAAAGTGCGCTATGTAAACTTTTTTCGATTTTTAGTTTTTGGTGGTCAACGTACCAGTATTTAATGTAGTTTCATGTCCGCTAACAATACAGTGTAAAATCCTTATATAATCTGAAAAAATTACATCAAATGTTAGCTACTCTAGCAAAAGTCGCTATAATACTTACTGTATGTATTGGTATATACACTTTCAAAAGCCGCTATAATATTTATTGTACATATTTATACAAGTTCAAAAGTCTCCATCTTCTGATGAACTTAGAAAACTGCAAGAAACGAGGTAGTTTAGGTGCCTAGTGGAAGACGTCTCAAAAAAGAAGCAGACCAACCTTCATGGAAGAGAGAACGCGAAAAGCTTAAAAAGTCTAGCTATATAAAACTTACTGTTCCAAAACTCGCTATATTTAATTTCTATACATATATAAAATTTGCAAAAACTACCACACTGCGGTTTTGATTTTTAATGATATTAGGCTCTTATTTATCCAAATTTTCAGATAATAAGATAAAGAAATATACAATTTGGATGTTACTTTTTGTTATAGACGTTTTTTTTTTTTTAATTTATGGCTTACTATTATAAAATCACATAACGCTGTTTGCAAGTGGACTACTCATATATATCTAAGTTTCAAGCTTTGTTCGAAAATTAAAAGAATTTTGTAAAACTTCAAAATTGCAAACTTTTTAATGAGAATTCATATAAAATTTCGAGCATCCAATTTTATAGTCCATTCGATTTTAGTATAACAATATCTAAAGTTTAACAATCTAAAAATTCGCGTTGAATTTTTGGTTTATTTTGCCGACGGCGCTAAGCATTTTCTTCCATATTTACATACAAAGTATGCGTTCCTCAGAAAGCCGTATAAAAAAGGTCTTTACTTTCATGCAAAAACAGAGGATGCGTTCCAGCATTTTCAAAAACCGCATAAATTCAGATACTCCATGTAAAAAATTCATAAAAACCGCATAAAGAAATCCAGTGACGCAATATTAAGAAGAAAAAAATTATTTCTTCACTTCAACACTTATTATTCCATGTAAAACTGAACATCATTGAAATAAATAAAATTTTATCTGTATTTTAACCAAAAACAAAAAAAAAAACCTAAATACATGAATTATCTATGCAAGAATACAAAGACAAATTATTTATCAGAAGCATTGTCTCTTACACAGTGAAACAAATAATATAAACTCTCAAAAAAGCAAAATCGCTAGAGCGAAAAAATTATTTCAAAAACCGCCTAAATTCAAATCTTCATAAAAAACGCATACAAAGAGACCTAAGCGTACTCTGTTTTTGTTTTTTAACGAGAGAAAAAAAAAATATTTGAGAACTAACGTTTGAGATTTGAGAAAATCAATAATTTTTAAATTGAGATTTAACAAAAATGTTTATTGGGTAAGGTCGAGAATGCTCTGGCAGTGTCTGGTAGTCGAAATTTCTTGATGTCAAATTGCTTACATACATATGTACATACACATGTATGCATTTATGTATGGGTGAACGAATGTTTGTTTCTCCATTTGGGCAATGAGAGAATATTTTATCTATTTGCGACGTACCACTTATGTACATATGTATGTATTTAGGTAGGTATTGTTGCTCATTGCGGATTTTGCTCAGTATTATTGTTACCGCTATAATCTCTCGCCTTATCATAGCGGGTCTCCAACAGCTGCGGGTATATAAAGGCCAACACTCGCAACGACCGGCATAGTTGAATTCGAAACTGCAAACAAATCAAAGCGTTGAATAAGCGCACACAATCTATAATACCAAAGCTAGAGAAGCCAACGTTCTTGCAAAAGATACCGTGTTTTAAATACCGTTTATAAGTGAAAGTAAAGAAATACAATCACATCAAATTTAGAATGGCGAACCTACCATTGCTCTTGAGTTTGGCTGACGACTTAAGCCGCCTAACACCTTTCTACGAACCGGTGTTCTACACACACTGGCCCGCGATCACCACTTCGCCCAGTGGCCAGTTAAGGAAATTTGAAAAGGATCTGCCTATTGCTTCGGTGGGAAAAGATGGTTTTCAGGCCAGTATGGATGTGCAGCAGTTTAAGCCCAGTGAACTGAACGTCAAAGTAGTTGACGACCACATCGTGGTGGAGGGTAAACACGAGGAGCGAGCAGATGACCATGGCTATATTTCACGTCATTTCGTTCGCCGCTATGCACTGCCTAAAGGCTTCGATGCCGGTAAAGTAGTTTCAACACTGTCATCGGATGGCGTACTAACGGTCCGTGTACCAAAACCTGCCATAGAGGACAAGTCCAACGAGCGAGTCATTCAAATTCAACAGACTGGCCCAGCACACTTGAACGTGAAGGAAAATCCAAAAGATAGCGCCGGAGAAGAGAAACCAAAGGCATAAAATACAAAACTTTGATTTCCACAATGTATTATGAACTGATTGAAAAACACATACACATGTACATATTTTCATTTCGTTGAACTCTTATTAAATTATTCAATTGTTGAGAAAAGTAAATCTGTTCGTAGGTTAAGTTTGCATTTAATAAAAAAAAAGTAAAAATTGCCAAAAATAAAAAGCGTCGTTTTTATTTATAAAATAGCATAAAAATGCTAGTTTCAAGTAAAGATGGTGAACAGTTTTTCCTTTTATTTGTAGTAAGCCTCATCGCGTAAGTCGTAAGTTAGGCTAAATTGTACGACATTGGCATTGTCTACTGTCGTGCCGAAATAAGTAAATGACGAAAATCGTCGAAAACAATACAGGCAGGCAGGTTCTGTAATTCGCTGGCGAGTGGGAGGGGTTGAAATTCATTTGGAAGTGAATTGCAGAACCTACCAAGTTGTTAGTCTATGACATGAAATTTTCGAAGACTTGCATTCGACACGACTCTCGCAATGAGGGTGAGTACAATGGTCTCAGCAATTTGTTTTTCAGCAGGAGTTTAATTAGATGAATTTGGGTTAACAGCATCAAACAATTGCTTTTTTCCCAAATTTCAATGGCTTTTGCACACTACATCGCACAGTGTGCTTTTTGAACACTCCATGCGAATTAGTCGTAGCGCTTTCGACAGATATTTTGAAGACAAATTTTATTCCCTTTCACGGAAAAATACTGCCATTGACCTACATTTACTCCTTGACCTTAAAAAATTGGTAAAAAATAGTGTTATTCGAGAAAAACATGCACACTCCAGCGGATTTGATCCAAACAAACATTTTTTTATGTTTTTCGACTCTTTAATTGAGCCAAGGAATCCATCGTATTCAGATTTTTCGTGAAATCTACGAAAATCCGATCACTGAATCCGAATTGCTACGAACGTGTGTATTCAAAGTACATATTCGGATTCAGTGATAGCATTTTCGTAGATTTCACGAAAAATCGGATTACGATGGATTCTGTGATAGCCCTGTTTAAATTTTTCTTGCTTCCTAGATATGTATAACAAAATATGACCTTTCATAAAAAGTGGACTTGGCAACTTTTCACCTAAGCTAGCGAAGAGTTGACTTTGAAGTCCCAAAGCTGTGCGAATATTATAAACAATATAAAATGAAATGTGCTACTAAACCCAGTGAAGAGTTGGTAATGGAAGTAAGATATACATTTGAAAAAATATTAAGCACTTTTTAGATTGTTAGGCACACAAACAGTTGTGTACTTTACTTTGTTTATTGTAGGCATACATATATCCAGCTGAGCGCTTCGAATATGGTGTGGAACAGGACTTCCACAGCAATACCTCGGAAGAGCGTTTTACGAATGCTCCGAATATGGAGTCATAAGGGACTCCCACAGCAACACCTCAAATGAATGTTTTTGGAACGCTCCGAATATGGAGTTAAAAGGGATGCAAAGTGTCTTTTTAATATTTTTTTTCTTTGTATCTAGTCTGTAAGATGAAAATGAAATTTCCTGGAAAGGAACACCACAAAACAAGCTGTTGACGTTATGACAGGTGCGAATGCATTTTGAAGTAAGCAATAACGCCTAAAAAATTACTTTTGGCTAACTTTAGAACTTTTTAGGTGCATTTAAAAGAAAATTTGCTGGTTCACACAAAAAACTCAATAGAGCGAGCGCAATGTGATTTCACACTTCAAAACACGTCTTTAAAAAAAGATAAAAAATATTTCTTTATTTATTTCATAACTTTTATCTACTTTTTACTGAATAATATGTTAACCCGCATCTATCGGAAATTTTTTGTAACACAAAGTACGTTGTGCAGCAATTTCATACATATGGAAAAAGACCCTAGTATTCAATGAAATGTTGGTTTGTTTTATTTTTTATTAATGGCCAACGTTTATTCACTTCCTGATAATAAGATTAAAAATGCTTGAAAGATCTATACGCATTTTCCACAAAAACCCAATTCAAAATATTATCTATTTTCCTTAATATATCAATAGGTTTTCGAAATTGGTACATATCAATTTGATACACACGATGGATGCGGGTTAAATAATTTTCGTTGATTTAAAGATTTTTCAATAACAAAATAAAAAATCGAACCCTTATAAATTAAAAATTATATTAGGAGCATTTTGAAAACTGTGAATCTTCCTCTTCAGTCTATTATCGGAGCATTCGCAAAACACTCTTTGGATGATTTTAAGAGTCATTTCCACAAAATCATAGGGGGGGGAGTCCGCACGGAGTCTTTGCGGATTATCTGAGGGAGCTTTCTGGGACTCCAAAATCACTCAATTGAAGGAGTTGTATTGGGAACGCTCTTTTCTCTGGCGGATATCATCTTTTAGAAATCATTTCGAAGCCTCCCTAGGAGCATACGCGCACTGCACAGCGAGTCCTAATTGTGTACCCTGCGGACTACGCTGGTTGGCTGTTTACATCAGTTGTTTAATAAATTCTCTTACTCCTAAATATTTCACATCTTCTTAAAGCAAAAATTTTAGTTAACTGACGCTAGATTAACCAATTCGGCCACTGTGTGCCGATGAATAACCGCACTATCACCAAAACATACCATATCCCCTTGGAATTTCTTTTGAAATTTCATACATAATCGTAGGATCTAAATTTATTAAGCGACATTTGAAGTATTCTTCAAAGGTTGAAATTGTTTAATAGAAAAACGCTTTTTTTTGAGTTTTTGTATTTTACTTTTTTATTAAAATATTAGGTTACCTTGTAAATGTTTGTAATTTAGTTAATACAAATAAATATACGGTTTTAGGCAATTCGGCAGCTCATAGATTCGACCAAGATGCACAATATTTGACAACGCTCTTTTTTGCTGCTTACTTGGCATCTACTCTGGATTTTCTTTAACATTTAAATGAGCCGGCCCAACTTGTTGAATTTGAATCACTCGTTCGTTTGATTTGTCCTCTATGGCGGGTTTTGGTACGTTGACTGTTAGTACGCCATCCGATGACAATGTTGAAACCACTTTATCGGCTTTATAGCCTTTAGGCAGTGCATACCGGCGAACGAAATGTCGAGAAATATATCCATGTTCATCTTCTTGCTCCTCATGTTTACCCTCCACGACGATGTGGTCGTCAACTACTTTTACTGTCAGCTCACTGGGCTTAAACTGCTGCACATCCAGATTGGCTTGAAAACCATCTTTTCCCACAGTAGCAATAGGTAAATTTTTGTTCAATTGAAGCAACTGGTTACCAGGCGCGTTTGCTAGTGCCGGCCAGCGGGAGTAGAAAAATGGTTCGTGGAATGGTGTCAGTCGGCTCAAGTCGTTTGCCAAGCTCAAGACTAGTGGTAGGTTTGCCATTTTTGCTTTTATTCTTGCTCAATTAATGTAATAATTCAGCGTTTTAAAATTACGTTTCAATTCGTTTTTTGGTGCTTTGTATTTAGTAAGAACTTTACCGTACGCTTTTTCTACGCGCGTTTTCCTTGCGATTTCGTTTTCAACTGATGCGGCTTGTTGCAGAACTGGGCCTTTTATATGCGCAGATATTAGCAGAAAATTTTGCGAAAACAGCTACAGCAATAGTGTAGTGGTGATAAGGATACATGCATGCATATTACTCCACAACCATCCGTTGCGCATAAACGAATGTGCATATGTATGTAGTCAATCGACACAACAACAAAAAAATTGCCTCTCGAACGTGCCAGACGCAATGTCACTAACTGCCATCCCTAAATTGGCGCGTCAAGCGCCAAACAACTGTCAAAAATCCTCATGCCCATACAATTTGTATGAAGCATCCCACAATAACGCGGCGCTAACGCCGAGCAAATGGAATTTTCATTTTTGACAGGGCGTTACGTGTTGAAGTTGGATGCGGAAGACGGAAAGAAAGAGAAAGGACAAAAAAGTGAAAGAGGAAACGAGAATAAAAACGAGAGGATCTGAGAAAACGTCAAAAATTACGACGCGTTGATTTGGGGATAGCGCGCGCTGACACTCGTCGACAATGGATAACGCCACGCTTAGCGCTCCAATTTAGGGACGACAGTAACCTGTAAGAATCTCCCAGAGAATTCGATGTCAATGGAATTTTCTTTCGCGATAGCAAGAGAGATTTACAGAGAAGCATAATAATAAAGTGGCAGACTGGCAGGCACTGTTGCCAACTGGGTGCTTTTCGCACTAAATTTGGTGCTTTTCTTTATTCAAAACGCGAAAATATTAGAAAATAAGAACAAGAATCTTAACGTCGCTTAAACGAAAATATTTGAATTTACAGAATTACAGTAAATTCGACCGTCAAACAAAAAACATTGATTTTTATTAAATTAAATCGGCATCCCTACAATACAATTTTTCATGCATACAAAGTCCATTAAATACTCCAATAAAAACTTGGTGCTTTTTTTCGAGAAAAAACGCGATTTTTCTGGGGTTATAGTGCTTTTTCAAATTAAAAACTTGGCAACACTGCTGGCAGGCCTTTGAACAGAATTATTCCGCGTCTGCGCCGATAGTATTGTCAGGGCAGGGTAGATACAAATTTGCTTGCTTATGTATATTTGTAAGTACATACATATATGTATATAGTATGTACATAAATATTTAATATATGTACTTTGTGCCTTTTGCATTCATCCGCTCAGAGCAAACGTGCCGATAATAATAAACACATTTTCGAACACAAGAAGTTTGTCATAACTTTCCAGCATATGACCATCCGTCCTGGATTATACGGGACAGTCCTCTTTTTTCGTCAATTGCCCCAGTAATTTATTTATTTATTTATTTCTTTTAATGCCCCGCATTTGTCCAGTACAGTATTTTTGATCCTTTACAGCTCATAAAAATGACATTCCTTTGAACCAGTTTTTTTTTTTTTAAATCTGGACGCTTGTGATTCGAATCGAGGAACACATACATACATATATGGTTTCTGAAGTTATAATTTTGCGTAGAAAAAATTTGGTATTTGTTTGCATGAATCGAAATTAGTTATTGATTATTGTTAAAATTTCTAAAAGAAATTTTTAACTTTTCAAAGGATTTTTTTAACGCATTTTTGAACAAGTAGCAGCAACAGAGCAGCTGACATTACTTTTGTCGAAAATTTCGTCTTTAAATTGTAATATTTGTTTACATTTTACTCTAAAATATCAAACTTTCAACAACAAAATACACCCAGGTCGCTGGCACTATTACTTGTTCAATATGCCGTGGTTTGGGGGCAATTTTCAAATTTTGTGATGAGAGGAGATATTTATTAGGCGAAACTACGCCAAAAAATATTTGCTGATTGCATGAGAGATTATATCTTCGACATGAGAATGTTGTAAAAGTGACGAAGTTCTCAAAGATGGAAGGGAAGTGGAGCCCATCAAAGGTACGCTTTGGAATTCAGCTCGTTCCGGATGCTATTCACTGCATTGTGCTTGGCCGAACTCCGAGTCTGAAAATAATCCGTTGAATGCCACTCGTGCTGCAAAAGTTGTCGGATATTTTCATCATGTTTCCCTGCCTAGGATTGTTTGTAAAAAATTTTTCGGTTCAAACATCCCGAGCACAAAATACACAGTTATGGAAGAATATTCTACAATTGTGTGATGTTACAACTGAATATTTATGTGCTACTTTCACAAAAGATCAAAAAATATAAGCCAAATAAAGATGCTGTTTCAGGGCTAATAAATCTAGGATAATTGAAAAAGGTTTTAAGATCCTCTAGCTTTTGTGGAAAAAATAGGCAACGTTATTTTTTGTCCCGTATTCGGCTACCATAAATAGGTCACCGTATGCGTATAGCATATGAGCAGTGTTTTTAGTGTTTTTATTCGAAAATGGTGCAACACTTACCTTAGAAAATGCACTATCTTCAGTTTTGTATAAAGAACAAGATTCTAACGCGAAATTGTATTTCAAAGAAAATTTAAAAAAGATATACTAAAAAAGTAAAAATTTTGGTTGCATTTTCAAAATAAAACATTGTTGCCTATCAAAAGATTTTGAACTATCTTAAATTATTAAAATTTAAAAAATAGTAAAATTTCGAAAATTACAAAATAGCTACGACAGATATTATGCATGCTGCCATTTTTTAAATTTAGTTGCACATCTTTGAAACTTCACAGATATTTGATGCCAACGTCCATTGCCTTTTATTTGAAGATTCTATTTGAAAACTTCCCAAAGTTATTAAAGAAAAACAATTTTGATTTTTTTCAAATGACAATGAAAAAATTAGTAATTTCGGTACTTTTTCGCCTAAATAAACGTTTTAAGAAAAAAACTGTTCAAATACTTGATTTATTTGTTATTAAGTATACTTGTTTCTGGAACTCCATTGTTTGAAATATGTAAATATAGTAAACAAAAAGAATGTTTTAGCGTTTATTTTCTGACGAGAGAAGGAAGTGACACTAAAAAAATGACTCGTGAGATTGCTCATAAGTATATTATATATGTATGTATGTATGTGTATACCAATGGCCCTAACCAATTTGCTTCCCAAATCCAGCTTTGTTAAAAGATAATAAAAACAGCATTTTAAAGAAATTCAAGGCTGATGTACTCAAAATTTACAAAGCTTCTTATCAGTCTATAATAAGGTACCGATAAGTTGTTCACCACGTCACACAGTCTAAGATTTTGCTAACCTCGGGCGATCGCAGAAAAAAAGTTGCTAAAATTCAATGACCTTGTTGCAATATGGGAAATTTTGCCAAATTTCTGGCGAAATTTGCAGATTTTTTTTTGCATTTACTAGATTTGACCCAAATAGGGCAAGCGATTAAAAAAGTATAATTTGAGAATGTAAAAAATGTGAGTCTACATAATACTTAAATGGCATATACATAACACTGGATCACAAATTTTAGATTGGTTTTTGTTCTCCAGATGCCACTATCCAATTTCTGTGTAAAATTGCTCGTATTCCAAAAATCGAAATAATTTTTTTTTCTATGGATACGTTTTCGAGATATTTGTAATTTACCGTTACTCAGCTTAAAACAAAACATAACTAGTTCCACTTTATCATGTATATCTTACGAACCAATTTAACAATTTATCATAGGGAGAGGAGATTCATGGAAGATCATTACTATACCAAATACTGAAATTTCAGTCGGGTTCCGGTCGCATTGCAAGATTTGGTTTTCGACGTGGTCTAATGTACATACTAGGGTGATTGATCGGTTCCTCCAAACGGGTTTATCAAAATTTTTGAGCGTTTTTTTTTAGATCGCGATTTGTCGTATATCGAATAAACTTTCATCTAGAATATTTATACAACCGCATCTTAATATTCACTGGATTCTTTTTTGGTATTTTAGCAATAAATCTATGTGCTCGGAAATTAACTACAGTTTTCTTTTGCATTCACGTTTAAAACATTAATGCAAGTTTTGTACATGAAAGACGAGAAGCTTTGCAGGCAACATTTAATAGATATGCGTTTATTAAAAATATGTGCATATTTACCAAACGAGTTTTTTCTTCCTATTTTCTTTTTGTTTAAATGCGATATACGTACATAGTACGTGACAAATGTTAGTCAAACAAAGCTCTGTAAAAAAAGCTAAGCCAAATACAGCTTAAATAAATTTTTCGTAAAAATACATTTTGTGAAGCGCTTTAGTGAAAATGAGGAAATTTTAAGGTTTTTAACTACTAAGAAAACAAGTAATTTTTAGCAAAAAAAACCGACTTAAAAAAAATATTTATATCTATATATATTTCATGATCCAATGATCGGATCTAAACCAGATAAGTATGGGACCACCTCTGAGACACTACCTTTCAGATGCAGAATTATCGAAATCGGTTGACATGGTCCAAAGTTATGCTTGACGACGACAATGGCATATCCTTAATGGGGAAAGTGCCTCTGCCCGGCTGGTTGATGTCATCGTAAGGATAAAAGCTGACATCACCGCCAGACAAGAATTGCGTTGGACGGGGCAAGGCAAAAAATGTCTGGGGCCTTGCGACGCCTTCTAAAGCTGCCATGTAAAGGAGGGCGAATTCGGTGTTGGATTTGTGGTGCGTGGGCGTCTAGCCAAAATCCGCATCGAAGCGAAACACTTCAAGATCTCGCTAATCTGCGCTCATGCCCCGACGGAAGAGAAAGACGCGGCGTCCAAGGATCTTTTCTATGAACGCTTGGAGTGCACATACATACGAACGCTGCCCCCGCAATGATATCAAAATCGTGCTTGGCGACTTCAATTCCAGGGTGGGCAAGCAAGTGATCTTTGGAACTACCGTCAGAAAATTCATCCTCCACGACGAAACGTCCGACAACGGATTGAGGCTGATCGATTCAAGCATAAACAGATCCATCAAACTACGTGGCTGTCTCCAGATCGAAAAACGAGAGACCAAATCGATTATGTTGTGATAGACGGAAGGCACGCTTCCAGTGTTTTAGATGTACGTACACTCCGAGGGTCAAACATCGACTCGGACCACTTTCTTGCGCAAGCAGTGGAACCACATTTCCCGTTCATTAAGTACCGCCGCCGAAGAAGTAGTCAGATTTCAGTGATCTCGAAAGAACAACTGATACGATGAGGAGTGTGAAGAAGCTGCAGAGAAAAAAAAACGCCGCCTATAGGACCACGCTGCGATCGGGCGCAACGCGATCCATGTGGGACCGTGATAGATGCTGAAGAGGGAAGCGAGACGTATTTGCCACAGTAAGAAGAGAGAGGCCGAAATACCTGAGTGTGGAGAGCTTAAAAGGGCGGTTAGGCGACTTACGGAAGGTTTTAAGACCAGGGCGAACTCTTGTAAGAACAACAATGGCGACCTAGTGACTGATGTCTTTAACATACTTAAATTATGGTGGGAGCACTTTTTCACCCTACTGAATGGTAGCAGCACTGAAAGCTGTGAAGAAAACAAGCCAGAGCCCCCAGTCGATGATGACGCAGCCGATGTTCCACCACCTGAATATGACGAGGTACGAAAGGAATAGTGCGCTTGAAAAACAACAAAGCTGCTGGGGCTGACATCCTGCCAGCTGAGCTATTCAAGTATGGCGGCGAGGTGTTGATAAGGTGCATGCATCAACTCTTGTGCAGAATATGGTCAGATGAACTCATGCCCGACGACTGGAATTTAAGTGTGCTCTGCCGAATGTACAAGAAAGGCGAACCGCCATTAGCATCAACTACCGCAGGATCAGCCTTCTAAGCATAGGTTACAAGGTCTTATCGCGCATATTGTGTGAAAGACTAAAGCCCACCGGCAACGAACTGATTAGGTCTTATCAGTGTGGCTTTAGGTACCATAGACCAGGTATTCACAATACGTCAAATCTTGCAAAAGACCCGCGAAAAAAGGATCGACACGCACCACCTATGTGTCGACTTCAAAGTCGCTTTCGATAGCACTAAAAGGAGTTGCCTATACGCCGGGATGTCTGAATTTGGCATCCCTGCGAAACTGATACGGCTGTGTAAAATGATGTTGAGCAATACGACCAGCTCCGTTAGAATTGGGAAAGACCTCTCCGAGCCATTTGCTACCAAACGGGGTTTCAGACAGGGCGACTCCCTTCCAGGCGATTTCTTTAATCTTATGTGGGAGAAGATAATAAGAGCTGCAGAACTGAACCCCTCAGGAACAATTTTTTACAAGAGTGTATAATTGCTGGGTACGCCGATGACATCGATATCATCGTTGGCAAGTCTGTTCTGTCTTTTCCAAGTTGGATAAGAAAGCAAAGCGAATGGGTCTGACGTCAACGAGGACAAGACGAAGATTCTCCTGTTATGAAACAAATAGTCAGCGCATTCGCGCCTTGGCACTCACCACACTGTAGACAGTTATAATTTCGAGAAAGTAGAGAATTTCGTTTACTTGGGAACCAGCATCAACACCGATAATAATGTCAGCATTGAAATCCAACGCAGAATCACTCTTGCCAACAAGTGCAACATTGGACTGAGTTGGAAATTTAGTAGTAAAGTCCTCCCTCGACGTACGAAACCCCCACTCTATAAGTGGCATATGGCGCCGCAGCATGGACAACATCCGATGAGTCGGCTCTTTGGCCTTTACGCGTTAGCGATGGCAAGTACCGCAGACGATGGTATGATGAGCTGTATGAGCTTTACAACGACATAGATATAGTGCAGCGAATTAAAATACAACGGCTCCGCTGGCTTGGCCATTTCGTTCCAATGGACTTCCACGCTCCAGCTCTAAAAATAATAAACTCGGAACCCGCTGGTGATAGCAGAGGAAGAAGGAGGCCCCCACTGCGTTGGAAAGACCAAGTGGAGAAGGACTTGGCTTTACTTGGCATTTCTAATTGGCGTAAGCACTGGCACACTCTGTTGAACTTGGCTAAAATCGCTTAGGCGGTTACAGCGCCAAATAAGGCTTTCATTTCTGACCAACTATAAGCGTTGTCCAAACGCGAAAAATTAAAAATATCCACTCTAACAGGTTTTTTAATTGTGAAATAACTTGAAAACCGGGTTCGGGAAAACTGGAATAGCACCTTCACACAAAAAAAAGTTCCAGTTCGAAGGATGCCACATGGTAGGTGCTCTTCCTAATTGGGCATCTTAAATCCTCTAAATGGTAGAATACCCATTAACCTGGGAACGAGTTGTGTAACTTGTCAAAAAAATATTATTTTTTATATGTACTTGGTACTACCAAGACACAACTTCATACAATGAGCACATCAATGTTGCAATCTCGAGCACACGGTGCTTAAATTAAGCCTTTTGGGAGGACAGTCCTCCTTTGACACGAAATTTCCTCCGTCCTGCCCAAGCTAAAGACTCCTTTTTTATATTTGTTTCGCGTTTGTAATTGTTTCTATAAAAAGTTCGTAAATTACTTCCAAAAGTAGAAGATAACGAAGAGACGCCTGAAATTGAATTTCATGGAACTGGCAATAGAATACAAGCATGATGGTTCGGTGTTGGTTAACGAAGATTTCCAAATTATCTCTAAATTCCGGATTTTGTAGTTTCGATTAAGTTGAAGAAATTGTAAATATGCTTACTAAGAAAGGTATTTTAGATAACCTAAACTTGGAAGAATTGCTAAATTTATGTGACAAATGTATACCAAATTTTTAGTTTTGCCTAAAATGGGGTTCTGCCTAAAATGCAGAAAAGGCTTTTTCTGCATTTTTTTCAAGAAATGAACCAAATGTTGTGGCCTCCTTAAAAAATGTTTTGTCCTCCCTTAGGCATTTTAAAAGTTGGCAAGCCTAGTCGCAACCTTTATGGCTTGCTTTAAGCTTCTTTAGCTAAAATAATTTTTGTGTAATTTTTGCATTTCCAATGAAGTGTCGCCATCTTTCCAATGCAGTCTCACTTTGAATGAATTTGTTGCTGGTGACTAGACAGCCAACCACCATAGAGTGAATGCATGCTACATATGTACATATGTATGCATGCATAAGTAATTGCAACCGCAAAATAACATGCGAAAAATTTAGCTTATAAAGATACTACTAGATGCGTATTACAAATAGATATACATACATACATATGTACATATATACATAATATACACCAATATGAACATATATTCATATATATGCACATATTTGTAATGAGTGGATGATTCCGCCGGTTTGCAGCCATCAGCTGAATACTATTTAGTTTCCAGGCGAAGCGTCGCACATCTGATACGCCATTCCCTTTGTAAATGCACGCGTGTAAGGGGGATACTTGAAAGCATGCGCAGTGAAGCACGCAGTGAAAAACAGGGCGCTTGCTTTTCCCCATCTCCCTCAGTCTCCTTACTCATCTAGAAAATTGTTGTCAGACCACCAGCTGTTTTTTTATTGCTTTTATTGAGTTTCTTGCCGGTAAATTGTAGTTGGTAGATTTGCCGGCTTAACGACCGATTTACTGGCTACGAACTTGATAACAGCAACAATAACAACAGCTGTGCGGTTACTCTCTCAGCTGTTGGAAAGCAGAATTTAGTGGATGTTGTGCGTGAACTTTGATTCTTCAGATATGTATGTATGTACTACCTATGCAGATAGAGCCGAACCACACTGTCATCATCATGCTGCATGAAACCGGGCCTCTTAGCCGAGTGAGAGGAGGAAATTTAAATAATTTTAATGCAGCCAGCACCCTGCCATTTACCGAGCCGGTTTGCCATTTCAGGAAATCATTTCATGAAAAATAGCTTAAAATGCCTGCATAAACACCCTTTCATAAATTCAATCAATATGAAGTGGCGTAAAATATCAAAAAAGTGATCAACCCTCGCACCACGTAACGGCAACATTTTTTTAGTTATTTCTTTCCATTTAAGTAATCTAAGCTCTAAATGTAAATCAAATACGGGCTTTTCAAATGTTTCTGCACCTGCGACACCTAGGGGATTAATGCGTCGGGTTCTAAGCCAAGTTTTTAAGTTTCAAGTCTCTAGCTCATCGCGAAGTTGGTTAAAAATACAAATCTACGTATGGGCTTCGGTCTATTTGAGTTAAAAGATGTGGGCGGATGCCAAGAGGGTCGAGCCGTTCTGACCCCCCTGTTTATTGACAGAAGGAAAAAAAACTTTGTTTATTCCAAAAATACAATTAGGCAAAAAATGTGATATAACTCATATGAATATAGGGCAAGTGTCGTCTTTAATAACTGCTCAGCAAATTGGCTTTTGTATGAATTTTATCTGCATGATTTTTAGTATGTTGAAAACATCGCTGGAAAACCTTAAAATGTTTGCATGGAACCATGGCGCAATAAACAGGTAAAGTAATAAAACAGCTTTCTCGCTTACATTCGAAATTACATTTTTACATTTTATTACAATTTTACTTATATTTTTATTCGAAAAAAATTGGCAGCACTGCTTGGTATTTACATAAATTCGTAAAATACATATCAGCATACATTTGTATATATGTATACACTTATGTTCATACATAAATATAGGTATATACGTTCCCACATTTCTACGCGACTTCTTTCTTAATAAGTGTACATTCATTGTCTACTGTCCTGCCAAGCTCAACTATAGCTGCAAGAGAAACTAAAAACAAGAAACAAAACTTTACTGCCGTGAACATATGCAAAGAACGAGCGAGATGACAGCAAAACTTCAGAACCACCAGAGCAAAATACATTTTTAACGTATGCACGGCTCCCACAGTTGCAGGAAATTCGGAGGTCTCGTTGCATCGTATTGCAAAAAGCTGGTGACACGCACCACAATGCCACAGTCGGTCGCCGGTAAATCAGCGAATTGGCTAGTCGGCCGGTTAGTTCCCTGTCACACCCCGATCATTTGCTTGAACTTGGAATTCCAATCGAATTTGCTCTAAGCTTTCCATTCAGCGCTGCAAGGTGGTTTAAAAAGGCAGCATTCAGCAATTTGCCTTCATATGAAAACCAGTTAGGAAGCAAGTCGGGCGTGTTTCGGTTGCGCATCGGTTGCATTCGAATGGTACTGCTTCTACCCCAAGTAGTATTGGCATTAAAAACAAAAGTATAGTGTTTAATAAAAAAAAAAAATATTAATGAACTACTCTGCCGTGAGCCCAACAAATTCGTAACGACTTTCTTAAAAAATCGGAAACGCTGCTCCGCTTGCAACGTGGCGTGAAATTATAAACGCATTTCTATCGTGCGTGTACGTGTGCGTGAGTGTGTGTAACAGTGAAAAATATAGGTACCAATTTAATATACATACATACATATATATTTGAAAATTGGGTATATACCTAAGCGATGTCCCTCATTCCGTTTATACTCGAATTGGCCGATGAGTTGCATGAATTCAATCGTTGCCTGGCCACCGGTGGTATGGATGTCGACGACTTCGGTTTTGGTATCTATCCGCATGAATTGCAGCCGCAGCAACAACAAACACAGACGCAACATCCTCTGCAACAGCAACAGCCGCAGCAGCAGCATTTGTCGCAACAGCGACGCCCACGCCCCCTCTCGCAGTTCTATTGGATGCCAAATATAAGTAAAAGTCGTCACCATCCCTACTATCGAGGCAAGCCATGTTGTAACAAAACGCCCATACAATTAGTGTACGAGCATCATTTGGAAAAGGAGTCGTCCTCGACTGCTGGGGGTGGAGGTGGCGTCGCCGGCACCAACACCACCGGCGGAACATCCGCTGGGGACAAGGAGTCGGCGGCTAATACACATTCGCCTAACCCAGGCACGCATAATGTTTCATCAACTACAGCAGCAGGCAAATCCGCATATTCGGTGGTGAATAAGAACGGCTTTCAGGTCAGCATGAATGTGAAGCAGTTTGCACCAAACGAGCTGACCGTAAAGACAATCGATAACTGTATCGTCGTCGAGGGTCAGCACGAAGACAAAGAGGATGGACATGGCGTCATCTCGCGACACTTTATCCGAAAGTACATGCTACCGAAGGGATATGACCCGAACGAAGTTCTTTCAACATTGTCCTCGGATGGAATTTTGACTGTAAAGGCACCACCGCCAGCAATGAAGACTGATGAAACCCTAGAACGCATTGTCGATATACAACATACTGGGGGGCCAGTGCAAATACAGAGCACTGCTAAAGAGCCAAACACTATAAGCAGCGGAAAAGAAGACCAAGCAAATGCAGCAGCCTCAGGAGTGGAGCAAGCAGCCACGTCAGTAGCAGTAGTGGCAGGAACATTACCAACATCAGCTATAATAACATTGCAACAAAAGCAGCAGCAACCACAGCAGCCCCAACAGATGGTTGCAACAGTCGAAAGTGTGCAACAACAGAAGCCGACAAAAGTTGCACAACCCGCAATAAAAGACTTGCAGTTAACGCGAGAGCGTAATGGCAATCTTGAGCCGAATGAGCTGCTCGCAGAGCAAGAATCTGAGGCACGCACAGCTGAGCCGACAGCCTCGTCTTCCAATGGCGACAATATATCGAACAATAACAACATTAATGACAACAGTGAAGTCAGTAACATTAACAGAAGCGGTGTTAAAAGCTCTGTTGCTGCTTCCAAGCCCAATTTAAAAACAGATATCAAAGAGAAAGAGAGTTTAGCAGAGGACGATGCGAAAACAGTCGGTTCAGACAATTTTAATACTAATGAAAAGGCACTCACATCCTCTGTTGCAACAACGCCGGCAATCGACGCCATCATGACTGCCGTTACTGCAGATGAGCCAATGGAGACGGAAGAAACAGAAGAAGAAATCGTAAAAGACGTTGGTAAAAAAACGGCAGAAGACTCATTGCTAACATCGGATATCGAAGACGCCCTTCCACTCGTGAGCGACATGAATTCTGTTGCTAACTCATCGTCATCATCCAACAACAATTCCAATTCTAATAATTTCGCAACTAACAACCACTCTTTAAACATCGTTGAGACGAACGGTATCGAAATAACCTCAGCTAATAGCGTTGACATCGAATTAGCGAGCTCAGCCATTGTAGAAGCAAGCGACATCATTGTGGTTACCAACAATGGCGTACCGGAAATAAAGACGGCAGAAGGTCTAACCATCAGCTTGGAAACGGCAGCATCAGAAATAGATGAGACAACAGAATTGGAAGCAGAAGTGTCTGAAGCTGCCGATGCCGTTGATGCTGATATGGATGCGGATGATTTGGATGGTGCTGCCGACATTGGGGTGGGGGTAGATGTTAATATAATCGGTGACGGTGGGAGTAGAGCGAGCGTAGAAGATGGCAATGACGAAAGTAGCTCTGTTGGAAATTTAGTGGTAGTTGCACAATCCCCCAGTGCCGGTGACTTAGTGGCAGCAGCCGATGCAGCCATACTTTTAAGCAAGACACAATGTGATGTAAATTCTGGGGCAGGTGACGTTGCAGCTGGTAAACTTGCAATAACTACCGAAGAGATAACTAATTAAGCAAGGAAGAAGTAAGCAAAAAATTCTGCCGCTACAGAATGAGAGTATTTCGGATGAGAAAAGAGATAAATTATAAAATTCATATTGGCAGATACATTTCTAAAATAAATTACTTTTAAATTTTAAGTACTTAATTAATGTAGAAGCCTGTACAAGCGAAATAAAAAGAAAAGGAAAGTGATATAAAGGTAGAAAGACAAAACGCATAGAAATCGCGATAGGCGCCCAAACGTCATTTCCTGTAAGCATTCATACACTTTCTAATCATAATTAAATCACGAATATATAAAGACACACAAACTAAACCAAATGCGTGTGTACATTTATTTTATGAGCCCTCAAAGCTATGCATTTAACAATAAAAGGCAAAACCTAGTGAAATACATATATAATTCATAGCTATGAGATAATAAAATTTTTTTTATAATTTCATCTAACAGATCATAAATTAAATGAAATAAACAAGCATTAATATGTGTATGTACATATGTACATTAGAGTGATCCAAAAATACACAGAAAAATCAAGTTTTTGAGAATTTCCCGCTGTCACCCTGCAGAACTGAAGAATATCGAAAATATGGAGATTGGTATTTTTTTCTTCAAATCGGTTAATATTTATATGTATATGTATGTATATATATTTGTTGTATAGGAAAAATAAAGTTTTTCGTAGAATTGATAAAAGATGGTATTTTTAATCGACTAAAAGTATTTTCCTTCAGAAATCTTCAAAAGTAAAATTATGATGCATATGTAACTTTAAAATATTACTAACTATTTTTACATAATGGGCGTGATCTGCTTACGGATGCATGAAATGACACATTCTTGTATGCAAGAGATAAGATTATAACCGATAATGAGTGAGTAAATTTTAAAGGTAAATATTCATCTAAATCACATTATGTATATATGTAAAAAAATACGGGTATCTTTATTCTCGATATTCGTCCGTGTGGGGAGGGCTGGCTGGAAAAAAAACTTTGGATCACCTTAATGTACATGCATACATACATAACTTTCTTCGCAAATTTTTTTGAAATACATACACATCACCTTGATTTACATGCGTAAATATCTTTCCTTCCTAATTTATTTGAAAAACATGCATATGTTTTAGGCTTATCTTTATTAATTTTTTTGTAGTTTTTATTCACTGAACCTTTTTTATTTTCTGTAACCTTTTATTCTATTATTCGTATTTTTCGTTAATTTTTTTAATTATAAAGAATAAAGAAAGTAAATCGTAAAATACATTGCTCAGTGAATATGTAGTTTTGAAATTTAACTTTTGTTTTAAGAAATTATTTTTGTCAAAGGCAAGAGTAGCTATAAGAAAATTTCACATGATGCATCATTATAAAATAAAAAATAATAAAAATTCTTTTATAAGGCATCAGTGTGTAATGTTGCATCATATTTTAAGCAACATCGAAGAAGACACGGTCAATTTCTGCATTTCCAACGCAATTATTTTTAATTTGAGATTCTTTTAACAAGCGAGCTTTTATTTTTATAAAATATAAATTATCTACATGCATATATTAACAGTTATTGCTTGCAATTTTACATTCCTTTCATAAATAGTTATCATGTTCTATTTAGATATTTCACAATTATAGGCATTTTATTCAATTGCAATGTAAGCTGAACCACTATGTAAATTAACAAAAAAAATAGGGGTAAACACATTCCTTTTGTGTATTGTTTATTAATTTTATTGATATGTATGTATGTCTGAATTTAACATAGAGAGAGAGAGAGAGAAAGAGCTGCGCCAGCAACAATTTAAAACTAAGAAGAAATACGAAACTAAATTGCTAATAAACATTCTAGACAAAAAGTATACACCAATATAAAATATAAACAAAAACTAGCGGTGGTAGTGATGCAGTAAACAATATTAAACAAATGCATACATACATACATATACTGAGAAATAAATGGAATCCCTATCGACAGAGTGAAAATTACAAAAGTTAAACAAAAAAAAAACTCGACTATAAAAGCTGATTACAATTGCTAATAATGAATGTGGCGATAATGATGAAAATTACTATTATGTACGCTATATTCTGTCGTACTGAATACACAATAAAATTAACGTAATCTCATTTAAAGTGTGTTTTAATTATATGGGCGATTATTTATATCGTTTTAAGGTTTATTTAGTGCACATTACAAATTCATTATGAGTATTTAAAGAAAGCGTGCAACATACTAGGTATTATATTTTCAAAAGTAAAACTGTTTCATTAATGTATTCCACTACCCCTCTATCTTCCTATGAGTTTTACTTGCAATTTTCACATACCTACATATTTATCCCTTTCATGACCGACTTGGGTTGGTATAGGTTTTTAAGTATTTTTGTTTAAAAATTTTTTTTTTCGAAAAATCATTTTAAATATAACTTAAGAATGCCGTAAAGGCATACAATTAATGAAACAAATTCGTTTCCAGAATCTTTTCGCTGTGGCTACTTGTGCAGAACGAAAACATTGCAAAAGGTAGTTCTGCAGTATTAAAAAACAAAACATAATACATTTAATTTTTTGATAACAAAAGATTTTTGGTTATTAAATTTAAGTAATAAAGTGAAATTAAAAAAGCAGACCTTTAAAATCGTTTTTATTTTTGACTAAAATATTTTTGTAAAAAATATCTGAGCTAGATTTTATAACGATCAAACTAGAAATCGTAGAGTTTTTAAATTTTATAACATGTCATAAAATTACTTCGAACATAGAAGGGTTAATAATAAATATAGCTTCCCCGTTTGATGGCAAAATGCCTTTAAGTAAATTACGTATTCTTAGATTTGTGCCATTATGAGTCATTCACGCTCGTTTCGTGCCAAATCCGTAATTTAACTGAAACGAAAAATATGTACATATGTATGTACATTAGAATTACAAAATTGATTATATTTTAAGGACTGTACCAAAATATTTCGGAAAAATATTAAGATTTAAGCGAGCTGCACCGATTTGAAGATACCTCCAAAAATGTAGTTTTTATGAATAAAAACAGTTTCTTAAAGAACTTTTTGAAAAAAGTCCCCTCAGATGACAAAACAGATTAGGCTTAAAAAATCTGCATAAAAATATTTAACAACCTTTTCAACGGAATCGCAATAATGGGATTTTTGATGCTGTTTTTTACTTTTTTCAAAGATTGATTTACGAAAAGCTTAAATAACTGGGACAAAACTATTCTGATTTAGACTTATGGGATCTCGGTAGAAAGGTATTTCCCACTATTTTTATTTATGTGCAAAAAAAATCATTCGTGTCCCAATTCTTTTTTCAATACCAATAATTCTATTTTGAATTAAGTTCGCTCATCCTACCTTTCTCTTTTATCCTTTGAATAAGTTTATTAGGTAAGAAATAAAAAGGGCCAGAAATTACCTTTCCAGCGATTTCTCACAAGTATAAATCGGAGGAGTTTTGGTTCAGTTACTCAATTTTTTCTTATACTAATCTTTTTTGAAAAGGTTGAAAAGCAGCATCAAAAAGCCCATTATTTAGATTCCGTTCAAAATTTTTTCTATTTTTTTTTAATATTATGTAAATTTTTTAAGCTTAAACCGTTTTGTCATTTGAGGGGATTTTTTCAACCATCTTTAAGAAACTATTTATTCATAAAAAACTATATTTTTGGAGGTGTTTTCAAATAGGTCCAGCTCGTTTAAATCTTACTATTTTTCCGAAGTATTTTGGTGGACGTCTTAAAATATAATAGATTTTATAATTCCAATGGAAAAACAGTACCAATTTTTTGAAGTGAAACTTCTTTAGCGGCGATTGATTGGTTAGGAGTAAATTGGCTAATTCAACGGAAATTAAACACGGAAATGGTGCAACGGAAATGGTTGGTGGCTGAAACAAGTGCTTCTTGTGTGTATGCATATGGTATTAATTTACCAAAAATTTGCCAATAAAAAAGTTACAGAATAACACTTAGAAAAAGACCAATACAAGAATGAAAGTTAAGGTGAGTAAGTAATAGATAAAGAAAAGGATAAGCGCAAAGGTAAAAATAAAAACAAAAGCAAAGATGCGTAAAGATTAAGGCAGAAATGAAGACCAAGGTAAATTTAAACACCGCACTTATATATAAGAGCAAAGGCGAGGGGGAATATGTAGATGAAGAAAATGATAAACATAAAAGTAAAAGCAAAGATGAGGATGAGATAAAAGTAAAGATGAATATAGGGGTAGAAAAATTAAGATAAAGGTAATAAAAGAAGAAAGGATATAGAGAGACACAGGGACTCAATCTGGGAACTATTTTGGGATTTTAGAGATTTTCGGTATTCTCTAGACTTATCGATAAAATAATCGCTATTATTATTGGTTTTGTTATCGATATCTTTATCGATTTTGTTATCAAAATTTTTATCGATATTGTTATCGATTTTGCCATCGATATTTTCGGAACTCATCGATATAACAATCGACATTTTTATCAATTTTGTTATCCATGTTTTAATCGGTCTTGTAATCGATATTTTTAAGTAATTTGCTAGCGATATTTTTATCGATTTTGTTATCGATATTTTCGATTGTATTATCGATATTCATCGATTTTATTATCGATATATTTCGATTCTGTTATCGATATTTATAGATTTTTTATCGATATTCATAAATTTTTTTATCGATATTTTGTCGACTTTGTTATCGATTTGTAATCGATATTTTTATCGATTTTGTGACTTTTCGATATAATAATCGATATGTTTATCGGTTTTGTTATCGATATTTTTGTAGATTTTTCTATCGATAGTTTCGAAACTTACCCATGTAATAATCGATATTTTTGCCGATTTTGTTATCGATACTTTTATTAATTTACTAATCGATTTTTGTTATCGATTTTGATATCGTTTATTTATAGATTTTGTAATCGATATTTTTATCCATTTTCTAATTGATTTTGTTACTAAAATTATTGTCGATTTTGCTATCGAAATTTTCGTCGAATTTGTCATGGATTTTGTTATCGATATTTTTATCGGTTTTGTGATCGATATTTTGTTCGATATTACTATCGATTTTGTTAGCGATAGAGATAAATGATGACAAAGGAAAACAGAATAACATAAATGTAAGTAGAACGAACAGGGCTAGAGGTAGGAATATACCCGTAGATAGAAAAAAGATCAAAAATATAACCTTAAGCAAAAGCAGATGTATGTATGTACGTGCGTATGTACGAAAGTTTCACTTCTCCAGTGTGGCCCAGGCGCACTTACTTTTTTTATATGGGGAGTGGTGCAGGCTAGTGTACATACATTAAATATGTATACTAATTCATGAAGCCAAGTTATTCGACGTAAGTTAAATTCAGGAGAAACCGATTTCCCTGTTTTCTTTTTCGAGTGCTTATATATTTTACATTTTACAATATAGATATGTTCATATACTATACAAAATTCTGTTTTTAATAGAAAACTATTTTCGGCCCCTTATAGATATAGAGCTACAATAAATTTTATTGATTTTTAATACACATTTTGATACTCTGCGTCTTGAAACCGATTAGCTAAAGTCCCTTTTGGATTTTTAACTTCATTCATTTTACAATGGGTTGTCCAAACGCCGTTGCAATTGTAGGCGATGTTGCCAGATTTACTTTTCAGAAGACAGTAAACTTTAGAAAAAAAGAAGGAAATTTAATCAAATTGTAAGCTTGTCTAAAAAACTGTAATATTCAGTTAAAACTGTGAATTTGGTAACATTGGTTGTAGGGGATATGCTGGCCAGTGTTCGGACCAAAACCAATATTTTAGTGGTAGATTAGCCTGAAAATTTGTGATAGATTCCAAAATAATGTGGTAGATTTACATATATTTACATGCAGCAATTTTTTTATATTCACAATATTTTTCATGTTATTTTTTTCGTAAATTTTTTATGAAAAATGTACTCATTATTACAACAAAAACCACAGTAAAAAACTTTGCATAGACAATTTTAAAACTCAACAAATTTCATCAAAACTTTCGATTATCTAAAAAGATTTATAAAAAAAAATAAAAACATGTTTATTTTTTCGATCTTGGTTGACTTTTTACAGGAAATGTGCGTATACAAGTATACTTATACAATTGAAGATAGCAGAACAAACCAAATTATAAAAAAAAATAAAAAATTTGGTAGATTTTACCATCCTGTCATAGATGGGCACACTGCAGTTATATTAATTGCACCGAAGATACCAGTAATCAGTAAATTTTTAATGATAATGATTACTGATCACCAGTGTTGCCACACATAGGCTTCTTTTACTAAAACTGGTAGATTTGTTTCCATTAGGGAGGTTGGTAGGCTAGATTGGATTTCGGTAGGGTTCCACGACAACAATATTTATTAGCGAAAAATATAAAATATGTATCTCTAAACATTTTAGCAACCTTTTTTATACGAATATTTCACAGAAGCGTTCGTATAACGACTACGGAAAACATGTAAATATACCTGATTCGTAAGTACAAACGTATACCCTTATTACTTCCAATATATAATATGAACATGCATATATACTTTACGCGCAAGTTAATTTAAATTGCACTGAACCACAAGGTTGTGACAAACTACATACATACATATGTACTAAAGAAAAAGGACTTGTCAATAAAACCACTAAAGTCCTCCTTTGTCCCATTTACCCAGGGACCGTAAATAGCAGTTATTTTTTTAAACTTGGCCAGATATTTTTTAAGATCGAAATAAAAATCTTTCCGGATAGTAAACAAACCGCTTATACAAATTTAACAAAGTTGGTACCAAATAAAAGAGGACTTATATAGCTCTTAAACAGAAATAACCATCGAAGGCTACCACTTATATTTATATTTTTTTATAATTTAATACAAAAGAAATGCATATACCTGACCAAAGGTTTGTTCTGTGGTAATTACTTAAAAAAAATTTTTTATTTAAATATTTTTCAATAGCTGGCTTTAAATATTCCAGTTTTATAGCTATTTTAGTCCTCTTTCAGTTAATACAGAATTGCTTAATTTGGATAAGCGGGTTGTTTATTATTAGGAAAGGACTTTTATTTTCGACTTAAAAATATATAAAGATTAGCTGTTGAAAAAAAGTAACTGTAATTTACGGTGCCTGCATTTGCCAAAAGAAGGAAAGTCAAATTGACTAGACCCACCTTGGCAGTGACAGAAATATAGTTTTCAGAAGAGGCGAAGTATCTAGGAGTAACTCTGGACAAAAGGCTCAATTGAAACCTATATCTCTCGAATGATACCAACAAGGGCGTTTATGCCTACCAGAAATATCATAGTAAAACTTAAGGAATGTCACCCAAACTAACGGTGATAAGAAAATATATTGTTAAAACTTGTAAATATGTGGTGCGTTTATAATTTCGACATGGATTTTGGACGGAAAAAATATTAGCCAATTGAAAATGTTATAACCTAAAATATAGGCATTTTGTATCTATTACAAAGGGTGAACACTTTGTTAAACCGGCATATAACGAAAAAATAAAATTTTGAAAACAAGTAAATTTTTCTTTAAAAAATGCGCAGGCTAGACACTAATTTCCGACTTATAGTTTCTTCTACATTTTCTCTTAGAATTATCTAGAGAAACAGAAAATTCCATTCGATTTGTCGAAAAACTGTCTTCTGAACAATTTGACTACCTTAATTGTACATATTTTAAAAGTTCTAATTTTTTTACAACGAGATGTATAACATTTTTTCTTGCCAAAACCAGGACAATTTGCGTCCCGGCATGTGTTGTACCGGGACCGGGACATAGCTCGAAAATCCGGGACAGTCCCGCTGAAAACGGGACGGTTGGCAACTGTGGCAGGAACGGAGGGCAAAACTGTTGGGATTATTATTATTTTTATTATTATTATTATGCGAAACTACATATATTTTTCGTCTCTCCTGAAAAATTTCAAAAAATGGACTTGTCACCAGCGTTGCCAGGTTGATGTTTTTAACGTCATTTGGACGTTTTTTTATCCTGTTGACGTTTGGACCTTTTTTGTGTAAAAAATGTCGTTTTTTAACTTCCCAGTAATTTTTATCTATGTACAGTGCATTCAATGTATAGCGTTCTATTTGCTTGTAGAGTAAGTACTTACGCTCACTCTTTCGGCAAATTTGTTACTAAATCTTGTAAGTACAACTGATTTTGAATTAATTTCTTAATAAATCTGTACAAGCTTTGTTTTTTGCAGTAGGTGCCTCAAAAGATATTTATTCTTTGGGCACATATGACTTTAATATGATGCAAACCAAGCGTACGCGCTTTTTTTTATTCTTGGACTAAGGATCCCGCATTCAAAGGCTGGCTGTGTAAACACTTGAGGTTACAAGGCTTATGTTTGCAATTGCATATTAAAAGTCAAATCAGGTAGAGCCGATCTATTGCAACACGCACGCTCTCAAAAGCACTATGTTCCTTCTTAGCAAAACGTAGTTTAGCATTTTCGACAACCGACCACCTAACCAAATGTCTACAAGAAAAAAAAAACATTAAAAATCAACTTAATTCTTTAGCATACTGAAAAAAATTCAAAAAATCGGAATAAAAACTTGAAAATCCAGCTAATTTTTTCACAAAGTTTGAAATGTGGATTTATATTTTGTTTAGTTATATAATGACCTGGGCTTTTATGAAAAAATAATAAACATTAAATAAACAAAAGAAAAACAGCCAAAATCGATCAAAATGTTGATGACTTAATCAGCTGATCACAAGTGTATGTATAAAATGATTTTTATATTAACGATCTCAAACCAGTTTACAATAGTGGTATTCACCAAATTGTTGTCAACAGTCGTTGCTTGAGCTCATCTGCTGTTTTGCCAGAATGCCAGGCCACTTGCTCACTTTGGTAAATACCACCAATGAATTTTAAATGTGCTCTGTCGAAATGACATTTTAATATACCTTACGTACATATGTACCTTTGTATACAACAAAAGTTTAATAAGAACAATTCCGTGTGCATACAGGGAAAATACGTTTTTGGGTAGGAAATGACGTTTTTTCAGACCAAGAGGGACGTTTTCTCATGCCGAAGACCTGGCAACACTGCTTGTCACCTTTTCACCTTTAAGTGCATACAACTAATAAAAAAGTTTTAGCCGAATCTAAATTATTAGAGTCACAAAATGTGTACGATTTGTAAATAATGACCCCAAGGCCTCTGAATTTAACATTAAAAAAGCCGCATACCTTTCATGAACACCAGAAAAGTTAACTTCAGCCTATAACTGCATTTTTATTCAGTTGTTTGGGAGCAACACATTAAAATAAATTGATTTTCATTGTGAACTTTTAATTTATGGCAACTAAATAGGGGAATCAAATTTTTGACCTTATCTACTGAGATAGAAGAGTTTTATATACATATTTGTATGTATATCAAAAATCCATATCTAAACAATCAGTCGCATGGCAGATACATATACCATACAAAGCGCCGATCATAATGATTTTCACAGTGCATGATCGGTAAGTGAAAAAGTCGCAGAATTTCATGGTTTAAGCTGCCTAGTAACTAGTCATGTCATAACATGATGCTAACATGATGATGCCGCAAAATTTACCGTTTAGTAGCCTGTACTCGCCGATTATTAACATGTTGCCTTTTTATATAATCGTGCAGACCTCTACTGCCTCCATAAAGGAATAATATCTGAATAATCAGTGATCATAAAAACTTCCTCAAAGTAAGCGCACAATTTGCAAACAAATTTCCGACAGGCCCACATGACGACAACCACTGCAGTTGCAATGACGTCGACACAAGGTGTAATAGAACGGCGCCAACCTAAAGGTATAAAAGGCGCAATTTCACTAGCAAGTTTTTCATAAAATCCACTCTCGCCGTAGGTCTAACAACTATTCCATTCAAAATTTAGTTCAATCAAATTCTATTATAAACAAAATTACGTATTTATAAACAAAAATGACACTCGTGCCGACCACTTATGACGGTTTCGCGCGTGAACTCGATCGACCGCGTTACTATTCACCGTACGATTTTCAACTCTACCCCTATCTCTGGGATGATACAAGATTGTGGTGGCCCTCTTCCGATCGCCTGCTTCGTCCACTAGATGACCTGGTTACACGTCGGGTTCGCAATCAGCTAATACAGTCATCGTTACTAGATTGGAGATATCCGATGCGTTGGGATAACTACTATGCTGGTGAGCGAGTGCACGTAGATGAAAAGGGGTTTCAGGTGGACATCGATGTGCGCCAATTTAAACCGCATGAAATCGTGGTGAAAACCACCGATGACTATGTGATTGTGCAGGGAAACCACGAGAAGCGAAACGACGGAAATGGACTGGTCGAACGACATTTCATTCGAAAATATTTACTGCCGCGAGGATTCAATGCCAACGATGTGATTTCCAATCTATCATCAGATGGTATATTGACAATCAAAGCTCCACCTCCGCCACCTACAAAGTACTATACCCCGAATGAGCGTTTGGTACGAGTGCATGAAACAGGTAAATTGGCGTTGCCCTGGAAATGAGAAAATCTAATAAAAGAAGACTATTTATGGATGTGCATTATTGCAATTAATTGTGAAAAAAAAATATATATATTTATATAATGCGAGATGTGAGTGCACTTTGATTCAACGTGCACCAAAAGTCAAAAAATAGATTTAATACTAGATATATATGTAAACAAACAGTTTGAAAATTCTACTAAGTACAAATGCAAAATAAATGAGTCATAAAAGTTTATTTACGTACTTTTATATGTGTCTTATGTGTGTGTTCTTTATGCATGTTGAACGGTGGTATATTTTTAATTAAGTATGCACAAATATGTACACATTTGCAATACATACATATATCCCTACAAGAAAAGCAGAATGTTTCGAACTGGTGCGATGGCTCATCTAAAGCCTATATCAGACCATCGTTTGTACAATGTACGAGGGATGTTTCCAAAGATCAGGGAATTGTGTTATAATTCTGTGTTCGTATGGAACAGTAGCGTAGTCAAAAGGCTGGCTTTAGTATACGAGTAATACTGCATTCGCTTTATTCTTTAAACGACAAGGAATTTTTTGATGAGACATAATAAGAATATGGACTTGCTAGTATGGGAACTATTTCTGCACGTTTATTTGCCAAAAGTTCTTCAATGGCTCGGCGACCGTGAGTCATTCGCAATCGTACTACTAAGCTACTGTTCCATACGAACACAGAATAAAAAGTAAAGCTTGAGGCCGTTTTTAATAGCTATCACTTCTACCATTTTTTCAAATTGTTGCTTTTCCACAATAGTTTTAAACGGCCTCAGGGTCAATAAAAATTTTTTGAATATAATTGTTATAAGGCCATAAATAACCATAACAGATAATTTCAAACTTTGTACTAATATTATAAAAAGGCTGCAAATTTTCACCAAAATTGAAAATGAATTGAAATGCTAAATTGATCGAAAATTAAATAATCAATCAATTTATAAATTACTTTGTAAATTAAAGAGATTATATAAATTTTTTTAAATTTGATTGCATCAAAAATAACTTTCTATAATTATAAAAAAAAACTTGTTAATTTATGCGTCTGAATTATATATACATACATATGTTTGTCCCTTTTGAAGTGCAAAGAAGTGAAATGGTCTATAATAACACATTTCTAATACTACAAAACAAACAAAACAAAAGATATTCGTTTAAATTGACAAGTCATACTTATAAAAGTTCAACTGAGATCAAATACGGAGGCGCATATCAAAATCCGGACAACGGAAATTATTAACGTTTAACCATATTATAAGAAAACGAATAAAGTACTGGTCAAAATAATAGCACCACAACATTTTTAGCAGTTTTGACTATTTTTTTGTTTGTTTAGTGTCTACTAATTTTTTATAAAAGTTGTACAAAACATAAAAAACTACAAAATCATTAAAATTTCAAGGTTTTTAATTCCAATTTCTATAAAAATTTTGTGTGCGCGGTTTTATAGCGTATTAAATTTTACTATGTAAGTAAATTTTACTAAGTGTAAGCTTATAGTTTCTAAAAATTTCAATAACTAAAAAATTTTTGTTTGCCGAATATTTTGTGAATTTTCTTGGATGAAAAAAAATGAATGTAATGTTAAGAGATGTAAAGAGAGAAGTTTCGCTAAAACCGACATCGACATCGAGCGCTTTGATAGTTTTCAAAAACTATCGATAGTGGGGACAGTTTTCAATTATCGATACTATCGATATTACTATCGAGAGAATCTATTTATAAATACGAGAAACATATATGCACATTAGGGTGATCCGAAAATGCATGTGAAATAGTAAAGTCGGAATCTTTATGCTCTCACCTCCTAGGATTCTATACCGAAAAAAATATACCCCTATTTGTTTTTTTTTTTGAAATCAAAACATATTTAGAGGTTGCTCAAAGCGCCCAAAGTTTTCCAACTTCCACTTCAACTTTCCAAAAAAACTAATATTTTTCTTTTCGTCTGCAGGATTCCCAATAATAATACCCAATTGTTTATTTAACCACTTTTTCATCGCAACTATAATTTGTAGGTCCGCCAAAAACCCACAAACACCCCGAAAAATGCAGTAGGGGGATAAATAATCTTTAGTATAAAAAAATGGTTAAATAAATAATTCCGTATTATTATTGGAAGTCTCCTGAGGAGAACCAGAGTTTTCCGATCGAAAATTATTGATTTTCAAGAATTCTATACCATTTCTATGAAAATTTGTTTTTATTTCCATGCACATGGAAAACTTTGAGCGCTTTGAGCGACCTCTAAATATTTTTTGATATTAAAATAAAAAATAGGGGTACACTTTTTTTCTAGATAGAACAATCCTAGGGAATGAACGCATTACAATTTCGACTTTACTGTTTTTGGACCACCCTAATGTACATGCAGTCATATCAAGAGCACCTCATTTCAAAGTTATATTGTTTTCTACTTATGTTTATTTATTTTTAAGAATTTTCATTAAAAAAAATTCATACTCTGAAGAAATCCATATAAACCCAAATTTAAGACTTTGTAGAAAACTAAAAAAATCTAAAAATGTTCATCCAAATGTCAAAATTATTTTCTCAGAAGTTTTTGAGTATATAGATTTAGAGTCCTTTCAATTTTATTGCAATAACGTGCAAGTTTCAAGTGGCTAAAAATTTCCGTTGCTTCGGTTTNGTTTTTGAGTATATAGATTTAGAGTCCTTTCAATTTTATTGCAATAACGTGCAAGTTTCAAGTGGCTAAAAATTTCCGTTGCTTCGGTTTTATTTTATATAAAAATAAATTGTATTTATTCGTTATATGGCAGCAAATGCGACAAAAAGAATCAAAGGTTTTAAGGCTCTTTAAATTTGCACATTATCACGCTAAAATTAAATCTGCTATAAAGCTTCATACTCCAAAAAATCGTAACACTTCTGAGTAAATAAATTTGAAATTTAAATGAAAATTAGTTGATTTTTTTTTGATTTCTACAAAAAAATTTTATTTTTTTTTAAATGAAAATTATTTTAGACTAGAATTTAATGAGCTACAAGACTGCATATCAAAATTTTTCTTAAGATTCTGATTAAAAGTGCAGGTATAGCCCATGCAATTTTAGTGATAAAGTGCAAGATTGAAGCAGCTAAGAACTCGCCTTAATTTTTAACATTTTATTTCAGCTGAAGGGTCAATTGTAGTTTTTGCAAATACATACATATACTCGATTATTTCGTGGAAGTAAATGCTGAAGGCCGTTCCCAAAAGAAATTACAAAAAGCCGATGAGAATTTAAAAAAGTAAAAATATAAAATTTAATTTTAAAACCATTATGAAATTTCAAAAGTAATCATCATTCCACCATTTATGCTCGTTACTGTATGTACATACATACGAATGCATGTAAATAAGAGTGGCTTTTATAAATAACTTTTTCTAGTTTTTATAATTCTGGTACTTTAGCCTTCAGTCGGGTTTCAATGGAAAATCATCTCTACGGAATTCGATCCCGAGAGATAAGGGCAAGTCGTTTCCCTCGGACTTCAAAGCCAATAATCCAAAAGAAATTTAAAGAAAACTTTTTTGCTGGATTAGAATATCCAAAATCAGATTATTGTTTAGCAGTTGCTTTTCCTGCCGGTAATTTCTGCTTACAAATGCAAATGTTGCATTTATTTGCATCGAAAAAAGTGTTAAAAGCAAGGTCATACTATTTTTTGGCATTTTTCCTTAACCAAAAATAAATGAATTTATTACGGTACAGATGTATTAGTGGTATGTATATACCCAGTAGAACTTGGGAGCATCGTACGATTGATCGTTGAGTACTCCCTTTGTACATTTTTGTGGTATTTGGGTATTTATAAGCAACTGGTAATTTTTTTGTATGTACAGCTGATAGTCCCGCGTATTTTATTACGTTGCAACAGCCAAAACGAATCGATATAGATATATGCAAATATATACATAAATGCTCAGATCGATTAAACCATGTCTGTCTGTCCGCCTGTCCGTGTACACGATAAGTCGAGAAAAAGTTAAGATATGTCAACGAAATTTGGAGAGTACTCATTATTACGAAGTTTTTATAAGCTCGCTTTCATTTTTTGATTAATTTCAATTTGCACAAATTTACATATGTAAATATATATGTATAAGCGCATTGTTTAGTCTGCTCCATTTGTAAACCTTAATAAGCGAAATTCACAATAGCGCTGTTCTTCATCGAATACCAAATGAAAATTGGTCCGATCAGCACTTTCGACTACAGTCGAAGATCGAATACAACTCATAAAAGGGACCAGAGTAATAGTTGCTCTCTTATTTATGCTGTCATTTTCAAGTTAAGAAACGCTTTTCGGACTAAATCTGACTACAGGTGCGTTTGACAAGTCAAAAATTTGTAATAGTTTTTCCAAATTTTTACTGGATGGCGTTCGATAACGACAAAAAATTATCCAACACACAAAAATTGAGAGTGCAAGTGTTCATTTTGATGCAAGAGAAGCGTTCATTTTGATGCAAGGGAAGCGTTCATTTTGTACTGGCAACTTTCCTTTTTTCTCTATGTACTTTCCTTTTTTCTCTATGGAGGCAACATGAATTTCAGTTTGTTTACAAATAAAACATAAACAAAGTCAGCTGGTTGGCTGGTGTTGGCTAATTTTGTTATCGAACGCAACTTACTTCTACCTATTTCTGGGAGATAAGGAACTCAACTGGCGATCGCAATTTGTGGTTATTGGGTTATTGTTAACACCGCATAGAAATCCAGATCCACATGCTTCGACACGTAAAAGAAGGAACAATTTTAGTTCTCAAAAGTCGTTTTGCGGTGTTTACTAGGAAGATTGCAGTACATACCAATAAAGTCTGTGAAAATAAATAATACACTTATGTGTTGCCCTGCATAACATTTGTCGCCATTATACCATGTTCTGGCCGACAACGAAAAAACTTTGAAAACGAGTTTTGGGATTGTGGGCTGAAGGCTGTTCACACCGGTTGTTAATGTTTTCGTTGACATCTCTCACATCCTTTGTTTAAAGTTTTGCTACAAAAAAAATACTTTTCTCTCATTTTCATCTCATTAACAACCTTTTTCCTTCATTCTTATTGTAATTTAATTGTATTGTATTGTAATTAACAATATCAAAGAGGATAAAATATGACTTCCACTTCGACAAATAATCGAAAAAAGTTAGTCCAGACACCGATTGGAAAGAGTAGAACGTGAAATTTTAAGTAATTTCCAGCGAAAACAAGTTTTGGTCGAAAACCAGTTTTAGCAACGAAAACATGTTTTCGATGTCGGTCAGAACTTGGTATTACAGTCTTGAATTTGACTATGAAGAAGTTGAAGAAAACGATAGCGAATTAGACAGCGAAGTATGTAGATAGATTATCTTGCAAAGCGAAGCACAAAGAATTAGAGATGAAATTGCCAATAATATTTATCCCTATTGCGAGTGTCGACTAGTAGTAGATAAATGCTTATTATTCGATTATCGGCTTGCCATGGTATTGTTATTTTCGATCTTTCTCATCATTCTTCTACAACTGTTTGTTTGTAGAAGGATGAGCACCTAAAACCTATTCACACTCACCTATTGAACGAGAAAACGACATTCAAAATACCATTGATAATCGATAATCGACAAATTGTGGTTTATTTATCTACTACTAATCGACACTCGCAATAGGCGTGATTACGACTTTTTAATTAAAACAAGTTTTGTAATTAACAATCAAGAATTTGCGCTAAAAATAAACATTTTAAAGGCCATTTCCTCAAGTAGGTTTTAAAATTTATCTGCCCTTTAAACACAAATTTTGTTCTGAAAAAATGTGTTTAAAGGTAAGGTAATTCCCTTCCTTTTACAACCTACATGAGAAAACAGTACTAAGACTTTTTACACTTTTCAAATTCGAAACGTTCTACTCTACCTCCAACCCAAGCAGTCGAGGTTTAATTCGGTTTCTTTACATTTTTTTAATTAGAATTATTTATTACCAACTTTTACAGTTATGCCGAATTTCCATTTAAATGACAAAAAATTTATGCCATTAGAAAAATTGCGACGTGGAAATGAACATAATAACTGTTTTTTTTTTAATGTAATGGCACGGTAATTTTTAATGCCCGACTTTGTCATTTGCCATTTAATGCCTAGTTGAAATCCAGCATTATAGTTTTAACCGACCACGTTAGCCGATTTCTATTCTTTATTCTTTTTTTGAAGGAACAGGATGTGCCCCATACTAATTTGGTTTAGATCCGATCACTCATGAAGAATCTAACGGTAGTCTTAAATTTGTATAAGAGAATTGAAGTCGGTTTTGTGTTGTTTGCTTAAAAATTTCTGTTGTTTGGTTCTTTTTCTATTCCCCTGGCTTTTACCTGGGCTCGAATCGTCGCATACGATATCGTATTAAGCAGGGATCACACGATTTGTACATTTCTACATTTGACCGTCACAGAGTGGTGTTGTCTAGAAATTTTTAATGAGAATGAGTTCAGCTGTCACTTTCAACTTTCCAAACAACACCACTCTGTGAGGTTGAAAATGGACAATTCTGTACAAATGTACAAATCGTGTGATCCCTGCTTTACTCGTCGCGTAAAAACACATTTTTCGGATTATAACATACGTGAATATACTCCCTGTCCCATTCAGCTTATACGACTAACGTGTCACGTAATTTTGTTTCGTATGGTTTCCAATCCGTGAACGGATGTTACTGGCCGTCTCCACAGGATAAAGTTTCTATCTTGATACTTTTGTCAGAATACAATTTGCCAATGGAGACCGGGCTTATTGCTTTCCAAGAGTAATATATATCAGAGCATATATCTTGCCATCTATTGCCAGCAATTTGCTAGTGTGATAGCTACATTTTCATTTGCATGTAAACTTCGTGATGGAAGCATTATTGATATTTTAACATTAAAGCAAAAATTTAGCCGGTTTCTAGTGCAATATTATGTACTTGGATACGAAATAGCATATTTCCTAATTTTTTAAACGATTAAATCCAGCAGAAATACTTGTTAGAAGGCGTCTTACAAATGCTTATATTAAGATATGAAAAGCCCACACACAAATATTCCTACTGATATACTTTATATCTAGCTACTAAATTGACATCAATCCCAAGATGGTCGGTTCTACGTTACCGGATTGACTCGGAGCGCACACTCCGACCAAGGACCATGACCACAGCAGCAACCATCCAATTTTTTGCCATGGGAGCATGACCCAACGGAAAATAACGTATTTTCATTTGTTTTAATACAATAAACAGCCTGACCTCGAGCCGGCATTAAAAAGGCTTGTTTGATTAAAATCAAAAAGGTCGCAGCAAAAACAGATACATATCCATCTAAATACTTTACTGTACCCCTGCAGGGAAACCGCGGACTAGTGAATCAAATTTTTAGTTCCGTACTAGGTCTTTATCGCCAAAAAGGAACTAGTCCGATAGGTACTAGCTCCACACCAGTGCAAAATCGGCGAAAAGTGGTACTTTTAAAAAACTAATTTTTTTCAGTTTTTTTTTTCACTAGAAATCTATATCTAAAGTGATATATTTATATTTTAGAAATGGTTCGGAACTATAGAAAAATGGATGCAAAGGGATGAAAGGGAAAAGGGGTCCGCGCTGGCATAGAGCAAAATCCCGTGCCCTGGATATGTAGTGTTTGCCGCCGCAACATACACCACTCCTCAACTTCAGTCCGCGGCAACAAGTGCACAACTGGTGCTATCTAAAGGCATGATCCGGGCTTCGGAACCATAGGGAGTGGAGCAACAATTTTGTTGCAACGTGCTGCAACAACCAACAATAAACCCGTATCTCCACACAACCATCGCCCGCCCAACTATCAACCAGTGGACCAACTCCAAGCACGCAACCTCGACATCCACCCAGGACAGATGGTTCTGCAGCGTCTGCATCAACCTGATAAGACACGACATCGGTTAGGTGCAACGCATGCAACAACTGGTGCCACCTAAGACGCTGCTCGCTGCAGCGATCCAGGAGACCAAACTCCATTCCGGCTCTAGCCCCCCAGATTCAGGACGAGTTCAAAGTTCTCCGAAGAGACCGTCCCCATGGCGCTGGAGGCGACATCGCCCTCATATTGCATAAAGTGGCTCAATACCGGCTCATTACCCCCCGAACTGATCCCAACGATACATTCATTGAATGTCAAGGCTTGTTCATCAGGTCAGGGGATACGGAGCTAGAGATCGTCAATGTGTACATACCACCATCCACCAGTTGATCAGCTGGATATCACCCCAACATAAGTGCGAGGGTATAAACCGGGTTGTGCTAGGCGACTTCAATGCTCACCACGAACTCTGGCACTCCAATCTGGGCAATTACCCGCGGGGTACAATGCTCGTTGAGCAATTGAACTGTGAACGACGATGCCCCGACCAAGGTCGCGGGTGACAGCAATGGCTCGCCAGAAATAACTAGCCAGCGGGGGGTCTGATAAACTGTATTCTCCATAGTAGTCGCGATGAACCAACCGAATGGTTTTATTACATCCGGTAGACAAATAGGGACAGTTTTATAGAATTCACCGGTCGCAAATTCAGTGCTCTTCCCCTACCATAATGAGCGCGTGTATCAGAGCGCAAAATCTGCAAGATCATCAACGCAGCAGCCGCTCGTTTCATGCCAGTCGGCCGGATCGCCAAAATCCCCCCAGGCTTTCCCACAGAAGTCGCGAGAAACCGACATGCTGCATGTCACATGCACAATACCATGGAAAAGCGATACTCGAATAAGAGTCGATTATCTACTACTAGTCGACACTCGCGATAGGGGTGCAAATTTTGATTCGAGATGCGTTCGATATCGAATACCACGTTCGGGCCCTTTTTCTTCAGAAAAAATTAGAATAACCGAACATCCTGCTCCTGCCACTCGGTGAGTACTACAGCCAACCAACCAATCTACATACATACATACAAATCACGTATGTACATATATATATAAATAATTGCTTGGAAAACCAGTTTCCAACAAAAATTTTAATTTTATACAAAACTACCCACCATGCAAAACATGAGAAATAGGCAACAATCGTCAATGGCAACAAATTGGCGACTCACCGATTTATTTCTGTGGTGACAAATCGGCAACACCACTTCGTTCATGTCAATTTTGAATAAAAAAGTTCTCAAAAATTCGGAAACTTATGAATATGGCGTCAATAGCATTGGCCAAAAGCATCTAAATTATGCCCAAGGATAAGATTGAAAAAATAGGAAGTCTCACAGCGAGAAAATGAATTAATTCCGATTGTAAGTTGCAATTTGGTATACAAAAAAATAAATGAAGTATTAAGAAGAATAAAATTATTCCAAATATCGCCTGAAGCGATAAGAAAAGGACTCATTCAGGTAATAAGAAAACGACTCGCCCAGGCGAGTTGCCTTCGGCGGACGTTTTAGAGCGACCGGTAATAGGAAATCGATTCGATGGCAATATTACCGGCAATAAATTTGTTTCCGAGGGCGACACGTTTTCTTATTGCCGGCAACACAAATTGTTTGGTGGGCATTATTTTCTTATATAGTATTTTTTATTGAATATCTACATACATACATAATTGTACCTACATAATATCTACATATGTACATACGTTTAACTAATAACAGTCTAAATAATTTACACTTTTATGTACATAGTAACTTGCGACAAGTTTTTCTTAATTTGTATCCTTCTTTTCAGCACTCTTATCCTCAACTGGCGCATTATTTTTTACATTCAAATGTGCCGGACCAGTCTGATGTATAGGAATAACTCGTTCTGCTGTCTTATCCTCCAATCCAGCGGGCTTTGGAACATTCACCGTTAAGATGCCATCAGATGAAAGCGTCGACATGGCCTGTTCGGCTTTATAACCTCGTGGCAGACTAAAACTACGAACAAAATGCTTCGAAATGAAGCCATGCTCATCCTCACGTCCATCGTACTTTCCTTCTACGACTACATTGTTATCCACCACCTTGACGGTCAATTCATTTGGCTTAAATTGCGCTACATCCAATGATACTTGGTAGCCATCCTTGCCCACTTTTGGTACCACATCGTTTTCCAATTCCTGTTGTAATCGACTTAAACGATTCCATGGGAAATAGGTATTGTGACTGTTGAAGAAATCGTCGTAGAATGCAGAAAATGGAGATCGTCGCGGAAATGCCAAACGCTGCATTTCCTCAGCCATACGCCATAAAGTCGGAAGCGGGCGCATTGTCACTAAAATTTTATTTCCTTTGCTTTTAATAAGAGAATACAACAAAATTTGTTGTTCGATTTTCACTTAAATTTTTAGCTTTTGATTGGAGTTGAACCAAAAAGTTGGTTGCTTTTATACTTTTCTGCTACTGCGGCAGCCCCAAAACATTCTACACTCTCTTTATTTGTCATTCTCCGGTCTCGGCTAATTCAGCTATGCCGGAGAAAATAATTAAATACGAGCGAAAGAGTCATATAGAATTAGCATTGACAGAGATTAGCAGAAACTAAAAGAGCGTAAGAATCGCGTATACGTAAATAAGCGAGAGCGAAGCGATGAGAACGCGACTGCGTGCAAAATGAATTGGACGCTCTAACCCACTCTCAAATTTAAAGCCGGCTTATTTGTAGTAGTGTCTTCTCTGATATACGGAAAAGAAAATTCGCGATAAGCGTAGATAATTCGTTCAGACAAAGGTTTAGTGCAATAAGAGAGTGAGAGAGAGTAATGAGGGCAGAGTAAAATCAAAGCGAATAGAAGAGATGATTCTAGATTTTGCATTATTGCGAAAGTCTCTGTTTACATTATTATTATTTAACCATTGGTGATGAAATTGAAAGTAGAATTGTGATATTTCAGCCATTTTTGTTCAAAATAATTTTAATCACATCTATACATACATATGTATGTCCTTATATGCCCTGCAGCAATTCAGACTCACCCTAGGTTAGCCCTCAGATAGTCCCTATTGTTCCCAGCACTAGTCCCTCATAATCCCCCTGTCAATGGTTTCAACTGCCATTTTTAGCATTGGCGTGTCATTGGAAAAGGACCCGTCCAATCAACACTGACTGGACTAGTCCAATTTTGGAGATTTTTGTCGATGGAGTAAGATTGCGTTCTGCACTTCGCAGATGCTTTTCCATAATTCGGAAACAAAAAAAAATAAATTTTATCATTTTATAACCATGTTGCTTCTGACGGCATTTGAACCCGGACCCTCCTGAAATAAATAGTAGCAAGCATCTCTGCGCACTGAGTTACAGCCACGCATGTAAATGTGTGTTCAAATGTTCACTTTGCATCCAGGCCAGACCAAGCGCTTGGGACATTCACAGGGTGGTGTTCTTTACATTTTTTTTTTGTATTGAATTGCAAGACAACACCGCCCTGTCACTGCCAAACTGTACTTTTCGTCTATCTCTAGGCCGGTTCCTTGGGGACTGGTCGAAGGCCGACATTTTCGATGCAAGCAAATGTCCAATTCTGACCAGTCAAATTGTATCCAATGAAGTACCATGGTGAAATGAACTGAAGGTGGCGCATTCCCGAAACCGCTACTTTGGTTTTGCCGACTTTGACATTTATGGCAATACGTAAACAAACTTTTTATTTAGAAACAAGTGCAAACGTATTGTGTACTTTCAAGTGAAAAATCGAAGTAATTCGTGTGTACTGAAGTAAAAAACGTTTTATTTGTAATAAAAACTTTATAAAAATATCGTGTCGTGTGTTGAATTGCCGTAGGGGTAAAGCCCCCAAATGCAGTTTTTTTTTGTTTCCCCGCGACGACGCCTTGGCCTGAAAGTGGGTAGAGTTCTGCCGGCAGGAGAAGCCATACAATTTAGACACCAGCGTAATATGCATGAAGCACTTTACGGACCACTTTTAAACACGACATGTTAAGTTGAAAACGTTGAAATACCACAAATTACAAATTAAAATCGGAGGTAAGCAAGCATCGACCACTTTCTGCAGGAAAACATGCGCTGCGACAAGATATTATCACTTTTTCGGCACCTGCAATACAAACACAAAAATTCTAAATAGTTAATTAATAAGACCTATTCTTTTGAACACATTTCAAGAGTGGTTGTACATTTTTTGTTAACGTAGTGCTTAATTTGCTATATTCAAAGATGGTTTGAGAAATTGGTGAATCGAGAAGAAAACACGTTATCTCACTGCAAATTCACAACTGTCAACTCATTGTTCTTCGCCATATTCTTTGTTTACCCGTTGCCACAAATGTCATTCTGCGGGAATGCGCAATCTTGTATTCTATCGTTCTTGATGAAGTACTAGTCCTTAGCGGACAATTGGCCTCCTAATTGATGCAGGGTGTAGGTATGCATATGTAGTGCATACATACATATGTATGTATGTTCCTGTGTTGATATTTGAGGTTTTAAATTGTACAAAATGAACGATAAAAACTGTAACTTTTTGAACTTAATTGTACTTTTCACCCTTTCCTTCAATACACTACCTCCCGTTTTCCTTCAACAAACATAAACCTTTTTTCTACTACACTGAGTTCATCTTTCAGTTCATTGTATAGCTTAAGTTGGTGTAGACTTAATTTAACGTAACTTATCATTGAGATCTCTCCAACTAGCCCATAAAGTCATAAATAGATTCTCAAATTATATTCCAAAAATTATATATAAAAAAATTTAAATTAATCTGAAAAAAATAAAAAATATAGCCCAACCCGGCTAACCGTATAATTTTGTCGCGAGATGCACATACATATATTCAAGTATGAAAACAATAACGGCTAAAAAGAAATACAGAAGATATAAAATAAGAAGATACAATTTTTTACTTTCAACCCTCAAGTTATTCAATTCCACCATTTTCAAAAATTGTTTCAAAATAAATAGCGATGAGGGATATTTCACTCACCGGTGATAACAAAAAAATCGCGATAACCACATCACGCAACACTAACAGTACCATTCACAATCACGTTTACTTTCAAAATTACAATTTCGTTTTGTACCAAATATGAATGTGTACGGTAATATCTATATCACGCCATTTTAAAGTGACATTGTGTGCCACTTATGTTTATTTATTTATTTTTAAGAATTTTCAATTAAAATACAGTTCATTCCCAGACAAACCCCATATATATCAAAGTTCAACAATTTGTAGAAAACTACAAAAAAGTGCAACAAATTATCACATAAATTTCAAACTATTTTCTCGGAAGTGTTAGAATTTTTTTGAGTACACAGTTTTTTAGCCCCTGCACGAATTGCCGTTAATTTATTATTATAATAAAAAAAAATCGTTAGTAATAAAAAAATTTTAAATAAATAATGGTGTATATAACTGGAGAAAAAGGGAACCAGAGTTTTTCGATCGAAAAATATTAATTTTTAAGAAGTCGATACCATTTATACGAAAAGTTGTTTTTCCCCATATAAAATACAGTGAAAACTTTGAGTGCTTTACATATTAAAAAAAAAAATAATGTCGCTTACGTTATTTTGGCAGTAAGGGCTCGATATGTGCTTCTTTCCACTAAAATTTTTACGAAAGTTGTTGAATTTTTTTAAATATTGAACAAAGTTTGGATGTGCATTTTTTTTAATTAAAAATAGAATGTTATAATTAAATCCATAGTCGTAAACAAAAACTTAATGCCTATTACTTGCTCTAACATATACAGAGAATTTGTATGCTTGTTTGCATAACGAAAAACAAACTTATAGGACCCCTAAACCACACAAAATCATTGCAAAGACATTCCTGGTTGTATTTCCCTTATAAAAGTAACCAAATTAAACTTATAAATAAATATAAAATTTTATGGCTTTAAATAACAAGAAAAAAATTATTTACCTTTAAACTAGTAATATTGTTCATATTTTTCGAAAATTAATTTCTGTCAGCCAAGGTATCAAAATGAAACATATGTGAATAAAAAAGTATGTGGGTAATTGGGTATTTTTCCAATTTTCGGAGATGGCCTGGCATAACTGAAATCGTTTGGCACATCCTCTCTTTCGAAAGAAACAAAATTCGACACTCGCTGAATGCTCACAACAACGGGAATTATAAGTACTCACTCTCTTTAAAATTCTTAAGTACACTGTTGCCACATCATGTTTTTTTTGAAGCTTGGTGCGTTTTTTGGTGCTTTTTGTTTTAGTTTGAGACACCAAAACTGTAAATCTGAAACAAAAATAGAAGTTAAATTTAGAGAAATTGGATGTTTCCTAAGGAACCACGGTGAATTTATACAAGGTGGTGTTGTAAAATCAGCTGATTTCTGCGCCTTATATGTATGTATTTTGCTTTTGCTTTTACTGATTTGACAGCACACCCATCAAAAGCAAAAACAAAATACATGTAAACTTTGGGGCGAATTGAGATTTGGCATAACACCTACAATACAAAATACATGTGGTTGTTGTTGTTGTAATCTACATTCGCCAGTTACACCACCTTGTATAATTTCGCGTTGTAAGGAACTTTACAAAAATGGGCAAAAAATCATGGCACAATGACAATCATAAGCGAGAGCATATGTTTGTCAAAAAAATATGTGGCAGCAATTTCAATCGTGTCAGAACTACATACGGTAATTTGACATTGCCTGCAAAAACGTCCATCTTGCTGGGGGCAGAAATTGATCTTTACGCTACGCGCACACTGCAGCCGGCATCGGCCGAATTCTGCTCGGCCGATATCGGCTATATGCGGGCGATATGAATAAACACTTGTGATTATATGAGCGCTCTGACACATAAACCGATAACCGAACCGACATCGGCCGTTGACGTCAGTGACGATAAATTCAAACATGTTTGTTTTTCTCGTCCGATGTCAGGTGAAAAGTACCAAATGGACTGCGAAAAATTAAGTAATTGGGTGCAAAAACAAAACAATTACATATAAAATCACATGTTTAGAGTATGTCAATTAAAATGTATCAAAATATTTCACTACTTACAAAATTGTAATGAAAACTGGGATTTGTGTGTACAAATACGGTCGGCAAATAATCTGGTTAAGTGTGCAGATCAGTTTGGACGGTCAAATTGTTTGGTCGAAATCGGTCGGCCTATCGGATGCAATATGCGCCTAGCGTTAGACCTTTAATTTGGTATGAATTTGTTATATTTTTTACGGATATTAAAAAGCACCAGCATCTCCTAACGTTAAAATGAATAACGAACCTTCGACCGGCGAGCAAGAAACATTAATTTTTATTAATTTCAATCTGCATACCTAAAATAAAATTGTGTATGCATACAAAGTCCATTAAATCCTCCACTATAAAATTTTGTGCTTTTTTCGAGAAAAAACGCAATTTTTCTGGGTTTTGCGCTTTTTCAAATTGAAAACTTGGCAACACTGCTTAAATAGCAGGGTCTGTTTTCGAATACATACCGGTATTCAGCTACGTTGCATGACCTCTCACTCACTCCGTCCAGCTCAATTTGTTTTGAAATGAGAGTAAAGCGGAGAACCTTCGAGCAAATTTTATCTTTCATATTTTAGCTATATTCTTAAATATACGAAATTTCTAGATTACTGGACGCACGGGCAATGTGCGGACTACTCCTCTTTTGTGGTACATCTATCACCATCTTCGGTAAATAGCATTTCTATCACATATACCATTGTAAGCTTAAAATCTACCACATTTTACAAATTTTGCTCATCTTACAATGTAGATGATTTTGCCATCCCTAATGTTCTGTTAATGATATGTACTATTGTTAATTGAATAATTGCGAAAGCGAAATTTGCCCTAATATTTGCATTTCATTTTCTAAGTGTTAGTATGTACATCTATTACGTTTCAACACATGGCTAATTTGCTAAGTGCTAGTGTAAGTAAATTGGTGCAATAAGTTTTAATAGAAAATCTGTCAAAAAAGCTGCAACAAGTTTTAGAGTCGCCTTTATTTCGACTATGAATATGTACAAAATAGAAAAATGTGTGATATGATAAATTTATTAAGCTATTTTAATAAAAATTTTTAAGTACTGCATCTTTTATAATAGAGGCTAATAAAATACGTCATAAATTTACCACAATTTTTAGGGCTTATCTATGGATACTAAAATGAAATTTGAGAGTCCGCACACTGCCCACGGTCAATAACCCTTGTTTGAAACAGCAGACCGTCGGCACTTCATCCATGACCTAGACAACATGCATACATATCTACACACATACATAACTGAAATTTATACCCAGCCAGCAAAGAAACGTAAATTTTGCCGACTGCAGTTTAGTTCAATTTTTCCGTATCCGAAAACACATACAAAAAAACTCCTACAGTTATCATCAATTTCCGTAACCGGAAAACGTTCGAAAAAGATGATGTCACTTGAAAGTAATAATTGGCTGAGCGTGCAGAGGAGTGTGCCGCTATTTGTTAGCTTCCAGAAGATGCTGGGTTCAAATTTCGTCAGGCGCTTCCTATTATTTTATTTCTTTTGAACCATGAAAAAGTATCTGTGAAATGCAGAAGGAAAGCGTATTGAACGAAAAATGCAATCAGACAAATTTCAGAAAAAACAGCCGAAAACGTATCCTTTTCACCATCATTTTCGGTACTTTTCTGTACATACATACGTTTCTGCCGCACACTTTAGTGGGAAAATGGATCATTAACGTTTCCGGATATGGAATCGGTAAACGGACAAAAATCCGGTTTTCCAGGACTTTTTTCCGTTTTCGGATTTTTTGCTGGCTGGGTAATGCGACCGCTCAGGTATAAATACCGGCAAATCTACGAAACAGGCAACAGTTGTAAACAATCATCAGAATTTAAACTCTGGAATTTGTTGAGTCGCTGAAGCGTTATAGAAATAAATTAAAGAAGAATTATTAACCAAAGGAAAGAGATGAGTACACTGCCAGCAATATTGGGTTTGATCAGCGACATGGATCGTCTGACTACGGCCATTTCACCGTATTATCACAACTACCACTGGCCTCTTAGTCATCAATTGAGCATAGGTAAACCTGAAAGAGCAATTTCGCCTTTAGTTGGCAAAGATGGTTTTCAAGTGTCTATGGATGTGGCTCATTTCAAGCCAAGCGAATTGAATGTTAAAGTTGTCGACAATACCGTCGTCGTGGAGGGCAAACATGAAGAGCGTGAGGATGAACATGGCTATATATCTCGTAATTTTGTTCGCCGCTATATTCTTCCTAAAGGTTATGATGCTAGCAATGTAATGGGTTCGCTTTCCTCGGATGGTGTACTAACGGTTGTTGCTCCTAAGCCATATTCAGAGGATAAGTCCAACGAACGTGTTATACAAATACAACAGACTGGTCCGGCACACTTGAACGTAAACGAAAATCCAGAAAAGAAAAATTAGTCTGTCTATTCTTTTAACTGAAAAAAACACTCCTAGAATCAAGGATATTCATACTTCATACATACATACCTCGAGCTGGACTGGAGCTTAATTTATTTATTTTTGTCGTCAATACCCTTAATTTATTTTTTGACGTCAATACGCTTAATTTATTTATTATTTATATTATTTTTATTATGTGTATAATGTATTTCAAACTTCTGAAATAAAAATGTGAATTTTTCTATTAAAAGTAGTTGAGGGCTTTGTTTTATATTAGCAGATGCACATAGTACATATGAACGTAAATAAGCACGCAACGTTAGCATTAACAGGTTCATTCCTTTTTGCATATTCTTTAATTTCCGTTAATTTAAATCCAGTTGAGTTTGACACTTCAAGATTTTGCCAGCAAAAATTCTTCTGACTACTTCGGACCCAAAATTTCAAAATGTGCCTAATGGTCTTCAAAAATAGTGCCGAAGAGAAAATGAAAGTGCCACAAAATTAAAATATCTTTCTTGTAAGGTCTTTTAAGAACAACATATTTTTAGAATAGACTGAGGTAATATAATAATTATTAATTAACCAAATTATTACAGTAAAGCATTTTGATGAAGGATTCCATCAGACATATACACATAAATGCATGCTAAAATAACACAGCATTCTAACTACGAAGAGGAAATGCACAGAATTATAGCTAATCTGACGTGTTATATGCGAAATAACGGCGGTGAGACAGTTTCACCAGTTAATATTTTTATTTATTTTTGATTTTATATAAAGTCTAACTCATAATTATTTTAATTTTTTAGTGCTTTTAATTTTCACTTTCTGTAATTTTTCAATCTATAATGTAGTATGCGATTATTTGTTATATAGTATATTGGCATATTATGCTAAGTTTCTATAATGGGCCGAATGAATAAAAACAAAGCAATTGCTTTTCCTTACAATTGCATACCTTTTACTTCAATCTTGTTTGAATAAATCGAGAAAACTGTAAGAAATTTTAATAAAAAACAATTGCTTATTTTTTATTCATACGGCCCAATTTATGGTTGTACCAAAGCAGGATGAATTGTGCCAAAGGGCGTCTGCGAATGAAAGTGCCAGAAATGGCACTATTGTGCCTATTTTTCCATCACTGGCCTTGCGCTTCTTTATTGTATTCGAAGAGGGGAATTCATCATCTCAACGGTCGATGTTATGCAGAAATTTTGTTTGGCAAACTGCGTGCAATTGTTGTTGCAGCAAACTCGGAGAGAGCGAGTTTGGCGACTCTCACAGCAAACTAATTTTGTTTGGTCAAACTGCAGCAAATTCGGTGTTGTCATATACAAAAATTTTAAATTTTGCGCGTTATGTACATCTGAAATTCTCATTTCGTGTTGGCAATAGCCATGAAAACCATAATGAACGTGCAACCCTGTGCCAAACTCGACATAACCACCTCCGAGCAAACTAAGCAGCCGCCATTTAATTTGGCAAACAAAAGTTTGTCTGCATAACACCGACCAACGTTTTTAATTATAATTCCTCTCTTCGTTCGAAAAGTCTCTCTCACGCTCTTTTCTATCATATTCAGCAACTGAATCGTTCCCTAAACTAGAAACTTGCAAAATTAAGGGTTAAAAAGAGATTACTTAAAGTTTGAATTAAAAGCAAATAAAAAAACAATAGAACCATAAAATTGTATTTACCTAAAAATCCCATAATGAGACGCAAAATCCCACGCGCCCTTTTATGGTGCGAAAGTCCCAAACTATGGGCGAAATACAGGAGTTGGCAACATTGATCTCAACGTTTTTAATTATAATTTCTCTCTTCGTTCGAAAAGTCTCTTTCATGCTCTTTTCTATCGTATTCAGCAACTGAATCGTTCCATAACTAAACGAAGAGAATACACATTCTCATCGACTTGTTCTTTTTTTTTTGAATTTTCGAGAATTTACTGGCAATTTCGACAGACATATAAAAGCCGAAGGAACGCTGATTTTTCCATCATTTTTTCGCGAACGAAGGAATAGAATACGTTTGATACGTGCTCGAGGAAGTGTGTTAATTCATTGTAAATTTAATATTTTTAACTAAAAGTATTTAACAAATATACCGTTTTTTTTTGAAAAAATGTCGAGTTTGCCAATTCTATTGAACTTGATTGACGAGTTGGACAACCCCTTGTACTACGGCAACGATTTCGGATTGGGATTGCACCCGCACCACATTCACCGTCATCGCCGGCACAATGAACCGGCTGCTTCAAATCTTCTTGGCTATACACTGCCGCTAAGCTTAGTAAATCGTTTAGGTGAACGCCCATTGAGTCGCCGAGGCCGCCAGGGCGAAGGTAAATTGTCGGTGGTAGGAAAAGATGGTTTACAAGTGTGTATGGATGTGGCACAATTCAAGCCAAGTGAGCTGTCTGTGAAAGTCGTTGACAACAGCATTGTTGTCGAGGGCAAGCACGAGGAGCGAGAGGATGAGCATGGGTACATTTCACGACACTTTGTCCGTCGATATGCACTACCAAAGGGGTATAACGCCGATAATGTAATTTCCACGCTGTCGTCAGACGGTGTTCTAACAGTCAGTGCTCCTAAGCCACAGGAGGAAGCATCGAATGAACGTGTTGTACAAATTCAACAGACTGGTCCAGCTCATTTGAATGTTAAACAAAATGCAGAAGAGAAGATCGGAGATGCCAACGGAGAGGCTGAAAAGAAATAAATCGTGGCTGAAAGTTTGAAAGATAACTCATATATATATATATAGTATACATATAATACATACATTCTCTAATACATTCATACATATTTTGATTCATTCCATATGTGCATTTTATGTTTTTAAGGCGTAATTTTCAAAATTGCTATTTATGAATTTGTTCTACGTATACGCATTGTAATTGAATTTCTTAAATTTTACTTTAATGAAATATGAATAAAAAAGGAAATCAAAGTAACGAAGACGAAACTACCAAATGGCGGGACCGATCTCGTTCATATTTGGAACATATGTCAGCACCTTGAAGGGAAATATTCCGGCTAAAAATTTAATCGCTAGGTGGCGCTGGGTCGGGATGCTCCTAAATGCTGCATTTAGTTGCAGATTTGGCTCATACACTGAAAATAAAATCTGCGTAAATATAATGAAAACTTGCGCAAATCTTACGAAATTTTTCGTAATTTTGAGCCACGAAAGTTTTCGTTGATTGTACAAAACCGTTATCGTACATACTATTATGAACGAAAGTGTCGTACATTGTACAAAAACCAAAACTACGAAAGTTTTTCGTAGCACTTTTACGAAATTTTATTTTCAGTGTATTTAGAACATTTCGATGGCTGAGTGGAAGATCGACCTATCTCGGCAGCCAGTTCGAAAAAGCTCTATATCAAAAAACTTTTCAAGAACGCCCTATTCCAGAATTTAATTGAAAAACACCCTATTTTAAAATTCGGTTCAAAAATGCCCTATCTCACTTCAAAATGTATTGAAAATATACTGATATAGGGCGTTTTTGAATCGGCAGCTGAGATAGGGCGTTTTCGAACTGGCTGCCGTGATAGGTCGATCTTCCACTCAGCCATCGATTTGTTAGCCAATTGAAAAGGAATATTTGAACTAAAAAATTACATGAAAGGAGGCGCTGGGGTCGGAAAATTCCTAACGTTCTTATACAGTGGGAGAATGATAGATATGTACCCATAAACATTCTTCAAAAAAAAAGGTTGAAGCCCCTTTATTGAGGGCACCAATATATCTCTTAAACCAACAGCGCTGGAGAGCTGAGACTTAGCACGGATGCATAAATTGTAAATACCCTACTTATGGCGAAAACTGTGAGCTATTGGAAAAGGGGGCGTGGCACCTCCCATATAAACTTAACTTCTCATATCGCCTATCTCTGGAACCGCCGCACATATGTTATCAATACCGTATTTTCAGCGAAAAGTGGCAGGTATTGGAAAATGGGTTGTGGCACCTCGCATACAACCTGATTCTCATATCGCTTATCGATGGAACCGCTTAAGTCAACGTACTGAAAATTTGACACAGCTATGTATATATCGTCGTTTAAAGTTCAAAACCGCGTATCGTCATTCTGGAAAACCGCGTAACTGAACCGCCGAAAATTTGGGTTTGCCCGCACATGCTCTTGGCTCAACCCGTATCCATTCGTCCTGAAATATACTAGCCAGAATTGCGACTGCTTCATAAAAAAGAGAACCATTTTAAAATATAATGGCCTTATTCATAAAAAATAAAGTAGCTTTATAAAAGGTTTATAAATTGAAAAATGTATGAAAACTACTACTTTATTTTTTATGAATAAGGCTATAAGTGTTTTTACTCTCTAGAAAATAATGTATGCAACCTCACATACGCGGCTTTGCATTTTGTTTATACGCGGTTTTGTACTTTAAACGACGATTTGTTATTAATACTGTGCTCACGACGGAAAGTAGAAGGTATTGGAAAAGGGGGCGTGGAACCTCCCAGACAAATCGCTTATTTCGCAGAAAATTTATCCAATGGATGGCGCTGCTGACGATATAGATATAGAAACTCCATGTGTTTACTTTTCAGATAGCTAAATGAAATTTTGTAAGTGCGCCTATGCCTGACGCCCTCATACACCCTAAATGCAATCTTGCACCTACCTCCGATTGATGAAATTGCTCGGGGCGGCCGTTAGTACAGCAGTAATACTCAAAGAAACCAGTTCATAAATATTAAGGTAAATTGTAAAAGTGGCAAATCGACAAGGAAAGATTCGAACACATGGCTTCATTTGAACGATATTTAAGAGATCACACGACTCTTTTAGTCAATGTACGGGAAAACTTTTCATCTTAAGGGAAGGAGGGAGGGGGGGGGGGCGTCGAGGATTCTTGGCCCTCCTATAACTGAAAACGCTCATCTGTGCTCTTAAGTTTCCTTAGAAGGACTTTTATTGGCTTACATGGTACATCGGACTAATGTTGTAGTTGCAAGGTCATAGAAGAATATTACGCACGCTTGGCAGAGGTAGGAAATAAGACCATCGGTAAAACTCTTGGCATCGAAAGGGATTAGTATCCATTTGGAATCACAGCGATAATATTCTTGGCCTATGTGTGAGGAGGATTCTGCTCTTTATTCGTTTCAATTTAAACTAAAAATGTTTACTTTACAGAGCGCTTTTGCTATTAAACGCTATTTTTTTATTGGCCAACGCAAAAGATCTTATTAGGCACCGCGAAGCAAGGGGGCACTGGCTAGTTTTATTATATATTGTTTATAAATGAATTATAGTTTTATAAATCATATGTTTTGAGTCATATGTTTTTGAGAAAAATACACCAGAGCTGGGTAAATGCAATTACATTACAATTACAATTACATTCCTCAGTAATTGTAATTAGGATTCAATTCCTTTAGCCCACAGCAAAGGAATCGATTACTTTTTCAATTCCTTGAAGTAATTTCAAATGGAATTGTTTTTTTCTTTAATTCCATTACAAGGAATTTCATATTGTAATTGGAATAAATTACGTGCTAGTAATGTAATTTCTTTTATTTCAATTCCTTTGAAAGGAATTGAAAATGTAATTTTTTTTCCAATTCCTTTCAAAGGAATTGAAAATGTAATTGATTTTTTTTCCAATTCCATTCCTCAAAGTAATTTAAAAAGTAATCGAAAAATTTATAAAAAAAAATTGTTTACTGTTGAATTGCAATAGCTTTGTTAAATTTCTTGGTTGCTAACTGCCTTGAATAAACAACTTATACCTAAGTAGTATTACTAATTGGACTTTAAGAAAACTGAATAGCTTAGACTGTAGCTGTTCAGTTTATAGGGTAACGGTTAAATTTTCCAGATCCTACCGCGAACGCGCTTCGCGGCAGATGAGACCCATAAATGTTGCTGCCTTGGGCACTGCTGTTCTCTTGGACTAATCCCTGCGTATTTATAAAAATGCACCGAGTTAATTGCGTATATTATGGTACCCTTAATTCTACCCAAAATGGCGTGCCTTCTGGGGCCTTTGAAGTACTCTTACTGGTATCCTGCGTTACAAATGAGGATAGAGTCCGCTTGAATTACGAGCCCTGTGGGACTGGAGATCCTACCTCCTAAGAGTTTTATAAACAAATTTCATTGCTATGGCTAAATTTTGATGATAACACTGTAACGACGCTAAAATTACACAAAAAACGCCGAGAGACGTAAAATTAATTTTAAGTAGTATGTTACGGAACTGTATACCGTTTTTTTTTAGATAAGGTCATTTAGTCAAGTTATTTTCATTTTAAGTTTTCATTGCGAATGAAAAAAATCAAACTTAAACATGGTCATACGGTCATGTACGATATGGCGTATGGGTAACATTATTTCCTGCTAGTATTTTATACAAAAAATTATTACACTTTCACTTAACCCTTGCAAATCACAATGGGCTATGATCGGGCCTAAGTGTGCTGGCGCCCTCTGGGCCTAGCAGCCACTTCAACCTAACCCTTGCAAACTTGTTTATTTATCCATCGATTTTCATCGGTAGTAGTGTTTTAAGCCGCAAAACAAGCAGATATTGGCTAGTCTATACTAATATATATTTTGAAAAGCATTTTTTTCTGTTCGCAAAGCTCGAGAAAGGCCGTACCGATTTTTTTGAAATTTCGGAATATACTGCAGACTTTCCACGGATGGTTATAGGCTAAAAAAAGTTTCGATATTGAAAGGGGGCGTGGCACCTCCCATACAAACCGAATTTTTCAAACTGCATATATTTGTGGTAGAGGACTAGAACTGGGTATGGTGATATCTATATACATATATAAGACCAATTCCATACTCATGGAGAAAAATTTGCATGGTTGGAGAATGGCGTGTGGCACCTCCCATATAAACCGAACTTTTCATATTGCATATTTCTGGAAGTGTTCATGGTAGACTGTAAGCCTTTTCAAAACTCTTTAGTTTGACACCCACATGCCAACATTTCATTTACTTTATCAATTTAACTGAGTTACAATTTCCAAATAGGTGGCAGCCCCCCTCAAAAATATTTCCAACAGTTATCTTTCTTAAACCTCTTTAATTTGATACCCATATTGTAATATTTTATTTATTTTATCAATGTAATTTAGTTAAATTTTCAAACAGATGGCAACCCTCCTCAAACATATTTTTGGCAGTAAGCCTTCTTAAAACTCTTTAGTTTGACACCCACATGGCAATATTTCATTTTTTTTAACAATTTGACTGAGTTTAAATTTTCAAATAGGAGGCCACCCTCGTCAAAAATACTTCCAGCAGTTATCTTTCTTAAACCTCTTTAACTTAATACCCATATTGTAATAATTCATTGATTTTAAATTAATTAAATTTTAAAATAGGTGGCAACCCACCAAATTTTTGCGATATCATTGGTTCTGGTATTATACCGAATAATAAAAAAAATATTATTCAAATCGGTTCAGCCGTTCTCGGGTTTTGATGACCGTGACATACGAACACAACATTTTTATATATATAGATATACATAGAAGATGTCCAATGTGTGCTTTCGATTTTAATCTTTGACCACAACGAAAATTCCACATTGTACATTCGTGAATGAACTTTCAGTTTCTCGATTACTTTTACAATTCCTTTGAGTAATTGAAAAAACTAAAGTACTCTTGCAATTCCAGGTAATGGAATTGAAAAAAAAATCAATTACATTTTCAATTCCTTTCAAAGGAATTGGAGACAAAAATTACATTACTAGCACGTAATTTATTCCAATTACAATATGAAATTCCTTGTAATGGAATTAAAGAAAAAACCAATTACATATGAAATTACTTCAAGGAATTGAAAAAGTAATCGATTCCTTTGCTGTGGACTGAAGGAATTGATTCCTAATTAATACAATTCCTTGTAATCTGTAATTGGGAGTAATTTGATTCCTAAAGGAATCATTACGACCCAGCTCTGAAATACACCGTAGTAATTTGAAAATTAAAAAAAATTACATTACTCGACTGAAAAATATGATATTCGACGGCACAGTGTGCTTTTTTGACACTTCATGCGGATTAATCGTAGCGCTTTCAACAGAAGCAATATTTTGTATGAAACAAAACGGCTTTGAAAGCTAAAAAAATATTGCCATTGAGCCACAATTATTCCTTGACCTTAAAAAATTTTTCAAAAATAGTGTTTTTCGAAAAAAAACATGCAAAATCCAACGAATATATTCAACAAAAAAACATTTTTTGTATTTTTACTATACTAATATTATAGATTTTGAGACGAGAAACACGATTCCACTGTTTAAAAAACGAAAAAAAAAATGTCAGCCCCTCAATTTGGAAAATGCATTATATATCTTGATTTGCCTGCAGCTGTGCATCCTTCACACAATTTTATATCCCTCGAACAACAAGTGAGTTTTAGTGCTATTCAAGACCTTCAATTTAAACCAAGATAGAAGTCGCTAGGCCCTTTGAGAGTTAAATTATTACGATTCTAAAGTTAAACATCGAAATTTCATTCGACATTAAAGGTAGTTTTTTTTCTAATTTCGGAGTAAAAACTAGTACAGCAGGTTCGAAGTTTGGTTTAGAATAATTATAACTCGGCTCTCGAATTGCACTAAAACGCACTTATTGTTCGAGGGATATAAAATTTAGTGAAGGATGCAAAGCTGCAGGCAAAAAGAAAAAAATGCAATAAATAATGATTTTTTTTTTTTTTTAATTAAGGTGTTAAATTTTTTCGAATTTTGAACAGTCAATAGTGTTGCTCGTCTCAGAATCTATAATATTAGTATAATAAATTTTTTTTTGTGGAATATATTCGTTGGATTTTGCATGTTTTTTTTTTTTGAAGATCACTATTTTTGACCAATTTTTTTAAGGTAATTGTGACTCAATGGCAATATTTTTACGTGAAAGGGAATCAGTTTAGCTTTCAAAACCATTTTGTTTCGTATCAAAATGCTGCTTCTGTCGAAAGCGCTACGATTAATTCGCATGCAGTGTTCAAAAAGCGCACTGGGCGGCTTGTGAAAGGACAAGACATTTATTTTAAAGTGCTGTGCATATTTTTTCAGATAAGAGTTCAGCGACAAAATCTATTAAGGCTTGTTTTCACTATGTCAAATTCAATGGCATTTGTCGTCAGATAAGTGAAAACACATTGTCAAATGAGGTTAAAATGCGCTATATCGATTGATTTCGATAAGGATAGATTTTCAGTCATCATGTACATGCACAGCTATATCGGCTATCTGTCTGTTTTTGGCCTATAATTTAATCGGTAAAGGTACGGGTAAATGAGATAAAGTTGTGTCAAAATATGTCGACAAATTTTGGCCAATTTGGAAATGACCAAATTCATATCAGAAAAAAATTTCAATTAGCACGAAATTGTTCCGGAAGTAGAATCACAACACCAATAGTGTAATTGAAATTCTTAACCAAACCCGGATTTCTCGACCGACCCGTAGAACCGTCCCTGCCGGAATTAACTGCAGTTGATCCGAATTAAGTCAGAGTTAATCCAGATCAACGCTACCGTCTGTTTAAGCTTTAAGCTAGCGATATTTCGCTTCGATATGAATTTTAACCTTTTTACACTTAAAAATACTCAGGCGAAAAATTGCAAATTTAATAAGGGCATTAAAAAATGTTTACCCTAGAATGCAAAAAGATTTGGAGGTCTTACTATATGGGCCTAGGTCTTTAATCCTGAGTTGGAATCATTCCGCGCCCAGACAATAACACTTAAATTGTTGCACAGTGTTATATGGGAAAAATTTATTTCTCTCTTTTTAAGGACATCGAAAATATGTACGTAAAAGTATATGAATGAAATTAATACGAATTCATGATGAACCCAGCTTAATTACCCATTCAATATTCGGTTACTTTAGCGCAGGTGCGAAAATTCGGTCCAAAACACAATTGAGAGAATAAATTTGATTTCATTATGGGGTCAAAATTGGAAGCACTGCACCTCCCTTTCGCTCTTTTAAATTATTCCAAGAGAGTTTGCTCACAATGTCCGCGCAGGTATAAAACATCCTTGCTATACACATTTTGCCCATATTCGACTGAAAACTCGGCTTGAAGCTAGTCGATTCAATTATTGCTGTTTTAAATTTTCTAAAACAAAAATTATATACACAAGTTCATAAATACATATATAAAAATGAATATCCGCAATGTTCCACCATTTGTTTTGAGCTTGGACTCAAGACCATACGTCAATCACGATATGTATCCAAATCATATTTATCGACGATTCCACGAGCGTGAACATCATCCATTGGATTTAGCCACATTGGGATTGATTGCGCGTTTGGGTCCACATGCTCATCATTTGGTGGCTAACAAGCACAATCAAGAGCTCAATGTTGCAAGTCGTTTCGGCAAAAAAGGCTTTGAAGTCCACCTTGACGTTGGCCTATTCGAACCTGAGGATCTTAATGTGAAAATAGTGGACGATTCATTGGTGATTGAGGGAAAGCACGAAGAACGTGAAGACGACCATGGACATATTTCACGTCACTTTGTACGTCGTTATGTGCTTCCCAAAGGCTTTGATCCGGATACCATTGTGTCGACATTATCATCGGATGGTGCACTGACTGTGCGTGTTCCCTCTCCGCCACCACCACCAGAAGAACAGAAAAAGGAGCGGATCATAGCCATACAGCAAGTTGGACCATCTGAAATATTTTCTAAAACCAAAAGTCAGGAAGAGGCCGACGCCTCTGCCGCAAAACTTTCGTCAAAATAAGCATACATGTACATACTATGTATAAGTATGTACATACACATGTAGTGAAGTGTAAGTCACATACATAAATACATACTTATAAAAGGCATAACTTTACATTTCCTGCATATGAATGTTTGTCTGTATACATATTTATATGAACGTGTCAACATTGCACTAAATATTTATTTGAATAACTGCCATTTTTATATTTGTGCGTATGGATGTATTTTAAAATAATAAGAGATTCTGCTTAAAAATATTAAAACTTACAATACATATCGCTAGCTTAGAATGAAAAGTTGCTAAGTCCTATTTCAAAAATTTTACAGGAGAGGAAAAAATCTTCCTATAGCCATTTTCTTTAACTATTTCGCAAGACTTTGAATCAAACATTTTGCGCGTTTAAAGCACAGCAAAATTCCATAAGAATCAGAAGGATTCGATATTTATTAAAAGATGTCGTATTATTTTCGCCTTATCGGATTTGTGGTGCTTCTTTTGGACTTAGCAAATTTTCCTTTTATTGCTTATGAAGAGGAAAAAATAAAACAAGTACCTTTATAATTTTCGAAACGATGCGTATTCAATTTCTCTAGCCTCCTATATCAAAATATGAGTTTTCATAAAAAGTGGACTTAGCATGTTTTCACTCTAAGCTAGCGATATGTATTCACGATGTATTATATAGAACCTTTAATAATGTCTTATACAAAATAATTTATTTATTAAAGCGTATCCTTATCCTATTGGAAAATCATATCTTATAGAATTCCAATAGATTAAAAAACAACTTTTCTACTTTTTATCGCACTTTTTTAATATTATAAATATTTTAAATATACATATGTACATAAGTATACATATGTATGTAATAAATATGAAGAAATTAAAAAGTTCCATACAAGACTTTGAATAAGTAATATTTTGCTAATATGGCGGTGACACAATGTGATTTTAGAAGAATAACGTGTCAAGGTAAAATTTTCAGTACAGAACTAGTATATATGTATGGCGTTTGCAAATATAGGTTTCGAAGACAATGTGAAAATTTTCACTGAAATTTTCACAGAAATGGATTTCTCATACTCAACAACCCCTTATAGCATTTTTTTCATACAAAATTAAGCACTTTTAGACCCATGGTTTCTTCGGTAAGTTTGCTTAGAATTACACGTAGAATCGTTCTGTGCTATATGGGCATAGTGGAAAAATTCTCCCATAAAAACTGATCCGCCCTAATGTACGTACATTCACTAATCAGTTGATATCGACAAAGTGACTACAACGGCAAAAATAAAAAATAAAAGTCGACTAGCGGATTCCGAATAAACAATTACGCACATTCACAACTAATCCAAATCAAAAAGAATTTTTGATACAATTGAATATTTGCAGTCATAGGAAATTAGATATAATCAAAATGTATTCAACAAAGTGTGATTGATTTTGACATTGCTCTCTTAAGAAATAGGCTATAATGTCAAACTGAAATGAATTCCCTTAACCCATTTGAATTTTTTTTCAAATTTTAATTTGTTCAAAAAAAAGTTACACACAAATTTTTCAAGCAACAAATTTTCTTAATAAACGGTAAATTTTTAAGAGATAAACCGCCGAGGAGAGCTAGTAAGTACATTTAAAGTTGGGTAATAAGTAAATACGTTCGACTTTTCTTGAATATTTAATGTAAGGAAACCAAGATAAAGCGGAGCAAAACGTTTGAACGGTGCGCTGAATGCAATAAAAGTCAGGACACGAAAACAGTGCGATGTTTTAAACCACCTAGTTGCGAATTAAGACGGCAGCGATGGGAAGAAAGCTGTGGTGTTGTACTACGTGATTCATCTCGCGTTTGTGAAAACCACTTCAAGAAAGTGATTTCATTAGTTATCCGTCCGAATCAAGCACTTTCAAACGAGCTCGTTCATACCCAGGCGCAGTCCCAATGCAATACGAAATAACTGATACAAGTGTGGATTTAGTACGCGATCAGGATACATTCTTTGTTGATGTCCAAACTCAAACAGGCGACTCTTTAGAATGCGCGTTGAGAACAGAAATATTTCCTCTTACCGAAATAATTAAAACCATGCAAGCAAGTATGGAAGAGCTTAATTTAAAGCTGCTCGAAGCAAAGTCTTTAATGTAAAACTATTTCGCATGAAAAAAATTTAATTTCAAAATTGTTAGAGTTAAGCTCACATATAAAATTGGAAACAAATGTAAAACCCTACTTTTATAAGTGTCGAATAATGTTTAGGATAAAAAATTTTAAAATATAAAAATAAACGCGCAAAAGCATAAAACTTGGGCAATTAAAAACAAGAAAATTGCTAAAACTATTTTATAAACAATATGTTTTATTTTATTGACGAAATATATATNGAATATTTAATGTAAGGAAACCAAGATAAAGCGGAGCAAAACGTTTGAACGGTGCGCTGAATGCAATAAAAGTCAGGACACGAAAACAGTGCGATGTTTTAAACCACCTAGTTGCGAATTAAGACGGCAGCGATGGGAAGAAAGCTGTGGTGTTGTACTACGTGATTCATCTCGCGTTTGTGAAAACCACTTCAAGAAAGTGATTTCATTAGTTATCCGTCCGAATCAAGCACTTTCAAACGAGCTCGTTCATACCCAGGCGCAGTCCCAATGCAATACGAAATAACTGATACAAGTGTGGATTTAGTACGCGATCAGGATACATTCTTTGTTGATGTCCAAACTCAAACAGGCGACTCTTTAGAATGCGCGTTGAGAACAGAAATATTTCCTCTTACCGAAATAATTAAAACCATGCAAGCAAGTATGGAAGAGCTTAATTTAAAGCTGCTCGAAGCAAAGTCTTTAATGTAAAACTATTTCGCATGAAAAAAATTTAATTTCAAAATTGTTAGAGTTAAGCTCACATATAAAATTGGAAACAAATGTAAAACCCTACTTTTATAAGTGTCGAATAATGTTTAGGATAAAAAATTTTAAAATATAAAAATAAACGCGCAAAAGCATAAAACTTGGGCAATTAAAAACAAGAAAATTGCTAAAACTATTTTATAAACAATATGTTTTATTTTATTGACGAAATATATATATATTCCAGGTAATGTAAGTAAAACAAAACTATAATCGAAATAAAAGTCTAGGGTATCAGTGCTGATAAGATACATGCATCACTAAGGGTTAATTCGTTTGTTTATACTTTTTGACATTATAGTACCTTAAAAGAGAGCTGNTTGCAGGAATTTGCAAGTTTCGCTGCCAGCTGGCGTCCACGGTTGCATTTCAAACATAAAAAATTTTTATAGAATTTTTAAAATTCTTTCGGATGGCCAAAAACAGGATATACATGTATATTTCTTGTTGTTCTGACTTTCTTTAACATACATTTCAATTTCTTCATCGGGTTTCTTAAATCAACTCTGGTTGAAATTGCATTCCGATTGCGAATACCATTTTTTTCAGCCGAATTAAGTTCAAATCATTGGAATTAATTATATCAACAATTATTTGCTTCCTTTTTTCATAAAAAAACCGCTCGTGTTTATAAATTTTTAAATTTAACGAACTAATTTATTCAAATTATTGTAGACAAAAATGCAACCATGCACCACAACCACATGTATTTCGTGTTTGCAAATTCTTGCTGGCAAAATTTTTTCCAGCAAGAATTTGCAACTTCTCTCCAAGAGAACTGTCACTTTGCTCTCACAATTTTTGAGTGTTGGATAATTTTTTGGTCTGCACGAACGCGATTTGGGCAAAAATCGTGATAATTCGTACAAATTCGTACAAATTTTTTGCTCGACGAACAAATCTATTGTCAATCACACCTTGTTTAATACACCTTGGATATAATGTAAAAATAAATTTGTAAGAACAAATTTTGATGTGTTTAAATTAATTTTTCTATTAGTGCGGTTATATGTAGATACATCTAACAAGCCAAACTGATTGATGACAAATTTTTTTAATCTTTCTGTGGTTAAGGTTAGGTTAGGTTAATTTGGCCGGCGCCGGCGTTAAGCGCACCGGTAGGTCTTTAGCGTTACCAGTTGGAGCTCGTTTTTACGCGTGAAAGAAGACATCACAGAATGCCAACGCTTTTTCCGAATTTCAGTAAAAATTTCAAATCTACTTTTGAGATGTCCTCTAACTTCTCGGATTAATAGGCTCCCAAGTATGCGTATATACATAACTTTCCCATAGGACTGATAGTTTCTGACAAATTAATTAATCATTCCAGTATTTTTTTTTTCAATGAAAAAATTTAAAAACTCAAAGTTTAACAAAAGGAAAATTAAAAAAATTAAATTAAAAATAACAGGTTCTGTGCCAAATTTTTGCATTTGTGCTGTTACAAAAAAAATCAAATGGAAATACGCAAAGATTTTTTATATGAAAAATGAGCAGGAAAAAATGTTACTCATACTCATACGTACACCTGAGCTTTTCTGCAAATTTTATATTAGTTACGATCCCGTGCGAGTCCGGACTAGTCAGGCATAGTCAGTCACATTTTACTGGAAATCGATCCCGTACTCGGCCCAGCGGCACAAATGCACATTACGTAATCGAATACTCCTTCAAAACTTCGAAGGCGGTATATCGGAATGAATGGATTATAACCCAAGAATGATAGAATACAAGATTGCGCCGATCAGAGAGGATTTTTGAGAATAACTTTTGTGTGACGTCACACTGGTGCAATTGCGAGAGAGAAATGCCAAAACGTGAGCAAGAATGGAAGAAGAAGAAAAAATGTTGCAAGGAAAACGTAAACAAGTTGCACCAGTGTGACGTCATGCAAACAACGATTCTGTCAAATTCGTTAAGAGAGGAATAGCGGTCCGAGATCGGCGCAACCTTTGTATTCTCTCAATCGTGATTATAACCCAGATTACTTTGCCATAGGCATGGCCTCTTTGTGGTTAGCGTCCTTTACATACTGGTTTTGTTTGTAATCGGAAAGTATGATGTGACAGAATACTCTTCGGGCGTTCATTACAATACGTCTTCGTTTGTAAATCGCAATGTGCATTATAAGTAGACTGCCTACAATAAGTATTACAATTTTAAAAGGGGTCAGTGGTGTTTTAATCATTTATTTGTATGAATTACGCAATGCATATTGTGGACGGACCCCATTTAGCTGTGCGCCGCTGGACGGTTCTCTGACTTCTGAGAGGTCAAAAAAGAGAGTAAATAACGTCCACTCTCTCTCAGAACTCGCCAGTTTTATTCCGCAGATATTTTGCTGGTAAATTCTGGTAAATGTGTCAAACGATCAGCTGTAGTGTGTTTGACAACCAAGTTATGCAACTCAATTTTTGCATTAAGAATCTAAATGATAAAAGCAAGTCTGTGATCTTCCAAAATTTCCACAATTCGAACATGGTTTAATGAGAAAAGGTGGAAACATTGCTTTTTCACGTATACAGTGGCTAGTTGCATTTCAGTATCGCCGATCGAGATTTCATTTATTATTTTACAATTTTGATAAAAAAAAAGTTAGGCAATTTCAACATCGATGTGATGCTGATAGAAAACTGGATCAATTTGTCATCAACTCTATTTGTTTTGTTTCCTAATTAGGTAAGGAAATTTTAATTGACAGCACCGACAAATGAGTATATACACCAACAAATGTTCGGTAATGGTTAAAACAATTCAAGTTTTTGTATTGAATTTTTGGTATAAAATTTATTTTTTCCTTTTCAGTAGGGTTTTTTGCACATTATCTTCTGCGTGAGAATTGATCGTAATAGATACGGATCTGAATAAGCGACTGGAACACGGCTGTTTGTCAAAAGCATACGATTTCAAACTAGCGTAAATGTACATTTGTTAAATGCGATAGCATGAACGCTCTTCGAAAATATATGTTCGAAAGTGCTAAATGTTGCATTTTAAATGCAGCAAAAACCTAAAACCTAAGGCAGTCAATATGGCGGAATTAGAGCGAGAAGCTGCCAGCATCCAACACCTGTATTATTGCATCTGTATTATTTGCATCATAGGGCTTTCGCACGAGGCGATTTTTCAGGCAACTTTTAGTTGAAAGCAAAAATCGCCTGGTCCGAACGGCCTTTCAACTAAACGCTTTCAACAAAGTTGGTCGGCAGCCAACTTTTAGCTCGTTCAACTTTTTTTCCTTGCAACCCTGTGTTTGTTTACATTCTGTATACATACTTTTTTTACTTTGTTACTTTTATTTTATCTTTAAGCTTCGCTAAAAGCACTGCTACCAATACTTGGCTTACCAAATTAACGCCAATTGATTAAATTTTGCGATTTAAATTCATTTTCCATAATGTAAATAACAATACGTGTTGAATCGAAAATCGCCTCGTCTGGATAGGGATGGCAACTTTTTCACTTTCAACTTCTCATTCAATTTCGCGTTCAACATTTGTTGCCCGTAAAATCGGCTTGTGCGAATGCCCTATCATGCATAAACATCACTTTATAATAGGGGTCTTCATCTAAAGTCGTAAAGGGATAAATCGCTTAAATTTTTCAGTTTTGCTTGAAATACAATACCGGCGAACGGCAAACTTTGCCGAATTGGGCGATGCTGTCATTCGCCGTTCGCCCAGCTATTACGCTTACTTTAACAGAGTTGAAGCGGTAGCTGATACCATTTGGTCGTCTTTATAGGTTGAGTGACCATAGTTAGAAAAAACTAAACCATTTTTAGAAATGAGGTAATGATATAAATGTAAGACAAAGATAAATATTATAAATTATTTTGTTTGAAGCCAGATTTAACGAATCCACAACTTTATTTTCCAAACAACAAAAATAATTCATGTTTATGTTGTTTTTTTTTTTAACTTTGAAAGCAAAAAAGTAATACGGCCATCTTTGGAACGTACAGCTGCCATCGCCCAGTAGAGCGATGGAAATTAATCTATTACCACGAAACGCCTCCGAGCGAACTTCGCATTTCGCATTGGTTGTGTTCAATTTCATATTCCTGCGGCAAGGCGAATTTATACAAGGTGATGTTGATGGCGAATTTAGATTTTCACAGCGATACTTCTTAATGTCAAAATGATGTGTTTGTTGTAGTATGAATTCGCCTTTTTACAACAAACACATCATTTTGACATTAGGAAGTACCGCGGCGAAAATCTAAATTCGCCATCAACACCACCTTGTATAAATTCGCCTTGCTTGCGGGCGTTCTAATTTTGACAGCGCGAATTTCGCAGTGGTGAGTTCGCCGTTCGCCGGCATTGTATATCCGCATTCTTTCATGAACGCACCTTGGTAAATAATTGCACAAAATGGCTAGTTACGTCAAAGAACCTAAATTATAAGAAGGGACAACTCGTTAGAATTGTAGCGAAAGTGAGCAACAGGGGCGTGTCTTCTCTTTTGGCCTAGTACGTTTTTTGATTGGATGAAAGGAGAAGACACGCCTCTATTGCGCACTTTCGCTACAATTATAACGAGTTGTCCCTTCTTATTGTCTACGTTCTTTGGTTACGTTTCGTTTTTACCTCGTCCCTTGAGTTCATTTGCTTGTTATGTGTTCGTAGCAAAAGCGACCAACTGGCAGCCTGTCAGGGTTGAATTTTGTTAAAATTCATACGTTTATCCACCAAAAACGTTTGATTAAGTAATTAACTTTGGTTAAATATATTTCCATACAAAGTTTGACTATTCATTTATAAAGCTCTGTATGCAGCTCTCAAGAAAACGGTCAAGAAAAAATTGCCATTATTCCGCGTGTGTGTCCAAGGAATTTTGACATTTTTGATACCTCACAGCCTGTTGCCTCACTCTTTCCTCAAGAAATAATGGAACGGGCATATATTTCTGTTGCAAACCTGGGTTGGCTTGTGCTCTTTTTTCACAAAAAACTTTAGAAAACCGTACTAGAAAGCGTAGTAAATTTCTTAAGAACAGCATACTGCCGTAAGGAAATTTGACTCAAGAAAATTTCTTAGCCATTTCTTATACGTCATTTTATATGGAGTTTTTGCTTTTCTTGAGAGCTGCATACAGGCCTTAAAAATGATAAATTACCATTTTATCAAGTTTATCAACAGTTTATCACTTTTGCTGAAGACCCCTAATATTCTATTGTGAATATTTTGTGTGTAAGAAGAACTTTTGTATGGTGAAATGGTCGTATAAAATTCCATCATGGGGTGATTTCACCACGGGGTTGTATTTCATATAGTTCGTTTTCGGTTTGGGGATGGAGTTTTTGTAAATAAACAATTGTTTTCTTCCATTTAACTAATTACAGAAAGGATAATTTAATATTGGTTTAGTAAAAAGAATTGAGGAGAGTATTGCTTGAACATATGCCATAATAATAAAAGTTTAGGTGGTACACCATGTCTGATATGGCCAATCGTGTCCTCTCCTCCTGGTTATTGGAGCGTAAGGTGATTGGAGATCGCCTAAGACTATTGATAGGTGTAACGCAAGTTGGTCGTCAGCCAGGATTGGCTCTATGTATAGATTCTGGTTTTGTTTCACGCAAACATGCAGAAATTACTGTGGACCAAGATGGGAGAATTGTCCTGAAAGATCTGGTAAGTGATAAAGAAGAACATGATGCCTAAATAACAATACAACTTGTGGTTTTATGTTTTTGTTTTAGAATTCAGCAAATGGGACGTTTGTGAATGGAATTAAAATAAAAAATGGAGAAATAGTTTTAAAAGCAAATGATTGCATAGGAGTTGGAGTCACCGATGATTCAGAACCTAATCTAAAGCATCCAATATATAACTTGATATATGCTCCTATGCCAGGAATCGTGCCCATTGCTCAGGCAATAGACAATACTAAGGACGAAAGTATACAAATTGGTAATAAAAGAAAAGCACAGCAGGAATCGCCTGAATTGCCTTCAACATCTTCCGCGATTTCTACATCAGATCAACAGGCAACAAAATATACAACTGCAGTAACAACTTCAGATTTAAAGTCAGATAATATCATTGGATCGTCAGATACTAACCAAATATCATCAATTGCAACCAACGAAGTGGTCTGCACCAAATCAACGACTGAAGTAAAATATGATAAAATATCAGAATCTAAAGCTAAACCAGCTTCACTCTCATCAAAATTGCCGACACTTTTTTCTGGACAAATAATTATTTTGAGTGACGATGAAGATGATGTTGTACGCTCAATCAAAGAAGAGTGTAAACAATCTTCCAATATCAAGGATTATGAAGACTCTATAGCCATGAAGGATGTGCAACCTTCTGGACAAAACAATTCAAATGAAGAGCCTCCAAATCGGATTGGCATACATAAAACAAATAATGCCACCCCAGATATACCTAACAACGCTGCCGTTCATGAACCTATATTACCAGAAGTGAAGCGAGAATTCGTACGCTCATGTACGGAGAATGTAGTTGAAATCTTTGGAGGAACTGATGATGTCATTCTTGAGAGTGTCAAAGAAATAAATCCTTTGCTATATTCAAGACTTAATGGTAAGAAAACGAATAAAATGCTTTACGATGGAGATAGTATTGACTTGCTAAGTGATAATGAGGATGACGATCCTAATATTGCGCACAATGTAGAAACGTTCGGTGAACTATTGCCGGCAGCAGAATACAACAAACATTCTGAAAAGGCCGATCAAACAAAAAATATAGCTGTGGAAAATGAGCTAATGCAAAATGCTAGTTTAAAAAAAAGTCCTAATGTTTTTGATAATTCACTTAACAGCTCTAATGGCGATGAGCAAAGGAATTGTATCATTGAGCACGCAGATATTCCGGAAGATAATCGTAACCTTGAGCCTTCAACGGTAAATTCTGCAAAAGCTCCAGATGAATTGGCTGAGTTCGTCGATATGGATGATGATATGTTGTTTTCACAAATTTTATTAAACGACATTAAGTCCGAAATGATGGCTGATAATAATGAAGCTGAGTTTGCTGATGAAGACCACCCCTATGATGTGATTAGAAAACAAAGTCAAGAAAACCTAATAGACACCCATATTAAAAAAGAGATAGTTGATAACGAACAGACGAACTCAGCTGCGATTCCTGTAGAACAAAAACTAAAAGATCCTGAGATAGGAAATGATGTATGGATTACAATAGAAGATGACGATGAATATTATGATGAAGAGTTCGAGCATAAGGTATCTGACTGGAGCTCTAAATTGCTATCACAAACGATGAATATGTCACAGGTATGCAGACTATCAGAAGATACATGTAATATTAAATTGCTTCATTAAAAAATTTTGTTAACCAGAAAACTCATTTGAAGTTCATCTAAAAAATTAGTATCCTTAATAACTGAAATTAAAAACCGGCTATCATAGTACGTAATAAGGCAGATTTCTAACGTATAGCAAAATTAACTCGTATTATATGATAACGATTGACTTCAGTTTCTCATCGCTGAAGTCTGAACTTTAATTGAATTGCGAGTGTAATGTTATTTGTTGGGTTTTAAAACATCTGTTTATAGGTCTTCGAATTTCAAAATGATAAAGCAGAAAATTTAGATGATAACGACGAAAATGCCGAAGGCAAAGAGGATCAGGGTTTAGATTGTGCCAGCGAAGATCTTGATGATTTTTTCAACGAGGCTCTTGTGGATGACGTAATTGCGACATTAGCTCAAAAAACTGGCCAAACTAAAAGCGATTCAAAGTCGTCACCATTAGAGCAGGAAATGTCAAAAGACAGTTACGAATACGATAGAAGTAAAGAACTTGTACACCAAAAAGATAAAATTAAATCAATTGAGGACTACAAGGAAGCACCAGTGGAGATAAAGACAACTCGTGAATTAAACGATGAACCTGAAGGTTGTGGTATGCATAACTTTTATAAAATATTCTTTATTAATAGCTAAAAAATTCCATTTTAGATCTAAAAGCGTCCACTAGTAGTAAGCCAACGGTCGCTGATAGCAAAAAAACTGATACTTCTAAAGAAAAGATAAAGGTGAGTAAAAAGGAGGTGATCAAACCAGTAAAACGCTTGCATCACCCACCATCTGTAATCGACGCCCCAAATTTACCTAAGCATAAGGGAAAACACAGAGGAGTTTCTGCAGAATCGCGTTCAATTGCATCATCCACAAAAGAGGTTCGCACAAAAGCCGCAGCCTTCAGTGGTCAACTGAAAGAAGAACGTTATATGGATGAACTAAAAAGGAAGTGGCTTGGGAAGCCAGTAGATGAGAGACGTAGGGAGATCGAGAAAAAACGTCTGATTAGGGAGTCTCGCAAAGAGCGCTTAAAAGAACTTGCTGACAAGCAATCAGCAGACACTTCAAAAGAATTGCTAAAACGCAAACATGCATCTGAGACTGAAGTTGTTGAAAAGAAAAAAGCCAAGGTTAAAATCACTACAATGAATCGAGGTGCTCTTCTAGCTGAGGATATCGAAGCCAGTAAGAAGAATGTTGAACTGTACAGAATACCTAAAATAAAGAGATGTTCATCAGAATCGACAAAGCCACACAAAGAGAGCTCAACAAGTGCTACTGTAACAACGCCTAAATCTAATCGACCCAAAGCTGTGGATGCATTTGCTCAGGAGATGAGCAAATTAGATAAAATTATTTCCCGCCGTATATCTAGTAGTAGTAACAGGAAAACATCGAGATCGTCCTCGACCGAAGAAAACAGAAATGGAAGTCTACCAACAGAAGCGAAGCCTTGTAATGCACCTGCGCGTAAAACTAACAAAATTACATTTGCTTCTATGCAAAAAAATTTTTCCGAAACAAAAAAAAATCAAGAGTTATTGCAAAGATTTGCTAGTCACCGTTCCTGCCTAACAAATGTGATACGACGCGATGCCGACAAGGAACGACTGAAGAAACGTGTGCGCTTTAATGAGACACCAATTGTATACTACATCGAACGCGTAAGCGGCGCCAATAAGCGAGTTGATCGAAAAGATATATTGCCTAGTCCAACTTGTCAAGATCGTGCGCATATGGTGCGTATGGCGTACGCTATGGTTGATAAGACTGCACAAATAATATCTCAAATATTGGGCTGGAGCAATGAATGGCTCGTAAATCGTAATGCGCAAGTAGACGCTGCAAGTGACATTTTATTGCCGATGCCAAATCAATTTACTACGTTTAATCATTATAAGAGGTACGTAATTTAAGCTAACCACTTTTTGATTTATGTCGGCTTAACGACATAATGCGTTTCTATTTTTTTAGCATAATTATACCGTTAATGAAATTGGAGTTTATGAGTGTACTTGAGCGTGAAAAAAGTCGATGTAAAAGTAAGACGTTTATTGTCTCCGCCGAGCAAGTAACTCCTTATTTGGATCGTTTCATAATAATAGGGCGCTGTGCCGGCACAAACAGCTCTGAATCCAAAAGTGAACTCGTAATTTTGGAATGGGGAAAGTTTACAACATTCGCATATATGTCTTCAAAGCGATTTGGTATGGACAAAGAAAATACATTTTAATTTTCTTATTAACAATATTCATTCAATTAGGGTTTAATTACACTACCATTGTGTATGAAGTGCTTGCAAATGATTTGTCTTTAGAAGAGCTGCGTGCCAACTCCAATAATCCAATTAAAGTCCGTCCAATGATAGATGTTGTACGAGTAGAATTTGGCGCCTTTAATGCGGTATACCAATTGGAGCAATCCCCACTGCTCGCGCAGATACTCGACCCAATGCAGTTATGCAAACGCAAACCGTTTACGCAATGCAACATTCAATATAACGGCTGTGATGATTTAAATGCTCGTCAAAAGGAGGTATTGATCCGTACATATAGGCGAGCTATCGAGCCGACACCAAACATAACATTAATTCAAGGCCCGCCTGGTACGGGTAAATCTTGTGTGATTGCAAATTTGGTACACCAGTTGTTATATGGGAACGAGATTCGCATCCTCGATCAGAAAGTATTAATATGTGCACAAAGCAATGCAGCCGTTGACGTTATAGCTGAAAAATTGTTTAATATGGGTCAAAAAAAGTTGCCAGATGTGCAGTTTCGATTGATTCGTTTTGGCTTGATGGAACGCATCAGCCCCAAGGTTCGACATGCAACTTTACCAAAGATCATTGAACGTAATCAGATAAGGAAACTTAAAGTGGCTTGCACAAATCTTCAAATTGATGATAAAATCGACATAAAGGAGTACTTACGGAATGAAATCATTCAAATCGAAGCTGATATCGAACATATGAAACAGAAAAATGTGAAAGGAACGGCGCAAGAAGAAGAGTTGATTGCAAAAGTACGACAAGTCCAATTAATGCGGAATATAGTGAACGGAGTTTTGCGTCCAGAGGATGAGCGTAGTCTATACAATTGGCACCTGAAAAATGCTAATGTCGTGTGCACGACGTTGTCTAGCTGCGTGAAATTATCACAGTGTGTTTTTCGTTTTAGTATTTATGATTGATCAAATGTATATAAGTAACTTTTTTCAGATATGTGAATTATTTTGATGTTTGTATCATTGATGAGGCAACACAGTGTACAGAACCATGGACTCTAATGCCTTTAAAATTTGGCATTAATACATTGGTGCTTGTGGGTGATACGCAGCAACTTCCCGCAACGGTGCTATCAAAGGTTTGTTTCTTAACTAGAAGAAAGCGATTTTGAAATTCTTCCTATTTTTTGAGCTCTTATTTTTCATTATGCAAAAATATTTTCCCAGGAAAATTTCTTGCATTGGTTTTATACTCTTGAAAAGAAATCCCTATACATAATTCATTTATTGATAGAAAGCTTCAGATTTCGGTCTTGGAACTTCACTTTTCACACGTATTCAGCGCTGTATAGAATCGGTCAACCTCAAAAATGCAGCCAATGGATTAACTGATGAAGAAAAAATATTCTTATCCGATAGCAATGATATAATTTTTAGCTTGCAAACACAATACCGCATGCATCCTGAAATTTGTAAATGGCCAAATTCGTACTTTTACAAAAACGAACTAATCGATGATCCCAAAACTCATCAGTTCAAAACACCATTGAAGCCATTTTCAGTACTTAATTTGACATATACGCAAGATGAAAACTGTCATCGCGGTCAAATTGCTAACGAGCTAGAGGCTAAGTTTGTGGCTCGGCTGGTTAAAACGTTGGACGGTTATATTCCTATGAAATACAACTCATATGGTGTGATAACGCCCTATGCACAGCAGCGAGGGGCCTTAGAAAAGGCGTTGCGGTGAGTTTTTTGTACTCAAATAGCCATCACATTTTAAGTATCTCCTTTGGTTTTATAGTAATTATGGATTCTTGAATGTAATGGTAAATACCATCGACTCTTATCAAGGCATGGAATGTGATGTCATCATAATTTCAAATGCACGTACCACTGGCATTGGATTCCTGGCAAACTATCAGCGCTTGAATGTGGCTTTAACTCGACCGAAAAAGTGCCTTATACTGTGTGGAAACTTCAAAAATTTGGAGGTAAACAAAATAGTTGAAATTTTTATTTTACTTTACTTACAAAGATGCTTTGGCTTTTATTATTGCTCCTCTAAACGAATCCATATATTAATGTTCAACATCGTAATCATTACAAAAGGCCCTAAGGGATATTTCGATAGTTTGATTCCAGATACATTCCCAAAACGTCTCTTACAGAAAGGATATTTTGTAATGGTGGCCATATGTGGAAACATATATACATATAGGCGTGCGGATTATCCCCAAAAAGTACTCTAGAAATTAAAAAAGTGTTTGGGTCAAAGTAATCGGTTGAAACGAATTGTAATCGATAGCCTACACAGAAATACATTTCCGTTAATTTTACCCAATTTTTTACTGATGCCTTCATGTCGAATATGCCAAATAACCTGATTTTTCACAGCGGCAAATTTTTGCGAAATTTTAACTTAAACTCGCTATATCTCACACATTTTATTATCGATTGGTTTCAAATTTTTACACAATACACTTGATACTATTCTTAAGAACCTGAGTTTTTCTACGGTTCTTAGTACTTATTAAAAACAAAATGGCAACGTTTTTTCAAATGCAAAAGTTTTGTTATAAAATTAAAACTTTTTTTTAATGCAGATTTATAGATGAATATCCAAGAAAGTTTTTCGGAAAGTTTGAGGTTTAAACAGCAAGTAGTTCCTAAATTATAACAATATTATGGTGACGCCCACGAGTGGGCGCTCGCCCCTAGATGACAAATGAATCACCTACGAATGAAGTGATTCGCTCTCAAAATTTTGTATGGCGAATTACGTGATTCGGTTCGTAATTGGGGCGCCAATCACGAATGAGAGAGCGAATTACGAATAGGAGATCGAATCACTTGCCGTGGAAACATCATTTAGTTGCGCATCTACAGTAGCGTGGTCCGAAAATCAATAAAAATCAAAATCCAACAGAATTCTACATGTTAAGTGCTATGCGTTGGGTAACCGCTTACACGCAAAACCCATTTAACAGATTTTATGTGACAACTCTCATGCAACGCGAAGTGTGCATAACTGGGCTCGCCAAAATCCATCAAAATTCTAGTGCTAAAAAAAATGTTACTTAGATTACTTCGATTCTACTCAAAAAAGGTCCAATATACCAGATTATGTAGGACTTATACTTTCGAAGGTACTTGCAATTTTATTTTAAAAAAATATTTATTAATGTATGTAATAATTTTTATTTTTTGAGCACATTGAACTCTGATGAATGATGATATGTGTTATTTGATTATTTCACAATGTAGCTAGCCAGGGCTACTACAGTTTTCTATATCGGACAGACATATTGTCTTTGGCCATTTAACTACATGTCTTTTAAGTAAGTCGAAAGTGGAATTTACTGTGGGATCCATGGGCTTCATGACTTTCAGAGAAGTGAGTGCTATCAATTTCTAGTATATTTTGACAATATCGTCGTTTCTTTGGGTAAAAATAAATATATTTTAGTATTTAATATTGGAGGGGTGTAAAACAAAATTGATGATTTATTGTTAGTACTAGGGATGGAAACTTTTGAAAAATAATCGATTCTCGATTCTCGAGTTTTATTTAATCCTTGCGATTCTTGGAATCGATCAATCGACGGCGAGATTCGAATTATTTTATTAAATCTATCATCTATCATCATTCATGGCTATTATAATGAGTCAATTTAAACTGTTTTTAGAAGAGCTTTAATAATAAATTTGCTTCATTTGCTATAAAATGTGCGATTGAAACATATTCACGGTACTGTTTGATATGGAAAGGAAATAAATTTGAATACGCTCCTTAAAATAGTTTTTTTTTTTCATAAACTCATTTCTTGCATCTCTATGAATATGTGCCAATTAGTCTTACTTAATATTTATATTAGTCATGACAGAAATTTCACAATTCTAACAAATGACGCGTATCTAAAGATGTATGATAAATAAGAGAATCGAGTTCTAAGAATCGATTCTCGAGCGATTCAGAAAATTTATAATCGATTCACCAAAATTAATTATTTCGAGAAAATCTACGATTACGGAGTGGAATCGGAATCGATTTTTCCATCCCTATTTAGTACGCAAACTAGAGCTACAAGTATCAACTTATTGAGCAATAGCCCTCTTCTCTTTCAAAAACAAAGGGTGCAATGGCCATTAGAAAGAAAACAGTTCAAATAAAAAAAAAAAATCACCCTTTCTCTCTGCTACCGCTCTGCAGACTTCGGACACATTGGTAAATGGGATAAAATTAGAATTTTGACCGAGTAAATTAAAACTCAGGTAAAGCCAACCACAGGATTTTTGCGCAAAATACCTTTCCTCGCTGAGGCCTTCAACCGCGCTAAAAAAAAATAACCATCATTAGTCCAATTTCGGCTACGCTGACCACAGTATTTTTTATAAAGAAAAACATATTTCAAACCGAATTTATTAATAATTTTGTGTTCGAACATTTGAGATATTATTTTGAACTTACGTTTTATCGTTTCACCACACATGTATGTTAGAATTTTTTAATTCGGGTTACGCGTTTGGAGACAATAACCCAAAATTGCTGTACAAATAACCGAACCGTGCCCAACAAAACACCATTTGCTAGTTGAAATTTCGATTCTATTGCTGAGTTTTCACTAGGCAATAAATGGCAAAAATGACAAATGATAAAGTCGGGCATTAAAAAATAATCGAGTCATTACATTAAAAAAATAGTCATTGAGTTCATTTCCACTTGGCATAATTTTAAATGGCATACATTTTTTGTCATTTCAATGCCTAGTGGAAATTCGGTATTAGAAAAAATTTTTTGAAACAAACAAAAAAATTAATAATAAAATTTGAAGGATTTTAGGTATTGGGTATAGTAACTCGAAATCGTTACAATCTCCTTAATTGTCAGGTTGTTAATATGGCGACGAAAAAGTGACAATGAAAGCACCTTCTTTTTTTGTATTATGGTTTTTAGAGTACAATGAACCATACTTTTGCTATTACCAATCCAAATTCTAAAAAAAGCGGATTTTCGGCCCACGCTAATCTACAGGCCCAGTTATTTAATTCCACAAACCATTTTTGAATTTTTTTTAATTCAAACAAATGAGCAGTAGCATATCCTGTTAACCCAGTTTTTCAAGACCTTCGTGACGGTTTCTGGCTCTATCTCATGAATGGCTTGCTGGATATTCACCTTAAAGGCGTAAATCGTTCGTGAACTCTTCGCACACTACAAAAAAGTCTAACGCAGCTCCGAGGTGGCCAATTGACATCACCAAGTCGGCTGATAACACGATTACCTAATTTGCCGCACCAAAGCTTTATTGTGGCATGGGTTGTGTTGCATGGCGCGCCATCCTGCTGAAACAAAAAATTGTCTAAGTCCGGGTCTTCCACATCCGGCTACAATAAATCTTTTATCATGCGCCCACCGTGAATCGAAATGGCGTTTCCAGCAGCATTTTCAAAAGTGGCCCACTTATGCCATCGCTCCAAAATCTGCACCAAACTCTCACTTTCTGAAGATGCATTGGCTTCTCCACGATCACGTGCGGGTTTCCCGATCCCGGAGATGAAAATGCGCTTCATTAGAAAAGAAATTTCGTTTGCATTATTTCCTAACGTTGTTCAAACGTAAAGCTACCATTTCGTTCCGCGGAGATATGATACGACTTCTGTCAAGATTTCCAGCGGGAAGGAACTGACACTGTCGAAATAAGACAGGACTAAAAAAAAACACTATATGGACCACGTTTAACATATGCAGATAGTAAGAGAGATATTACTTTTCGAATAGGTGCCACCTTAATAAAAAATATTTTCAGACTAAAGTTTTCTTAAAACTATTTCGTTTAGCACTCATGTTCTAATATTCTAATAATTTATTTAGCTTATTAAATGATTCCAATTTAATTGTTTTTGTTGCATATCCTTTTGTAAAAATAAGATCTTGCTGCACATCCAAAGGTCAATTCTTTTAATTTGATACCTCATTTTTGAAAATCGAATAAACGATGCGGATCTGATGGCATTAATTAATTAAAATAATTTGAATGCAATTTTTTATCAGGTTTATGAGAAAATCGAGCTAACGGTGCAGATGTTATGTCCTGGACAAAAAAATTCTTTGCGGATTATATATGTATATAGATAACAATAGTGGCATATCAGAAGTGGCATATGATTATGTGTGTGGTGGAGGAGAGCCATGTCCATCTTTTCAGTGGAGGAACGATCCGCATCAACTTGCTCTTCTTTAATATTTTGTTTCGATCCTTCGAATCGGATACCCGCGTCGAAGTATAAAATTCACTACACGTCTAAATTATATAGCATCCAGCATTTCCCACCATTTTTTGAGTTTTAAAATAATGCGCCTAGAAGTATGCAATTTAAAATGCTTAATCTTCTTACATTTTTATTCATCCCTATCATAGTCATCGAATACTCCATTTTCCGGATAATAATTTAGTTGAAATTCGTAGTTTAGGTTATGAATTCACTCGAAATTTTTCTAGATCAGCTCGAAGCCGCTGTTAACACATTAATGTAGGCTAATAGTATATTTTTATTGATATTTTAAAATTTTGGGATCCCAGCTAAACAAATTTATCGCAAATACTTATGTGTGTATGTATATGTCTCTAGCTTAAAGTGAAAAGTTACTACGTCTAGTTTTTTAAATTTTCAAGGAGACCTTTCCAACTCATTTTCCTGAGGCGCTTATTTTGCAAAAATTTTAATACAAGAGTTCGCGCATTCCAAGCTAAAATAACTCCAATCGAATCAAATTCCACAACACAGAAGAAAAGTTTTTGTATTCATTGACTTGTAACAACTTCTGTGACTATTTTGGGTTAAGAAAATTTTTGTATCACCGAACAGAAGCGGTTAGAAATAAAAAAGTTGCATTTTTGCAGCAGAATTGACTTATCAACTATTGTGAATTATCATCTATAGCGAATTATCATATTGTAGCCTTTCCTGGTAAGACAGGATTTGGGGAAAGCCGTTCGACACCGTTTGTCATTGCACGCTGCTAAAGGACATTGAGGCTTCCTCTCTAACACAGGGAGTAAAACAGTGGGCAACGAACTGCTTGGGTGGTGGTCGACAGTCGGCAGTAGATTTTCGAGATCAAGCCCCGAACCCAAGAATAATTAAATCACTTCCCACGACAGCCTACGCACCAGAATAACTCTGGAGGGGTATTCCCCGACCCATGTAGTTTGGCAGACCCCTTAAATCCATGTTCCACAACCTTCTGCTCCGGGCTTGCATTGAGTCCAACCCCGCACCAGGGGGTGCAACATTTGCACAGATAAGAGCCTCATAAGAACTCGTTCTGGCCTTAGGTCACATAGGGAGTGAGCCACAAGGTATTTGGTCCCTTGTTGCTCAAGTTATACGACAGTCCTTGCTTCCACGGCCTCCAACCCGCAAGTGAAAAAAGAACGCAAGGGGTCCCCTCGGCTTCACCGCGCTCACATGAGCAACAAACCAACTCCTCCTGCTCCTCCACCTTCTACCCGCTCAAGGGCGTAGACAGGTAGTGGAATTACACAGAATTTTCTGTAGTTAAGTTTAACTTATGATTTAAGCGTACTTTAAAATGTTAACGGCCCTTAATGAATTTTTTATTTATGACACGGTGTGACAAAAGAAAACAAAAAATCAATATATTTAGCATAAATGGAACCAGCATAAAAAATACGGAAAAATAATAAACATTAAATAAACAAAAGAAAAATAGTCAAAAATGTATCAAAATGTTGCTGGCTTAATTAGCTGATCACAAGTGTATGTATGTATAGCATTTAAGAGAAGATATTTCGGTGCAAAGCAACGATGTATAAATTGTAAGTTTATCTTACAAAATTGCGAAGGAATATGAAAGTTTATTTTTTTACATTTTTTATTTTAAATATCGTCTTGTCCGGCTATTTGTTTTGCTATACAGGTATGTAGAGCTATGAATTTAAATACATCAGGGTTTAGTTGAGATATTCGCCTTTGACCACTATATTCTGTACATTTAACTTGGAACTGGTCAGAAGTGATTCCTGTGCTTACGGCCAAACACCCGTTTTTGAGCGAGCTAAAGTGAGAGGGCGTAAAACCCCGCGTGCACTGGGTTAAAACCCAGCCCAATGAAAAAAAAACATGCCTCGGATGATATCCGCCATCTTTTGATGACGATCACGGCAAATGTATAAAGGACTATGATTTGAGGGCACTCAACTGGAATATCCGGCAATAAGGTTCGATAAGGGGCAACAAAGATTCTTTTTTGTTCGCTTATATCAGAGGTTCCCGAACCTTTTTTCTCGTAGACCCCTTTCAAAACTTTATTGGTTTCGGCGGACCCCCTGCTGCCACATTTCTAACATATTCCCAAAGCTCGTCAAAAACTATACAGATTAGTCTGACGATGTAAATTTGCATCGCGGGTGAGTTCCAAAACTAAATTCGGAGGGGCAAAAATAAAGATAAAACATTTTCTTGTGTTCTATCTATTAAAATAATTTCACGCTTGGAAGTTTAAAAAAACAGAGCTCTCCGAGCGCTAGCGTTATTTACATTAGGTTCTTTCCCTAACAATCCGGACCGGATACGGTAATTAGAGAATAAGCGAAAAGTTTGCTCTCAAAAATAAAACATAATCCACAAGTACGGGAACGCAGAAAACCACATTTCGTGCTCAGAATTTGAGAAAGAGCTTATTCGCGTTGTTTCTGTTTTTGTCACTTAATTGCAAACTCTTGGAAATTGAATTTTTGTTTCACAAATTTGATTTTAAGTATATAGAGATTGAAAAAAATACATTCACTATTCCTTAAAAGCACCAAGTAAATGCAGGCAACATGTAAACACAAAGCAGCTGATATGTACTTTGACACTGTATCCATTTTTACCTGGAGTCCGGGCTGTTTCGGGCAGGAAGAAGAAGACACTTACGATCCAAAACGTTCGAATTTTCGCTCTCTATTACCCATTTTGTTGAGTACGGGTATGATTTCTGGGCTTTTTTTGTGTACCCGCGCGATCCCGCGTTGCGTACGGGAAAGAACCTATTATGTTCACCATAAAGTCCTCATACATATGTTCGATCACTTATGACTTTGCATGTGACGTATTTGCAAAATAGTTTTTATTTTTATCCCTCCGAGTTTTAAAGTGATGCTAAAAAATTTTATCACAGATTTTAAAAACACAAAACTAGAAACAACAAAACCGCAAAACGTTTTACGCCAAACTTGAAAATCAGAAACTGACAATAAAGAAAAGACCGAATCTAGAAAAATCGACGACAAACAACCAAGCAAGCAAGAAGCACAAAAAGTGTTCCATCGTCTCATCCTCTTCAAGGCAGGATGGGCAAATGGAGTTGTCATTTACGTTTATCACAGTCAGGTGTTTGAAGTGACCAGTCAGCAGTTCTAGAAATTGTCTTCAGTCCCATCTGCTCAATGAGAGCAAAAAACTAGATCGAACTTCTGATATTGAAGGCAACATGAGTTTTGCCCAGAGAACAGTGAAGCTTATTCCCACTAATTTTAAGAAGAGCCCAGCTCCTGAACCAGGCTCAGTTGTGAAGCCATCAGTAAAGATTCGAACATGTGTGAGTCCAGGCTCAGTGCTGGAATTAAAACGGCATTCAGCGTCGGGGAACTCAACGTCATAGAGCGTGCGCTCAGAAATGCATCAAGCCAAAGCATCTGTATCATTTATTTCTAAACTATGATTGATGTAAATATCTTATTTACGCAACTAAGTTCCAATAAACAGTGGTTGCGCATATTTTACATTTCCATCAATTATAGTTTAAAAATAAAAGAGACTGTAGCATTGAAAAAACACAAGTGTTCAAATCTCTGCCACCAGCAATTTCCGCCTCGCCACACTCAGTGTTATACCAACATCCGTTTACTTTTAGTCTGCAGGTGGTCTTTAAGGATTCCTCAAGTATGAAGACACAAAGTGCGTCAAGAGCACTATACACCACTAAAAAAATTATTGTTAAATAACGAGGCTATCAAGCAACCATTTTGGTTATTTACTATCGACCACCTCTTACAACTCGTGGACCCCCATATTTTTTCCCGGCAACGGAGACCCCGACGAGTCTCCCGTGGACCCCTGAGTGTCCACCTGGATCACTTTGGGAATCACTGGTTTATATAAAGCAGGGGATAAAAATATACGTATATGCGAAAGGCAATTTATCTGTTTAAATGAACACCACTAATATTTCCTGCAAATACACATCGATTTACATCTTTTATCTCGCCTCCGACACAGAATTGTTTTCGTACAAGATTACGCAAAAAACGCTCTCAATTTCTTACTTGTTCGTTTTTGGGCATGCCATTGTTACGAATTTCGAAAGTTTCAAAATACTATTCGGATTGCAGCATTCTATTTCTACGATTCGTAGCAAAATTCGAATATGGCAGATTTACAGAATAGGGGTGATAAATGTGCGTTGTATATTTTAATAGCTTTAGCTTTAAACGCAAAAATTGTTATTAAATTTTTTTTAGTAATATTTATTGGTTTTGAAAAAAATTTGTATGTATTCCCTCTCATGTAAGTAATATGCATCCTAAATATGAACTATATCGGACTATAAATACAGGTTTTTAAATATCTTGACTCTTGCTGATTAATTCATCCTTCATATTGCATTGTTATCGAGTTCTGGGCTAAGTTTGAAGTTTCATTTCTTTAGTTCATCGGAAGTTGGCTAAAAATTAACTGCAAGATTTGATAACACACATATGATGACATAATAATAATAATAATAATTAAAGCTTATAAAAGTGCTCGTATTTTTATTTCTTCAGAAAATTTACAGCAAGACCAAGGTACATTTTTGTGATTTGTCATGAGAAATGCAGACAGTTCTTTAAAACAAGAAAAATGTGAAAATCTCCTGTGTCTTTCACTTACATACGTAATGTTTTATCAGTTGGGCAGTTGCAATAGTGTTGCATACTTTCATCATTACGGTAGTGCTGTCGCTTTTATTACGTGTCTCGAACAGGCCCTCTATCTATTATTTCGGGCAATTGAAGAAAATTAACAATTATATTGTAGTCATTTTATGCAAAATATTATTTGCCTAATTCTTTTAAATTTCTCATTTTAGGCAGTGCCGGCTTGGCGTAGCCTGTTAGCCTCGGCACGCGAGCGCAAATTGTACCATGAACTTAGTGCCGATTGTATGGACGATATGCACCGAAGTGTTATTCCAAAGATCAAGATTTCAAAACCGACAGTAACAGCAGATACGGCGACAGCAACAACAAGGAAGGAGTTACTAGCGGTAGTTCCTACATTAAACCAATGAGAAAACGAAATTCAGTCAGATGAGGATGTAATCGACTCAAGGCTGTAAAATATTATTTTCTACTGTACTCCATTCACTATTTACAAGTGAATATTTCTTTGCGAAATCGTTTTTCTTTAATTTACATATATAAAATTATAAGGCATGTACAAACAATGTTAAAGAGCTTTGAAAGTTTTGTTACGTAGAATCTTAATATAGACTGGAATAATTCCACATTTGTCATAGTTAGAGCATATTTTTCACTGAATTTAATGTGATATATTAAATTACACACAGGCTTAACATATTAATGCTCCTAATAACCCGGGTAGCACGTTTGCCAGATAATTTCTGATATCAGACAAGTCGGAATAAAAAGTTGACTATTTAGACAAGTCTTACAGGTTTCGTACAGATTTCTGGGCGAAATGTCTGGAGAATTTTATTTATTTCCTCATCCGATATGTCTGATCGAATTATGTCCGATTTCGGGCATACACGTCTGATAATTCTTATTTTCCATGTTAGATACCGGTCAGAATCGTCGGTAATTAAGTCAGAATTTCCCACGTCGTGACGGTTAAACTTCCTGTCAACCTCTCTGACGCTTCTCTGACCGATATCGGCCAAAATCATACGGATTTCTGACTTTTTTGCCGACGAGTCTGACGGATATCTAACAGATTTCTGACAATTTTGCTAGCTGGGAAATAAGCATTTTCATTTATTATAAAATCGAATACATTTGTATGTGTGTATCATAACACTTTATAGCTCTGCCAAACAATCAGCATACTGCTTTTGTATACATAGCATAGTACTTAGTTATTAGTAACGGATTAATTAGTTTTTATAAAGTCTATTAACTTGCTATACAAAGTGATACCCATATAGCCTCAGAAGCATTGTTGCTACTGTTAACGGTAACGGCCCGTCTCCACAGGCAAAAGTTTTTGCCTACCAACTGTCATTTTTATTGCCTGATAAAAATTTTATCAGCGGCAATATTTGTGCGTGGGCATTTTGTATCTTGATAAAAGCATTTATAAGATGGCAATTTTTGCCGGATTTCATCAATTAAAAAGTTTAAAAAATATGCTATTTCACACCCAAGCAAATAATAACACAAATTTTAATAGAAAACAGTTCAATTTTTGCTTTTATATTGAAATATCGATAATGTTATCTCCACGAAGCTATCGCGCAAATGAAAATGTAGCTGTCAAAGTACCAAATTGCTGGCAATATTTATTAAGATAAAAGCTCTGATAATTATTGCTTACCAAGAGCAATATGCGGTCTCCATGGGCAAAATTTTGCCTGATAAAATTATCAAGATAAAAACTTTTGCCTGTGGAGACAGCAAGTAAGCATAGCTGCGCTGACATAGAGTTTTTCGATTTTCATTTAGTTTTGTTTATTATTGAAGTCATTTGAAGCTCGCTCACTTGAAATTTTTCTACAACCTGACGAATCCGTCTGTGTTTGTACTCAAACCAAAAATAGGATAACACAATTTCAATACTGAAAAATTCCATGTCATCGTAGGACCTAAACAATTTTTATGAAATAAGAGAATGAAATTCATATTAAAATAAATAAACGACAATACAGGGGTCTTGTTAAAAAGCACGCGTTCAAATTAAAAAAACAAAATCCTGATTCAAGAACATACCAAGTGTATAGTGTACGCAGCACAAATGTATAACAAAGATTATTTTTAAGCGAGTATAAATGTAATAATTCGTGAAGTATATTTTTAAGTGCCAAAAGAATAAATATATTTTCTGGGGTTTTTCATAATTTACACATTTATTTCACAATACTCAGGTATTCAATTTCTTTTACATACTTATAATTTTATTGATAAATATCTTTTGCTTCCATTAGATCAAGTACGTTCTGTATAAGCTGACTTTATTTTCCACTGTGTCTTACAAGAATAAAGTTTAACAATTAAGGGCCGATTATTTTATAAATCCGCTTCTTTTTTACCTTTAAACAATGCACACACAATTCAGTTTCATAAAAGTATAATACAGTAGAATAGTGTTAATTAAAATCTTCCAAACTATATCTGTTAGTATTGTCTTCTAATCACCCCTATCATGGAATCCATCGCAGACTTGAGTTTCGTACTCGAAAAGTTAAATCCAAGGCGTAATGTAGAAATTTTGGTTGTCGGAAGATTAAAGAAAAAAATTAAAAAGAAAATCGTAAAATTATAGGTCGGCATCGTCACTGAAATGAAAATGTATATTATGAACAGTAACCGAGAACGCGTTCCGGTTTTGATTTAGTTCTGTACGGGAACAAAATGTTATGTCAAGAATGTTCGCAAACGGGAACAAAAGTATTGAGAGCAGTTTGAATAGGAACAAAATGAGAATAAAGGGTTCGGGAACATTCTCAAAAAGAACAAAGGTGGAAAGAACAAGGATGTTCTCAAGAAGAACAGAATGAGAACGAAAATTTTGGGTCCGTTTCCAATGGAAAAGAAACTAGAACAAAAGTATCGAGAACGTTTTCAAATAACAACAAAAATCTGAGGAACGTTCCTCTGGAAAATAAAACGAGAACAAAAGTTTTGAAAATTTAACGTTAAGAATGAAAGGAGCGTCTGAGTGTTGGGATAAAAAATCATTTCAATGAGAACCATGATTGTTAATTCAAAGTCAGAGGAAAGCTGGATCATTTCCACTTCCAGAATATTTATCATTAGGATGAGCTGCCCATTTTTGGAACATTTTTTTCATTTTCTGTGTAAGAAAAGTTCGTGTCTTAAGTCTTTCGTTGACCTAATTTGCAAAATTATCTTTCAGTTCTTTTTTGATTAATTTTAATATTGCAATGCCAATGGTTCCATTCTTCGCGAATAGTTCAGAGAAGAGTTTTTACCGTTGCATTCTCTGTCAGAAAGTTCCTGAGACTTTAGTTCCCAAAGTGTTCTTCGAAAGAAAGATCCTTATACTTTTGTTTCCATTTTGTTCGTAGCCAGAACTGTTCCCGAAAGTATTGCTCTCATTTTGTTTTTTTTTTTTGGGACGTTCCGCGGGTGGCGTTCTTATATAATTTCCATTGAGAACGTTCTCGAAAAATTTTTTCTCATTTCGGCTTGGGTATTGAAGTACCTGCAAGCAACACTGGAGTTCATATAAGCTGCAGAAACAGTTCGAAAAAATAAATTGTCTATCGAAATTCGCCCGGCATAGCCGCCACTTCCGAACTTTTGACACAGTTTCTTCTATCTTACACATAGATTACACAGGCCAACAAAATTTTAAAAATGTTATGTTGACTAAAATATTACAGCCGATTCTTATAGGATTTTTGCCGTATAATCCGAATCTGACCCTGAAGATATTAGATTGGCTCTAGTTTTTGAACAACTTAGGTTCAAAAGTGACGAAAACGCGTTTTTGGACATTTTTGAACCTCTGTAAAACAATAAATTGATGCAATATATCTGTCCGTGTGTGAGGATATGAAAGCCCAAACACTGCCCTATAATACTCAAAATCAAAAATTTATGGAAAAATTTCTGTACCAATCTTTGAAGTACAACTCGAGGTTTCATGGATTAACCCCAAATACCGATGGACACTGACTCTAGCAGCGGAAATGAAGATGAGGAAGACACATCAATCTTGTTGGCCTTTGTTATGTTCCCTTAGATGAAGGTTTGAGCTTCAATTTCAACCCCTTTTGAAATTTCCAGTATCTCAGATTCATTTAACACAAGTGATCAAAAACAGGCAAAACAAGAATAAAAAAAATCGTGCGTACTCGTATAAAAAAAACTGTATCCAATTGCTTTCAGTGTTCGGACTAAATTTTTTGATTTTGGGTATTAAAAGGCAGTGTTTAGTCTTTAATATACTCCCACACAGACAGATATATTGCATCAATTTATTATTTTACAAAGGCTCGAAAATGTCCAAAAACGCGTTTTTCGTCACCTTTAAACCTATGTTGCTCGAAAACTAGAGCCAATCCAATATCTTTACGGCCAGATTCGAAATCTAAGGGAAAAGTCCTATAAGAATCGGCTGCAATATTGCGCAACAGAATTTTGTAGGGCAGTGTTATTTATGAAAATAGTTGGCAAAGTGCGTCAAATTGGTACATTAAGGCCTATCACTGAATCCATAATTTTTTCGTAAAATCTACGAAAATTATATCACTGAATTCGAATAGCTACGAACGTAGCATATAATTTAAATACTCACCGATATACACTAAACGCATTTTCGTAGTTTTCACGAAAAATTGTAATACGATGGATTCGAGCAGGCAACAAAACGAAAGGACCTAATCATTTTTAACAGTATTGACTTAATCTTTTGTTTGTTTAGTGTTCATTATTTAAAAAACAAATCGGTTACATTCATAATCCGGAAATTCAAAATCCAGACATATCAAAATAAAGACAAAATTCAAAAATGCAGAAAAATCAAAATACAGACAAATCAAAATACCGACAAATCAAAATACAGACAAATCAAAATACCGACAAATTAAAATACTAACAAATCAAAATACAGGCATGAGGGGAAAAAATGTCGGTATACAATTTTTGCAAATCAAAATCGTGTCTGTTAAGTCGTAGTTAGGCTCGCAGAGAGATCTGCGCAAAAATACTGTGGGAAAAATACTGGGGAATACTTTTCTAAAAAAATCCCGAATCCACCCCTAACCCTCTTCATCTAAACAATTTCAGTGTACCGGTATTTATTTAAAAAATTTTAATTAGTAAGTATTTACAAACAATCATTAACTACTTACAGTGACGAGCAAAACTGTAACATGGTGAAACACTTTTTATTTCAGCCATCGCCATATTTCCAAGTTCGAACGACTTTCATCCTTTTGTAGTATATTTTCTTGTTGGTACATCCCTCCTCCCTCTCATAACGATTTGGAGTCAATACAACAACAATATAAAACCCAGCAGACAAAAATGTAAATTAAGGCAGATGTTACAGTTTTGCACTCACTCTTTCAGTATTTCTTAAAATATAATTTAATATAAAAAACGCCACAGGCGAATATTTGGAATGAAAAATCGCGCGTCTTTCATGTTTAGTTGGGCAATACCATGGAAATATATTCAATCTAATATCAAATTTGATAAAAGAGCAAGTTTTTGTAGAACCTAAAATTGAAAAGGTGCTTAGTGGAGAAAGACAAGCTAAACGGCGACGCCTGGAAAACAGAGAACATTTTATTAAAACAATTGTTATGGAAAGGGAAAATTATGCTCCCAAAGAATACTTAGCCAATATAGCTAAGCATCTCAATTTAATATAAGTAGTTAATGATTGTTTGTAAATACTTACTAATTAAAATTTTTTAAATAAATACCGGTACACTGAAATTGTTTTGATGAAGAGGGTTAGGGGTGGATTCGGGATTTTTTTAGAAAAGTATTCCCCAGTATTTTTCCCACAGTATTTTTGCGCAGATCTCTCTGCGAGCCTAACTACGACTTAACAGACACGATTTTGATTTGCAAAAATTGTATACCGACATTTTTTCCCCTCATGCCTGTGTTTTGATTTGTCAGTATTTTCATTTGTCGGTATTTTGATTTATCTGTATTTTGATTTGTCTAGATTTTGATTTGTCCGTATTTTGATAAATTGTCGCACTTTTTTTTTACCAATAGCCCAATATAAAAATTTACAAATCTGTACAAATGTACCAATCGAGTGACACTGCCTTAAAAATTTATGCAATTTAAAAAAAATCTACAAATTTTCGTTAAAATTTCCAGTTTTTTAATTAAATTCTGAGTATGCAGTTTTGTAGCCCAATGAATTCTAGTAGTAGTAGTAGTAGTTTCAAATCGCTAAAAATGTCGATTGATTTTTTAGAATTTTTAAAAGTTTGAAATTTGTACGAAAGTTTGTTGATTTTTTTTTAATATTGCACAAATGAGTAGTCCACTTGCAAGCAGCGTTATGCGATTTTATAATAGTGAGCCATAATTTAAAAAAACGTCTACAACAACAAGTAACATCCAAATTGTATATTTCTCTTTATTATCTGAAAATTCGGATAAACAAGAGCTTAATAACATTAAAAAACAATATGGCAATGTGGTAGTTTTTGCAAATTTTATATATAAAAATTGAATAAAGCGAGTTTTGAAACAGTAGCTTTACATAGCTATCTTTTGTTTGCTTTTCGCGTTCGCTCTTCGCGCCTTTGCAAGTGGACTGCTCAAATTTGGAAACATGGGTTTCCACGGGCTTTGTTAAAGAACGAACTATATTTTTTATTTAAAAATATAACAAAAGGTCAATAACAACAAATATAATACGTTAAAACTTGGCAAAAAATGGTTCGGTTATAATTTTTTGACCACTGTATGTATTTTTTATATCTTTTATTGGACCGGCACATTGTACATAAAGGAAGTACATAACAAAATTAAAAAAATAAATGCCTTTTTTGCCTTTTTTTGATGCTCGTTTTGCCTTTTTCAAGTTTAAGTGCCTTAAAAAATACCATAGGCAGTGTATAAGTATCGCCCCTGCGATCATTTCTTCAATTCGTCCACGTACATATAATTACTATGGAGAAAAAAAATCACATGTTTATCCAAGTGAACGCAAAATAATATAAGAAAAATGCCGCTGGAACTGCAACAATAGCGGTAATCTAAGTTTGCAATTAGTGCATACGAAGATATATTTCCAATCGTTTCAAAAACTTTAAGCCACGAGCAGAGAACATATCAAATAAATTTGCATAGTTTTGAAAATAAACGATATTTATTATCTTTAATAGCCGGTTTCACCAGCAATTTAAATGGAAAACTATTTTTTTATTTTCTGTCAATTTCTATATAACATCCAAAAAAATAAAATCATTTTTCACTTAAATTGCTTTCGTGAAATTTGCAGTAAGACTCAACATTTTTGTTGACAATCAATAATCTTTGTCAATACCTTGGTCCGACTTTCACTTATTCAACACAGATTTGATTACTAATGCAATCGTTTTTCATTGGACATCAAATCGAATGTACTATGTAATACACAATCAGATTTATTTTATTTTTTAAATATTATGGATGCATTTATGTATGTATATTTTTTATACATTTGTAGTTTGATCGTTAACAACTGATTCAATAAAATACCGACTAAAAACACATGTACTCTTATATCGAAAATATTAAAGTTAAAAAACTAAAACTATTTTTTCTTCATTAATCTTAATCGCTCACGTCTTTGCAAGAATGTATTAATTAGTAAGTTTTATGTATTGCACTAGCTTCATATAAGTCACCTTATAACGGGTGATTTTTTTGAGGTTAGGATTTTCATGCATTAGTATTTGACAGATCACGTGGGATTTCAGACATGGTGTCAAAGAGAAAGATGCTCAGTATGCTTTGACATTTCATCATGAATAGACTTACTAACGAGCAACGCTTGCAAATCATTGAATTTTATTACCAAAATCAGTGTTCGGTTCGNTAATAATTTTCAACTCGAAAATTAACGGTTTACAAGTGTAATGACAAAATATAAATAATAAATAAATGATAATTCAAGCGGTCCTTCTCCATTAAATACATTAAAACTAGCCTTATTTTGTAATTTCATCCTTAAACTTCTTTCCCCATCTGAGATAATCACTTAAAAAATTAACCAATTTTACACAAAAATTTCTTCCATCGAACTGAATGATTTCACTAGCACATTTTTGGAAATATATTTTGCTATTACAACAACAAGAGCGAAATGTTAAAAGATTAACTGGACCCCAATTATACTTTTAAAGTTGCATATATGGCATAATCTGATAATCTGAAAATTTGATAGTTTGGTAAAAATGGTAGTATATTTATGCACATACATTTAGTTTACAGTAATAGTAAAAGGAGAATATTTAGGGAGTTCACAAGGAGTGATATACTGTCGCATTATTGTACGTCGTAGACTTTAAACGCTTAAATAAATATTTAGAGGACTTGAAAATACGACCAACTATTTTTTAGAGCTGTGAAAATTCGTAATAGGTATGACTTTTATGGTACCGAACGTGCGTCGCATATTTTTAGCCGTTTGAAGTTTACGACACCTTGTGGACTTCCTAATTGTATTAAAAAATATTATAAATTAAATTTGATATTGGGTTATTAATATGAATTTGACTATTTTTGATTCGAAGAGAAAGATAAGGAATGCCACAGTTCAAGTTATTTCTTTGTCCCCACAGGAAGATTCTTTTCGTTTTCCAGTGAAGCAATCAGCCAAACAAAAAATCACAATATTGCTCCTGTTTTCGTTTTCCTGCTATATGGAATCATTTAAAGGTTTTGCATACAACTTTTGAACAAAGATCCACATGTAATTGATGAATCTGCTAGTCATTGATTGATCTTTTATGGCTATGCATTAATTATGTATTTGCTTGTCTACATAGTCTGCATTAACAAACAGCGGAGATCGATGTTCTATTTTTGTTACAAAGCTAAGATGAAGACCTAGTATCAACAACAAATTCCAATTTTACAATAAAAATAAACAAACAAGTTAAATTATTACTTATAATGTTTAAAACAAATAGTATTCGTATCCGCAGTCGTTTTGTCTGTATAATACGCTTAGATTTAATCGTTTTTGGAAACTTTTTAAGTTGTAATTAAGTCCCCAAGACTTTCTTTGAGTGACTGGTAAATTTGCAATTGCTGTTCAGGTCTCAAGTTGTAAATCTGTCAGAGAATAAAAATGTTAACTTCATTTACATAAAAAAAAAATCAAATCATATAGACGACGTACCTGTGTCAAAATTTTGGATGGAGCTGGTGTTCTGATAAAGCTAGAAATGTAAACATTAACAAATGTTGCCATTAAAAATTGACAATCGAAACGGTCCATAATGCCACCATGTCCAGGTATCATATCACCAAAATCCTAAAATAGAAAAAAAAATATATAGATTGCGTAAATTGCACAAGCAATTTGGAGTTTATTACCTTTATCTTAAATGCACGTTTAAAACCGGAAGCAAAGAAACCTCCAAAAGGCCCAATAATCGAGCTGAATAAACTTAGGGAAATTGAATGCCATACAAATGGATACATACTGATGTATTTGCCGATGCCAAACTGTAATTAAAGTAAAAGTAAATTAAGTATATGAAGTTAAGCAGCTAGTGAGAAAAATCTGATTATTAGCTTCTTACCACACTCAGGCTGTAGTCTTGTTTTGTGAACAAATAACTCGGTTCACAGGCCATTGTCATGCGTCCCAACTCCTCAGAATATAGTATAGGACAAACAAAGTATTGATAATGACAAAGGATATATGAGAAAACGATGCCAAAGATAACTGTGGCGAAGCCGCCGCCAATAAAACCTTCCCATGTCTTTTTCGGGCTTAATTTAATTAGCGGAGTACGACCGAAAAAGAAGCCAAACAAGTACGCCATTACATCGTTGCAAACAATCATCGATACAGGAACAATAAACCAAATCAGACCTGGAAAAAAATACACAAGTAATTTTTAAGCAAAAAACAAAACCGACTTCAATTCTAATATAAAAATATAAGAGTACCGTTAATTTCTTCATGATCCAATTGTCGGATTTAAACAAAACTAATATGAGGCCACCCATAAGGTATCACATTTCCGATAAAAAAAAACTATCGAAAACGGTTAACGTGGTCCAAAGTTATGTGGTAACATACGCAAAAAAAAACAAAATTTCCGACGAATTGATAACCTTCTCCTTTGAAGGCGATTAAAAATTATCATGACCACAATTTTCATTTCAATGTTGGGCATTTGAAATAAAGTCCAATAAACATAATATTTCCTAATTTAGGGCTAGGTTCCTAGAGAAAAAGAGCTCCAAAAGGACAATATGTACAAGCAGTTCTACGCACTGCACATTTTCCACGTCTGTCACGCTAGCTTACCCACTTTTCCAAATACTGATAAAAAATACTCAGGAATTGTGGGGTTGGCAGCACTAATTTTACACTACTAGCGCGAGGAAAACGAAATTATAAAAATGAACTCACTAAATGAGGAAAAGTACATGTAAACAAAATAATATAAACTTAAACAAATTCTTAACATAAAGGCCGCTGTGGTGTAGTGGTAAGCAGTGCGCGCTTTCACTCACCAGCACCTGGGTTCAAGCCCTGGTCAAAGCAACATCGCAAAAAATTTAGAAAAAAGGTTTTTCTTAACAGCGGTCGTCCCTCGGCAGGCAATGGCAAACCTCCGAGTGTATTTCTGCCATGAAAAACAGCTTCTCATAAAAATACAATCGCCGTTCGGAGTCGGCGTAAAACTGTAGGTCCCTCCGCTTTGTGTGACAATATCAAGGCGCACGCCACAAATCGGAGGAGAAGCTCGGCCAAACACTAACATATGTGTAAGCGCCAATCTATTATTATTATTATAATGGCAATTTATTTGAATCAAGTTAAGAGAAACAAATGGTAGAATATCTGTTTGTGTATACATTCATTTGTCAGTGCTACCAAACCGTGCAGCCAACACATCGGAGCATAAAATGAACCAGATCTCTATCAGGATAACATCGTTGTTGCTGCATTTGCGTGCACATTTTTTATACGGATGCCGATCATTGTCCAAGGAAACACAGCAAATGTTTACGTAAAAATATAGACTCTGGTGGATGTTTACCCAGCAAACACATTCTCTAACATTAGAAAAATGTTTTAATTTTACATAACAATTAGAATGTAGCTCTCGAATAGAAAATCAGGCTAGAGAACTATGTTAGGATTCAATTAGAGAATGATTAGGAAAATACTAGATATTAGAAACTCAACGTTAGAATACGATTAGATATCTAACATTTTTCTCGATATCGAGAACTAAAAGCTCAGTTAGTCTAGACTTAACTTAATTGAACTTACCGTATGAAATCATCAATAATTACTCAACACGTCAACTTAAGCCAGAAGCGGACCTAATTTGTTTTTGTATTTTCTTTTTCAGCTGTTTACCAGTCCACCGCCTAAAATGCCACATCAAAAAAATGCATGCAAACAAAAATGTTTGCGTTCATTTATTTTTAAGAAATACAAAAACGAGAGTCTGGCAAGCCTTATTCTCTCACCGCTCTCAATTTTCGTAAGGCCGTAACTTAAGAACCTAAAATCTACAGGTTCTTAAGTTTCTTACAGTAAGTTAAGTTTTAACTAACCGCCAATACAGTTTCTCATATAACAGGTTGGCCAAAATATTAAGTTGAATTAAGTTACGGAAATTAAGGCTAGACTAACTGAGCTTTAAGTCCCCTTTTTGCAGAGAATGCTATAGTTCTCAACGAACTCTCTAATCGTCTTCTAATCTTTTAGCTTAGAGAGACACATTATAATAATTCGAATCGCTTTCTAATCGTTCTCTAACCCCTATGTTTGTTGGGTTAGCATTCATCATAATTAAAATAACTTGCAACGTCTTATTTTGTCTCCGTTCGTTTGGCGATTTTATCAAACCGATGTCAAAACCAATAACACCATTGGAAAGGTATTTTTCTATAGATGAGGAGAGTTTTTATGATTTCCAAATTGGTTCAAAATTGTTCTTTTAAAATTTACGTATTTGCGTATAGTTGTTGTTGCAACCTGTTCAATTTGAGCGGTTTTCGCATTTTTTTTTACTTCGTATTTGAAGTGAAGAAGAAAAGACAAATGTGAAGATGAAAATAGAAATGATAAGAAATGGTGAAGGGGTAAGAAAATTTATTGAAATTTTTCGATAAGAATCGAAATATGTATATCCAGCCATGAAAAATTTAGTTACCGAAAATTATCAAGTTATCGAGACATCCAAGATTATATGTAGTTATCGAATCTTTATCGAGTTATCATAATGTATCGAGTTCTTTCAACTTATCGAGCTATAGATATTTATTGATTAATCGAAATTTGTTGGTATTTAGTTATCGAAATTTGTCGGTTTGTCGAATTCAAATTTTCCGAATCTTCAAAGTATATAGTTATAAAAATTTACAGAGTTATACAAGTTGATCGAGTTATCACTATTTGTCGAATTCCATCGGAATACAAGTGTTTCGAGTTATCGAAATTTATAGAGTTAGCCAAAGTTTATCGCGTTATCGAGATTTATTGAGCTATCCAGTGATGAAAAAGCACAGTTATGGAAATTTATCGATAGTTACCGAAATGTGTCGAGTTATCGATTTTAATCAAGTTGTCAGAATTTAGTGTTTTTGAAGTTCATAGAGTTATCAGACTTTTACGTGATCTAAGTGCAACGGAAAATAAAGAGGTTCCATTTGGGAGAAATACCATTTTAATGTCTGGTGATTTCCGCCGAATTTTTGCCGGTGTTCCCCATGGCCCCCCCGAGTCCCCCTAATTCAAAAATTGTGTTGACTTGATGCTTAATATGAGAGCCCTGCCACATGATATTGAGTTTGTAGAGTTTCTCAAATTACTTGGTGACCGAAAATTTTCCGTGAGTTTGGAAATGACACTATTGAAATTTCAAATAATATACATAATTGAAGAAATCATTGGGAATATTGGAGAACACATTCTTTCTGATAATATTTGGCATTCTGTTATACTTGCCCCAAAAAAGTATAATTGCTCCTTTACCAATGTAGACATTTTGGAGCGTATGCCGGGATAAGAGAAGTCATATTTTAGTATTGATAAAAATATTTGTGATAATGTTCGGGATCATAACATATACCCTATTGAATTTTTAAACTCTTTAACTGGGAGCGGATTACCTCCACATAAAGTGGTACTCAAAAAAAAAAAAATACTACTGCATTACTTATAAGCAATCTAAACACAAAGAACGCTTTGGTCAATGGTACCCGCATGCGTGTGAAACAAATGCATAAAAGGTCTTTAGATTGTGAAGTTTTAACTGGAATTTCATGTGGCTTGCGAATATTAGCCCCTGCATTCATTTGTCCTATTCTTGTCTTCTCTTGCCCTTTTCGTCCCAGGTCACACAGTTTGCAATCATCCCCGCTTTTCGTTTGACTATAAACAAATCTCAGGGACAAATATTTCCTAAGGTTGATATTTTGTTACGAGCACCTGTATTTTCACATGGAAAATTATACGTTGCTGCCTGTAGAATTCCTTAATTTGATTTTTGATTTCTGGTTCAACATCTAAGATACTTCAGATCAAGGTCATTTGGCTGCCTATCAAAGGGTTTTTACAAAAAAACACAGTTTATAGAGAAATTTTTGCCAACTAAGCTTTATCGCTAATAAAATATTTAAAATAAAAAAAGATATAAAAAATTGTAGTCACGCTTTACTTAGTTCTAAAGGAGGAGTTTTGCCGACGTGTTAATCGACGTGCTAAGTTTGAAAACATCTCCAGCGCTCTTAAAAAACTAGTAAAACTGTCGAATTTCGACTAAAACTGGCACTCCTAGTACCACCTAAGATTGTAAGGCATATCTATCCGGTCGATTCCAAAGGATATAAAAGTGTTTGTAATATCGGCAGTGCTATTTTCTTTAACATTTTTAGCGCAGAAACGCTTACTTATTTTTTGTTTTAGCGTCCTGCGCAAAAACTTGGTTAACAGATTATTTGTTCTTAATGGAAACTTGGTAAACAGATTATTTGGTCTTAAGGACACAGGCCATGTGACAAAAATTTAAATTCCGTGTAGAATCGGCCATGTGCATATACATTAACGTTGGCTGAAAATCCGCTTTTTTAAATTTTGATTGGATATGGTTCATTATGCTCTAAAAACAATCTGTGCGAAAGATGACAATTTGTGGTCAATATATTAGGCTCGATCAAGTCCATCAAAGTTCAATGTGCTCAAAAAAATAAAAATTATTAAATATATTCAACAATTTTTAATGAGCTTGAGGACGTTTTTAATGAAAAACTTATCGTGGAAAATCAACAATAATGTGAAAAATTCAAAACAAATTAAATATATTTATTAGTAATTATTATTTTTTTAATTGCAAGTATCTTCGAAAGTATTAGTCCTACATAATTTGGTATATGAACCTTTTTTGAAGTGAATAGAAGTAAGCTAAGAAAACGATTTTTTCGCACTTGAACTTTGATGGACTTGGGCGAGCTTAAGATATTGACCAAAAATTGTATTGTATTGTATTGAAAACGTAAATGAATCGGCTCGTGCAGTATACTGGTACATACTTATATTTTATGTACATACTTGTACATAGAAATACATATGTATAAAAAACACAAGATAAATTTATTTTTGCATATGAGCACGTACCTTCAAAAATATTTTGGATAATCAAGTAACTTTGGGTGACCACAATCAGTAGCGAGACATGTGTCCAAGCAAACAGACTAAACTGTTTCATATAATACTTTTTCACCAGCGACAGCACAAACCAGACAAAACCGATGCAATACAATGCAAACGACAGAAAGCGATGATAGGTCACCAGAAACTTCAAATATTCCTGTTATAAATTAAAAGATAGATAAACGATAATAATAATAGAGGAAATACAAAAAAAAATTAGTTGTAGAAATTAAAAAAAAAAAAAATATTTAAAACAACGCCAACGTACCACACGGTTAATGACTACGCCAAAATAGTCGACCAAATTTTCACCATAGAAGAAATAATTGGATGTCAACAGGAAATACCAGGACAAACTGCGGAACCAGGGTAGGCCATGTATGCGATAGACCTGATAGCCAATGGAAATGATCTCTTGGAAACATTTTACCTGTACAAGCAGCGTCTAGAAAGGAATAAAATAGTTTATACTAATAATTTCTCTTTTTAGCCTAGTCTTGATTTACTTACCGTAATCATAAGCGCCAAAGGCCCACCGTATATGATAAGTGCAAACCCGCATATCATTATCCATGTAAAGATACCACGAATAACATAATTCTTCCATCTAAATCAAAAAACGAAAGACGTTTAAGCGAAGTGCCAATTGGTGATAGATAAATTAGATCTTTAATGAAATATGTACTGAAATGAAACTAACATTCTCAACAATGTAAGTGTATACATTCAACATTTGCAAAATGTTTTTCTCTATTTTTATTTCAGAAGATCTTAAAACATTCCCCTTTTAATTGGATTTTTTTATATTTTGTTTCAATTACCTATCTGGAAGGTCCTTCAAAGCTGAATCCAAAATTTCCGGCGTTTTATCCGTTCCTTGAGGAAGAGTTTTGGACAGTTCATCAACAAATTTTTCCTCTGGTAATTTTTCTTCTTCCGAATCGACCTAGAATAAGTAAGATAAAAGGCAAATAATTTAATTCAATAACATTCATATTTACATATCTTGTACTATGCATGTTTGTCTGCATGTAAATAACTCAATAAATTTAGTTTAAATTTATATACGCTCCCGATTTTACTGCGGATGTCCCAACTGGTATTTAATAACGTTTTTAACGTCATTAATTATAGCTTTTTCAACGGAACCCTTATCGATTTGTTGAATATTCGGAAATGGATTCTCTAAGTAATAAATGTGAGTTGCACGGAAGGTAGTGTGGTGCTAAGTATCGAATGCTTAAGAAAATCCAGGGAGGTACTAAAAATAAAGTGTTGAGTATTGTGGGTAATGCATCCCTAAAGGAAGTACCAGCCTGCGGTTTGTGCGTACCAACCTAAACCTATTTATAAAGAAGCTGCGCGCCCTCGAAACAGATAGAATAACCGTTAAATAGTGCACACAGTGTAAAAAATTTACAATTAAAGCCCATAATAAGACGGAAGAAATAAATTTTTTTCATTAAGTTCCGTTAAAAGGTTTCCAAGATACAGCACTTTAAAGAAGGTATGTATGACGTTTTCTTAAAATTTAAGTCCCGTGTAAATAGGCAACCCTGCGTCATATCGGCAAAATATGCTGCACGTATATTCATGTCACCTAGACCTTCAATCTCTTCACCTTTCATCCAAATCCTTAGAGGTCGCGCACAGAGGTGGCCGTATTGACATGAAATGTTTCCCATACAAAAAAAAAAAATCGGTACTGTGTTTCCATTGGAATTATAAAATAATGAATAACGGAAACTAAACTATTTCGATTTAGACTTGTGAGGTATCATTGGAAAGGTATTTTCTCACGCACATGACGCACAGAAAAAAAGAGTGAGAAAATACCTTTCTACCGAGACCCCATAAGTCGAAAATCTCATTATTACGATTCCGTTGAAAAGACTTTTATGCAAATTTTTTAAGCTTAATCTATTTTGCCAGCTGAAGGGATTCTTTTCAAAAAGTTCTTGAAGAAACTATTTTTATTCATAAAAAAAATCCATTTTTGGAGGTATTTCCACATCGGTCCAGCTCACGTAATATTTTGGTGGACGCCTTCAAACATAATAAATTTTGTTTTAATCCCGCCGAAAAAACCGCAATTTTTTTTGTTGATGCAGTCTAATGTACATACATACCCTCGTGGCCACGCTAATCTTACCACCAATATTTATTTTTTTTTAATTCGCTACAATTTTGTAAAGTTTTTATTATTTAATGTAATAAACAAAGTGAAAGCGATATATGAAGTACGCTTATTTGAATATTTAAATGTAAGCAATTCCTATATTTGTTTACATTAACCCTCTTTCGACTTTGGTTCAGGTATGGTACAGTGAAGCATATAACAAAAGCTACATACATATGTATGTACGAATGCGTTGTGGTTTAGGGAGTTCAAATACAAATTCTGTTATTGCAAGGTCATGTTGGTATAGAAAACATTCCCATACCCCTGAAAAGGCTCGTAGTTGCTTTGGCAAGAGAGGAGGAATAACTTATCTGCGTTGGGAACACCAAATGGAGCTTACATATGGTGACTTCGTTTCTTCAAAAAAATGTTGCCCTTCCACGGTACAAAATGTATTTGATGTTATACTCAACACTGTAAAAGCGTATCACTGCAAATGTTGTCCTTATTCACACACGAAAAGAGAAAGGGGCAATGAAAAGATGACATTTTTTGGTAGAAACGAAAATACCATTAGTGTCACATGGTATTTCTACTTAAAGCTAATTAATTTGAAAATGAATTGCTTGCTCGCTTTATAGGATTTTCCAAAAATCCCTGTTCAAAAAAAGACTATGCATGTAACATAATGATGCATTTAAGTTGACTTTATTATTTTAACGGTATATACATACATATATTTTATGACGCCGCTAATTCCACTATAATACTTCTAATATTGTCAGCACTAAACAAAAGCGTTGTCGGCCGCTGTGGTGCAGTAGTAAGCAGTGCGCGCTTCCATTCCGCAGCACCTGGGTTCAAACCCTGGTGAAAGCAACATCGCAAAAAATATAGAAAAAAGGTTTTTTCTTAACAGCGTCTGCCATGAAAAACAACTTCTCATAAAAATACAATCGCCGTTCGGAGTCGGCGTAAAACTGTAGGTCCCTCCGCTTTGTGTGACAACATCAAGGCGCACCCAAGTCGGAGGAGAAGCTCGGCCAAACACTAACATATGTGTAAGCGCCAATCTATTAATATTATTATTAAACAAAAGCGTTGGGGGAGCGGTTTCTGACACCTGGCGTTAACGCCGAAGTGACATACTTACCTAAACAAAAGCGTCAACGCTACGTCAAATGCAGAAATCACACCAACAATTAGCACAGATTTGTTTATGTGTAAACCGAAAATGACAGTTGCGCCGTTTTCTGCAGCCAACCTCAATACCTAAAGCCCTTTCAAAATCAGATTTTCCAACCGCTCAGCGTTGACGCCGCGTTGTTTCGGTATGCTTCATACAAATTGTATGGGTATGACAATTTGTTGACAGTCAGACAATGCTGACGCTCTTTTTTAGGTAAGGCAGTTAAATATATGCTCAAAATTATCGGTGATTTTTGATTTCTTTTTTGCTGACGGTCTTGTGTAGTTTTTTTTTCATGTACCGAACGCTTTTTATATGGAAAATATGCTCTATACCGCAAAGTGGTCGGACAAGGCATGTTTTACGCGAAAAAGGCATATTTTTAAACTGTTATAAAATTTCGGGTATTCAGTTTTGTAGCCCATGCAATTGTAGTATAAGAAAGTGCAAGTATCGAGTCGTTTAAAATTCCCGTTGATTTGTTAGATTTTTTTTTTTTGTGGAGGGTGTTGCTGTTTTTTAACCGACTTCCAAAAAAGGAGAAGGTTATCAGTTCGTCGGAATATTTTGTTTTTGTTATGTATGTTATCGCACAAAAAAAAAAATCGATGACAGGTTCCTTTGACCAAACCTAGTCTGTTATATGTTTTTGGGGTCGCTGACAGAGAAAATCCGAGGTGTTTTTTGAGGTTAGGAAAAAATCTAGGCGTGACGGAGCAAAACGGACTTCAGATTCGTGTTCAGCGACCCCAGAAACATGCAATAGACTAGGTTTGGTCAAACGAACCTTTCATAGATTTTTTTTTTGTGGACCAGTGTAATATAATAATAGATTGGCGCTTACACATATGTTAGTGTTTGGCCGAGCTTCCCCTCCGAAGACGGGACAAACAATTATTTTGCTCTTAAGCTAACAGATCCTAAAACCTTCTTCAATGATCATAAATGTATTAGAGCTGAAAGAGCATCCTTGAAGTAGCATCTCAAACTTATAGGATATTTTTCTCGAGATTTTTACCCCACAAAATTTGTTCCAAAAAATTCCTTAAATCTTAGTACAATAAAGTGCAAATTTGAAGTAGCTAGGATTTACCTTTAATTTTTGGAACTTTTTTTACGGTGTTACGCATTTTTTTCGTACAAAGTATGTTCGATAATATTTTTAAAAGAGAAGCAAATGAGAGCAGCACATTATTATATTAAATTTTAATGAGCTACAAAACTTCAAACCAAATTTTTTTCTAAAGGTTCTGATTAAAAAGATGGAAAGTTCGTAGAAACTTTGCAGAATTAATTTTTATAGTTTTTTGCACAAAGTCGAAAATTTGGATTTACATATACGGTTTTTGTTAGGAAAAGAGTTTTACTTCTATAAAAAGCATACGAAACATAAAATAAACAAAAGAAAAATAGCCAAACGTCGCTAAAATGTAGAGTCCTAATTTATATTTGGGTCACTGTATATATTTTTCTATTCGAATCACAGGCATTCAGATTAGAAACTAATAACCAGGGCCGAAAAGTTTAAGATTTTGCTTGAAATTGCTTAGAGTGAAATAGCTCTACAAAAATTTAGCCGTTAGGTCTTAAAAAAAAATGTACTCGTGTTCAATTCTTGTTTTTCTTTTAATACTTATAAATATGTAAAGGTCATTAATTTCTTTGTTAATTTTATTACATACATGTTCACATTTTATCAAAGAACTGGGATTTGTGAAAGACTCTCATTCACCGCGGCTGTATTATTTGCTTAATATTAGTAAAACCTAGCTATTTAAGGATCTTCTGGAGATTCGGCCCATGTTGCAGTTCTTTAATTAACACAAAGAAATAATATATGCCTATCATAAAAATATTAAATTTGTCAAATATATCTTGGTATTTTATCGGAGGGAGAAATTTAATTAGTTTTTTAAGATATATAAAATACTAATTAATATACGAGGGCAATTTGAAAAGTCAGTGGTTTTTTAAATTCCACGCGCAGTAACTTTAAATGCAATACTGCTCCGGTCAACTGTCAACGATTAATATATCTCGTAAAATTTTCAGCAAGCTGCGTCATTTACTTTTTTGAAGTAGACAACTTCGTGAATTTTAACGAAATTAGATAAAAATAAATTTCGAGTGCGATTAAGCATTATTTTTTGCGTACAAAATCCATTACCGAAAACAAGGAAAGGCTTGATAAATATTTACTATGCGGATTCTGCACCATCAATTTCAATAGTTGAAAAGTGGTTTATTGAGTTCCGTTGTGGTCGTACCAGCCAAGTGACTCCAAACTTTCAGGTCGCCCAAAAGATGCCGTCACGCCGGAAATTGTCTATAAAACCCATGGAATGATATTGAACGATTGGAGAATGAACATGTGTGAGGTGGCTGAGTTTGTAAGCACACACCACAATACCCTAGAGGCCAAGGAACATTCAAGAAGTGCACCAAAGAAGGCCCAAGTAGGAATGCCGGCCAACAAGGTCATGGCCACAGAGTTTTTGGGGATGCCCGCGGTGTCATTCACATCGATTAAATTGAAAAGGACAAAACAATCACTAGCGAATAATATTCACAGTTTTTGGACAGAGTCGATTTTGATTTGAAGCAAAAACGACCACATTTGGCCAAGAAAAAGTGC